AGAAAGAAAGAAAGAAAGAAAGAAAGAAAGAAAGAAAGAAAGAAAGAAAGAAAGAAAGAAAGAAAGAAAGAAAGAAAGAAACCGGAAACCGGAAACCGAAGCAAAAAACGAAATGATAGCCCTCCGCCCCGCCGGCCCATCCAAAGGCCTCGGCCTCTTCGCGACCACTTTCATCCCAAAGGGGACGCGGATCCTAGCCGAGGCGCCGCTGCTCAGTCTACCCGTCACAGCAGCGATTGCGCGGGATCCTCCTGCGTCGAGGGTGGGAGCGTCTGCATCTTCGCCTTCTGAAATGGCGACGGGAACATGTGCACCGGCGCCGTCTTCGACGCTACGGACGCGAGACGCGGAAGTCGTGCCGGGCGCTAGCGAGGTTTTTACCGCGTTTCACACGCGTCTCTCTCTGGCTCAACGATCAACGTTCCTCGAATTAAGCGGATTTCCGGGGAGAGGAGTGAGTTGGCTGGGTCGGTGGATCGAGGCGGGGCTTTGGACGCTCAAACACATGAATACAGCGACGAGGCGTGACTGGGGGGAGACACTTGCGGGAAAAGAGGAAGGGATTAGGAAAGATAAAGGGCGGGGGATGATGTTGGGGTTCTGGAAGCGGCACTGGGAGAGCTGGGGGAGGAATAAGAGGGTCTTGGATGTGTGGCGGAGTAATAGTTTTCGCCTCTCGACCGCGGTACCGCCGTCGTTGATGGGGTTGGGAGGAAAGAGATCAGGAGGAGGAGAGGAACGAGCAGATGTGAACTCCGGTTCCGGTTCGGCGATGAAAACGCAGACGCACACCCAAACCGACACCCAAACGCAACCCCAATCCTCCATCTCCATATCCCTCTTCCCGCACATCGCCCGCGTCAACCACGCGTGCGTCCCGAATGCGCAGGTAAACTGGAACCCTTCTCCTTCTCCCTCTCACTCCTCCTCCCCCTCGTCATCTCCCTCTCCCTCTCTCTTTCCCTCTCCCCCGCCCTCTTCCTCATCCTCCAAAGAACAGCCCCTCCTCACCCTCCACGCCATCCACCCCATCCCCCAAGGCGCCGAAATCCTCATCTCCTACCTCCCCGAGACGTTCGCCCTGCGCGCCGAGCGCCAGAGGAAGTTACGCGAGGGATACGGTTTCGTCTGCGGATGCGCGGCGTGTGAGGAGGGCAGTGTGGAGGCGGCGAGGGGGGAGGAGGAGAGGAGGGGTGTTAGGGGGCGGATGGTGGAGTTTGGGGTTGGCAGGCTGGGGGTACGGGCGGGAGGAGAGGGGAGTGGTGAGGATGTGGGTGGAGGGAATTTGGGGATGGGGTTGGAAATGGAGATGATGGGCGGGTATGCGCCGGATGGGAGTTGTGATGACTGGTCTGCTTCTGGCCATGAATCGTCGTTTATGAAAGAAGATGAGGCAGAAGAGAGGAGGGAAGATGCTGCCACGTTGACCCAGGCCGAATCAAACAGCAAGAAAACGGACGAGGACGGCATCGAGAACATGGATGCGAGGCAAGAATTCAAGGAGGAAGCGAACACTCTACTCAAGGAGGAAATCGACCTCACGCTCGGCCTCATCCGCATGCTCGAAACACAGGGTATCTCGGGCAGGGAGGTGGCGAGTATGTACTACCGCGTCGCTCGCATGATGCTGGACCAGCGGCAGCAGCGGCAGCAGGAGCAGCAGCAGGGCGGCAACGCAGAAGGAAATGTCGGCCTTGCCGCGCAGGAGAACAAGGACGAGAACGAGAACGAGAACGCGAACAGGATACTCGACATGGCGAAGCGGGGACTGCAACTGGATAGAATCTGTCTCGGAGAAGACCACCCCGTTTACCGGGACGCTCGGGCGTGGGTGGAAGGATTGGAAAAGGCGGAAGAGCAAGTTAGATAGTCTATCACCGGAGCCCCGGTAGCAGCAGATCGGGGAGTATAGAGTGGGCAAACGAGCCAAGATGAAAGAAATGAATAGAGGGTGTCGTTGAAAACAATGACCCAAGTGAACCAAGGCATGACTCTGACTTTAACCATCGCTTACAAATAGATGATTGATCCAGCGGGTAGTTAGCCATGGGCTATGTACAATATGCCACACTACTCCCCCAATAAACTCCATTGGACAAGTCGACCATGAAACTGCATAGAAAAGACACATGTCGCTGCAGAACTATTGCACAGAACCCATCAAAACCTCACTCGTGTTGACTCCATCCATCCTTTCCAGGATGAGTCCATGGTACCCAAATCGTCTATCTCGGCTCGACCCAGGCGTGCAAGCTCGCCATCGAGATTCCTCGAAAACCTCTCCGCATACGCTGTTACGGCCAGGAACATTCCCTAAGCTCGAGTCTGCTTCTTTGCCGTCCCAATGTGCGTATTGTGCACCTTCGTCGCAAACTTGAGACTGGTAATGGTCTCCTGCAGATGAGCCTGCAGCGGACTCACCATGACGAACATGAGCGTTTTGGAGTTTCCGCCGAGCGAGTACTGGAGCAGGTACGTCAACTATAGCAAGTTAGCTTTCAATCCTGTCAATTCTTCACTTGTGTGCGTACCTTGGAATTCCTGTACGGAATGTGCGCGCTCTCCTTCGCCGAACCCAGCGCGTTGATCACGTCTCCCAAGCAACTCAGACTCTTGTTGATATTCTGCGTCTCCTTCAATCGCGCACCCTCTGCCTTGGAGTGGTCCAGCCGCTCACTCCCCGCCAAATCGACAAGGTTGAGCGTGCCCTCGCTTCGCTCGCCGGTGATGTGGTTGACGCCGACGAGTCTGAGGATGAAGACCGAATGCGAGCGAGACGACCGCATATTCGCCTTCGTGGCCGCCACACTCCGGTTCTTACTGGCCGTCTTAAGTATCTCCTCAACGCGGTTCGGGCTGTCCAATTCAACAGAAACTGCATTCTCCAGCGTAGTCTGCTTCTTGGCCATGTCGTGCCTGACTTCAAGCTTCTTCTTGTCGAGGTCCTCTGATCGCCCCAACAAGTCGTTGTACGTCTCGTTGTAGACTTCGACAAAGTTGCCTTCCATCTTGTATTTCCAGCCCTTCTCTTCCAACCGCGTTGCTTCGGCGTAGATCTGCGCCGTTGCACGCGGGATCATGCCGTCGTCTGAAGACATGGTATATGTCTTGCCTGACCCAGTTTGGCCATAGCAGAAAATACACACGTTGTAGCCATCCAGGGCAGACTGCACCAGTTGACTGATCTCTTCAAATACTTCGGCATTCTGCGACTTGGGTCCGAATACACGATCGAAGGAATAAGAGTACGTTGACGTAGTGACATTACCAAGCGCACTCTTTGTCTCTGGACCCTGGACTGCAACCTCTTTGCTGTCCGTGTCGGCATCAGGGAACGTGATCTTAGCTGGCTCGCTTTCTGCTTCGCTGGGGGGTCGGACACGGCACATGACACGAATGTTCCCTTTGAGCTCTTGGACCTGGTTGTGCAGTTTGCGCCGCAGAGTTTCTTCCTGACGGAGCTTCTCGTTCGCAAGTTCTGCTGCCTCAATAGCCTCCTGCATGCGGCGGTGGAGATCGTTGAAAGCCTGAGACTGTGCTTGGCTATCGGATTCAAGGAAGTTGATCTTCTCCTTCATGGCCTTGTTGGATGCCTCCAGGGTCAGGTTCAATGTTGTGGCTTCGGTCAGTTGCGCTTGCAATCCTGTTTTCAAGGTCCTCTCTCGATCAAGCTCCGCCTGCACGTTCGTGAGCTCTCCTTTGACGTTTAGGATCTCGCGCTCCTTGGTGTCTGCCTCGAGTCCGGCGTTTTGAAGCTTCATCTTGTACTCCGTCTGCAGCTCCAAAGTCTCGCGCATGCGTCTGCTCCGCTCCTCTTCGACTTCCTTCCTCAATCTTTTCTCCATTTCAGCGAGCTCTTCGCTATGCATCTTGAGGAGCTTGTCGATCTGCGTCTCAAAGTCCTTCCGCACCTTCTCGGCGGCTTCCTCATTGTCCCTCTTCGTTCGATCCGCCTCCTTACGGTAGCGATCTTGCATGTCCTCCATTTCGCTTCGGTACTTCCGACGGAGGTCATCAACTTCAAAGGTATGGTCGCGTCTCGCCTTCTCTAATTCCATGTTCGCCGATGCCATATAGCTTTTGGCATCTTTCAGGTCACTTTTGAGCTCCTCATTCAGCGCTGTGAGTTGTGTTCGGAGGGCCTCCAATTCACTGACTAATACGAGAGTTAGCCATGTCAACCGAATCAAGGGGTTTAAGCGACGAATGATAACAGGTACCTCTGGATTGCAAAATCTTGATGGTCTCTTTCAGACCGCTAGCTTGGGACGCTTCGCCCTCCATCTTCTGTTTGAATGCGGCGAATTCGCGTTCCATGGATTCCATCCGGCTCTCGGTGTCGAACACTGGAGCAAGAGTGTCAGTGAACCTGTTCAAAAAACGAGGAGCGGGCTTTGACGGAGAATGAGCTTTTTGACGTGGTCTACATGGGGTTTTGAAGACTGAATTGACTGGTTGATGAGAAGGGAGTGTTGAGAGGGACGATTGAGACATAGCTGAAAAGGGCCTTGAGTTCTTGCCAGAAGTTATTCCACAGCCCCCGCCCCGTTTGTGTGCATCCACGGTAGACAAGCCCACTGACAGGGCCGACATACCATCGACAAGGTCGGCACAACCGCTGGGGGTAGGATCTTCTGGCATTGAGCTCGCCGGCGTGGAGAGACGTGAAGATCGAGAAGAGCTGTCTAATGTTGCCGAAACAGCTCTCTTCGTTCTCGTTGGTGTGGAGACGACCCTCCCGGAATGAGAAGAATAGATAGGCCCAAGGAAATTATGTCGAGAAATCGAGGGGTTGGTAGAAATAGAAAGAGGGTATGCACCTTGCCGTTCAGGCCTAGGATCTTCGTCACGATCTGTCATTGATGAAGCTGACCGCGGGTTGTAGTATTGTGACTTGCTCCGCCCATGCCCAGCGAATGCTTTGTTCCGTCCGAAATGGTTCCCACTCGCCACCTTGCTGTTGTATCCAACACTGGCGCTGCCGCTGAAGGAGGAGGCAGAGGCCGGCCTTGTCAAGTTCGAACGCGGAGCACCGTTAGCGGAGGAAGCAAAGCCGCGCGTGCCATTCGCCGCCATCTTCTTTGTGGCAGCGCCGACGGGCCGGGAGTTGGGAGGAGCTGGGAGTTTCGAGTTGAGAGGTTCGGTGGCCCGGTCCGCCATGGTGGAGCGTTTTGACGGTGGTTCCGGGACTAGCAGTGTCAAAAACGTCACTCCATCCTGATAGAGCTTGACTTACGTGCTGCTAGCTTGTGTTTGACAGGGCCGAGCGGAGGGGCCATGGTGCCGCGAGCGTTGACGGCAGCATCGGACATGTCTTTGAGGCCGCCCTGTCGTGATGGTGAAGACGGCATTATTATCTTCGAGGGAGGTCTCAACCCCGTTCTCACAGGGGCCTGATGTTGTTCTAGTTAGATTTGGAGATCTTGCGAAAGACGGAAGTTATCGCAACCGTACCGGATTCTCTGCCCCTGTGTCCATGGTTGAAGTATGCAATGCGCTACGTCTTGGGCAATGAGAGAGACCTAATCAACCATATCTCGGTCGTATGATAACCAACCGCGACAAGCAACGAATGTCCTAAATGTTGGCGTGGGGAGCGTTACTGCTCCGTTGCTGGTGACGAGCGTCTCAGTTGTTGTTTGGTAAACAGAGCAGATCCCTGCTTTCACGCTAGAGAATGTTCAGTCTAGCGTGCCAAGGAACACGTGCACCCACTGACGGCCGCCATCAATTTCCCAAGTAGACTGCGTAACGATTGCGAGTTCCGGAAATATTCGAGAACACCCGAAAATATGCATGCAAGTCTATAGCGCTGCCTTGCTGGGGATCTCATGGTATAAGCTCACATGATTCCTGCGGTGTGCTGAATGCTTGGTTCCCTTCTTGAGCAAGCTGATACTTGTTGTAGGTGACCAATTGCAAGGTGGCAGTCGGAACCTGGAGGCCGTAGACGTAGAGGTACCTACATTACATGGGACAGGCCTTGCGGATCCGATGAACTGGCGTTGCGAGGGCAGAGATACAAACATGACTACGTACTCTTGAGCCAAGCCAAACGCTCTCCAAACGGCGAGGATGCAGGATGGTCGAGCTTTGTATTCTACCTGCTGTACACAAAGGAGAAGCCGTAACGTTAACGGAGGACCTTCAGCGTATCACGTCCAGAGTCAGTCTCGATCTGTGCCACTGATGGATGCGTTGTGGTACTGCAACTGTAGATAGGAGAGTAATATCTACGGTCAGTATTTAGGATATGTCTCACAGCGAATACAGATATAAGAAGCAGCTCAACAGTCCAGATCCCCAGGCTCTACGAGGCCTTTCCTCTCGAAATCGAGGTTGTGATGTTTTACAGATGGCAGTCAAGAGATTGACAACCCATCGAATGACTTTCCTGTCGGGAGCACGAGAACATCGACGTGCGGATGCTGAGAGGCCTATAATGGATGCTATTATAATGCTGGGGTCTTTCGGCAAAAGAGGGTCGTCGGCAGGGAAAGGCCGGTGAAGGGCAACAGTGATAGGTTGGGCAAAGCGCAGGGTTCAGAAGGACCATCCCGTAGCCGCCGTGGTGTGGCTGCAGACTCCAGCAGCTGGCCTGAAAAACGGCCAGCTCTTTCTGGACCGCAGAGGGACACGCTTTGTTGTTGGTGGTGGTGGTTGCGCATGTCTTCCGGGTGCTTTCACTGTGTGATTTGGATGGAGGCACGCAATGTCCAACTGTCCAACTAGGGGCTGCTTGGTACGTTCTGAGAAAGGTCTGCTGATGGCAAGCTTGGAATTGATAGAAGCATGGGTATGTCAATAATGGTGGATATGGATATCGGCTTCTGGACTGGGGCTAAACCGAGGCGGGCTAGGCGCGATGCCAAGAAACATTGCAATTCACCAGGGCTGCACCCACCAGCCCAATCCCACGGGGGCATCTGCAACATTGAATAATGTGCGGGTTGATGGGCGTGGTTGAGCGACGAAAGCGAGCCTGGAAAGGACGGTGAATTGCTACATATTGTTGCTGGCGTTGTGCAGTCATTCCCTATCGTTGTGTGTCTGCTCGTCTTTGCGCTGTTCACCCCCGTGCTGGCCGTCCCAACTGGTTGTTGTTACTTCTCGATGTACACAGTATCTTGTGGAGCGGCGACTGTCTTTTGCTGTTGCTCCCTGACCCCCCACAAGTGCTGGCTGCCATCTGTCTTCTGCCATTTTTCACTACTCCGTACAGAGGTACCTCATCACATCACCACAGCCCATCATCCATCACTCATCAGCAGCCCTAGAGCCCGCCCGCATCTCCTCCTGCTCCCCTTCTTCAGTCAGACTTCATCCCGCACACCCACAAAAGGGAGCAAGCTCCCCAAGCTCATTTCCGCCCGTCTCTGGCGAATCACACCCCCAGCCTCGCCCGCCCAGCGGCCCAGTGCTGGCCCAGCTCCTCCCCCAGCACCCCCAGCACCCCCATCGCAACCGCCTGCCGCCCCCCTACAACCTCTCTTCTCACCTCACCTCGCCTGTCACTCCTCCTCCTCTCCCTCCTCTGCGCAGCGCCCTTCGCATCGCTCATCGGTCGCCATCTCTCCCCTCGCGCCGTCAGGGCCCCAGCCTGCGCGACTTCGACCTCGACGGCCGCCACCCTGCCGACTCCCCCGGAATTGCCCCAGACGCTGCAGGAGCGAGCCTCGCCCGCCGTGCGCGCGCGCTATTCTCGGGTATCCGTGACCCACGAGGCCAACAACTCCACCACGCCGTCCAGTCCCTATTCCCCCGCCGCGCTGCCTATAGCTCCCTACCCCTTCTTATTATCCCACACCACAGCTCGACAATGAGCTCCAACGTCGCAGCCGCACCTGTCGACGCCAGCGGGTCTGCCCCCGACAAGACTCCCGTCAGCGATACTCGGCCAGACGCTCTCAACGGCGCCGGTATGTCTGCGACCCACCCGCTGTTCCTCGCTTGTCCTCGGTTGCTTTACTGACTCCTATCAAGCAGCACCGCACACCCATCCCTCGACCTCAAACACCACCCTCAGCCCCCCTCATTCCTCGTCCCGAGGCGCTTCCTCGACCGAGGAGCTTCAGAAAACAGTCTCCAGCTCAACCGCCGAGAGCGCAGCGGGCACAGAAGGAAAACCCAAGAAGAAGCGCTCTTTCCTGAGCATCCCCCGCTCTTCGTCGCACTCGAAAGACGACGAGTCTACACCCACCGGGACAGGGCTGAGCGGAGCGACTGCGGCTGATTCGGACAGTGTTGATCGGGGTTCTAAGCGGAGCTTCGGCAGGCGCAGGGCAGGCAGCACCGCCAGCAGCAAACGCTCGCAGCAGAAAGCTGCAACAACGGAGAAGGTGGATCCCCCACCCGCAGTCCCTGTTTCCGAACCTCGCCCGGCTTCTTCGAATAAGAGCAGTAGAGCGAAGAAGGGCGGCCTGCTCGCGTGCCTACCGTGTTTCGCCCCGAAAGGAACACTCGACGACGAGCCCACCGAAAACGTGAAGCAGACCAGCAGCGTCAAGCCCACGCGGACTACTCAGTCTGCTCCAGCAAAGAAGCCGGAGCAAAGCGCCTTGGAGTCGAGCACAGGTAACTCAAAGCGTCCGGTGGACGAGAAGACCGGTGAAACATATGGCGTAGAACGCGAAAAGGCCGCGCACGGTGGCGGAGCTACCGAGAGGAACCCTTCCACCGACGGTCCCCCAAGAATAACAACTCGAACATCCTCAGCGAAAAAGAGTCAAGAACAACCACTTCCGCCCCTGCCCAACCACTCAGGGCGAACAGAGGCTATGGCCGTGCCAGAGATCGGAGTTCAAGGCCCGACGCCCGTGCCCTCGCCCACACAACGCAGACCCTCAGTTGAGGGTGAGCAGTTGATCCATGATCAAACTCCCGAGCAGCACCAGCGAGACAACGACCTCGAGATGAGAGATGTCCCACTCTCTTCAGACGATGTTCATGCAGAGGAGCTAGCGACCGTGGAACAGACCCAAAAGCACGTTACAGTCCCAGAGGTGCCTCCACCACCTCCGCTGCAGCAGCACGACAAGGAAGTCGAGGGTCGAAGGCAGTCCGAAGTTGAAGTGTTCCCGGCCAAACAGAGCCTATTACCACCTATAAGGCCTGAACACAAAGGCAAGAAATGCCTTGTTTTGGATTTGGATGAGACTCTGGTCCACAGTAGTTTCAAGGTAATGAAGTGGTCCGCCGTGTTGCCGGGACAAAGTGCTAACAGAGGGTAGATTCTCCATCAAGCGGATTTCACCATCCCTGTTGAAATCGAGGGCCAGTATCACAATGTGTACGTTATCAAGCGGCCTGGCGTAGATGCTTTCATGAAACGGGTTGGGGAGCTGTACGAAGTGGTCGTGTTCACCGCATCTGTTTCCAAGGTAAGCTACACATCTGCGACAGTCTCCTGCCAGTTCTCCCTTTCCTAACTCTGTCTAGTACGGCGATCCGCTGCTCGACCAACTGGACATCCATGGCGTCGTCCATCATCGACTTTTCAGAGAGAGTTGTTACAACCACCAGGGCAATTACGTCAAAGTAAGCTGGCAATCCTCATGCCACATGCACGCAGCTCACCCGTGTCTAGGACCTTTCACAAATTGGTCGTGACCTGAAGGAGACCATCATCATCGACAACTCTCCCACATCTTACATATTCCACCCTCAGCATGCAGTTCCCATCAGCAGCTGGTTTTCGGACGCTCACGATAACGAACTGCTGGACTTGATTCCCGTCCTCGAGGATCTTGCCGGACCACAGGTCGGCGATGTAAGCCTGGTTTTGGATGTCGCCTTATGAGGCCCGTTGTGTTGCTGGACCCATGTTGCGGACCTCACCTGATCATTTACAGCTCTACGTCATATTGCATTCAGCGCCGGAGCATATCAACTTGGATCGATTCGGAAAGAGAAAGAAGTTATCCCTGGAACTCCTCGGGCATGTACCCTTGTAATGAATTTGTAATCTGCGTCACATACGGGTCTGTGCCGCCTCGCTGGTCGCGGCTACGGGCGACATGCATCCATTATCGGCGCTACCCACCGTTACTCCTCTCATGTTCGGCATCACACTATACCCCAACTCATTTTCGGCCTCTAGGCTATCAGCGTTGCGCAGACTGTGTTTATAATCCAAAGACCATCTACTTCCGAGTCCATCGCCATGAATATTCGTTCGTCGTTCCTTGGTCCAAAAGCAAACGAAGAAGAGGAGCGGGACCGCAAGGTCAGGCAGAGGAACGGGCGGGAGCAGGCGTGTGGTCGTCAGGGGCTGTGGAAGATTCGTATTAATTTTGACATTGCCATTCATCATTCCGCGATCTGCCGTTGTACGGTGGATGTAACCACACGATGCTGGAAGCAGCGGAAGGCGGGAGCAGTAGTAGATGCGGCGGAGCGAGGCATTCAAAAAGCTGCTTTCCCTTTTCTTATGTACACAAACTATTCCCCCTTTTCCTTGCCTTGTTCTTCTTCGTCCTCTTCCTCTTCTTTCCCCATCCTTGGTATAGCATTGCAGGCGGGTTCGCGTTGAGAAATCTATCATTCTGACCCTTCCATTATCGAATTCCGTTTGCAGTGCTGCTTGATGGTGTTTGGTTAGTAAAGACGTGTACCCGGCTGGCTGCTGAGGGAGAACTGAGAGTTATTTGAGAATTCGGACATGGTCGCCACATTGCCTTGTATTGCTTGCCGCTGGAAGATGCCCTTTGACCCGGGCGTAAAAGGGATCGTCACCTCTTTTTGCTATGCTATTCGTTCCTATTTGTAAGAGAAGCAGATGGTAACTGCAAGCTACTTATTTTATATTGCCTATATGGAGCGGTCTTAGTAGATACTCGTTAACGCTGAAGCATGTTTTACCTAGCTTTAGCACCGATGTTGCCTAGGTGATATTCAAGCTCGACCTGGGCATGACGACACTTGAGAAAAACTCTTGGCGCCCGGCCAAATTCACATGCCAAACCCGATCACCTAACCTTCATAGCATACTCAACCGCATAAAATCAAGGCTCTCCGCAATCTGCGCTTCGCCTGCCTTTTCTTGCGCCATACGCCTCATGGACCGATAGCGCGACACCATTCAAGATCGCAATGGAGAAATACTCGCAGTTCAGAGATAGAGGTATACGTTGTCGACATGCCCACATATCTCTTGACTGACTGTATCCTCTGCCAGGCACCGCAATTGCGCCCTTTTTCCCCATTCCTACACCAGCGGCTAGCGCTCTCTGGACACCGGTTCACGTCTTCCTCTTTCTGATCAGATTGCCGCTTGTGATCAGTTTCTCGCTGCTATATTTTGTCTTTCTGGATGGGGTGCCTGTGGGGCCCACGATTAGGAAGTGTGTGCTGTGGATTTTGCTCTTGATACCTGGAGTGTGGTGGGTGGATTTGCAAGTCGATGGGGTCAAGAAGGGGTGAGTAGAGTCTGGCTCCACGTTGCAAGCAGTTGTACAAATCACCCCACGAATGCGCTTATGGCTGACATTGATGCTGTAGAGGCGTGAAGGCTAAAACCCATCTTCCGCAAGCCGGCACCATCATCGCAAGCAGTTTCACCAGTCCTCTCGACCCCCTCTACCTCGCTGCCATCTTCAGCCCCATCTTTACGCGATCGTACCCAGGGACCAGGAAAGTCGAACCTATATCCCTCTTACGAGCAATCCTTCTCGCATTCTCGCACCCTACGCTCGAGCCCGCAGATCCAAGCAAACTAGTCACCCTAAAAGAACTACTAGAAAGACACCCGGGACGCATCATCTGCGTCTTCCCCGAATGCACAACGACCAACGGCCGCGGAATCCTTCCCTTGAGCCCAAGCCTCCTGACAGCGGACCCCGAGACCAGAATCTACCCTATCAGCCTGCGCTATACCCCAGGCGACATCAATACGCCGGTCCCTAGGCACTACATATCCTGGGTCTGGAGGCTCCTTTCCAAGCCCACGCACTGCATGCGCGTCCGCATCGCGCGCTGCGTGTACAACAGCCCCAGCATCGACAACCCCGGGTCTACAGCAGGCGCTGCGGATACAGCGGGGAAGGGCTACGATACGAATATTTGGGATAGTCCGCACCTGCGCAATCGGGCCAAGGAGGGCGAGGATGAGAGTGTTTCGAAGGAGGAACAGAGAATCCTGGATAGAGTTGGGGAGGATCTGGCGAGGTTGGGACGGGTGAAGAGGGTGGGGCTTGGGGTGAGGGAAAAGATTGATTTCTTGAAGCTGTGGATAAGGAGAGAGGCTGTGCGGTGATGGTGAGGAGATGTGGGAAGGGGTGATTTTGGAGGTGTAGTGTTGGGTTTTAGCTAGCATGCTCAGAATAGACATATCTTTAACGATTACATGTGACACCTCACACACCGGCAACCTCCCGAGGTCTCCAGGGCTGGAACTTGCTCCTTGGAGCTGTGATAACTGAAACCTCTCCCATGAGCTCCGAGTCTGGTCTAGGCACCCGCGTGAAGCTCACCTGGGCATCCCTGCAGCCTGCAGCTCCACGAGCAACAAGCTTCGCGCCAGACGCGGTCCCTGCCGGCCTCCCCCAGCAATCTTTATTCATCTTTCACGCCCGCCACCCCACGCATAGCCCTACCTTCCAGTACCTGGCTCGCAGCCTCTTTGACTCCTTCTCTCAACCAACTTATATTTCGACTCATTCACACACTCCCTCCACCTCCGACAACGAAATAAATACTCTCAAAACCTCGAATATCCCCCGCTACCCCGCCCTACTTCGTCTTTACAAAACAAACTGCACAGAGACAACAGCACAATGACCACGGCACCGCATCCCGCTCCCCCAACCCCGCCAGACGACGCCTCGCCTGACCCCGCGCCCTTGAACGAGCTCCACATCTCCGTCCCCGAGGGCATGCATGATGGCGAGGGCAAGGACAAGGAGCAGCGCAGACCGAGGGATAGCAGAGGCTGGGATGGGAAACTGAGGATAGGGAAGAAGAACGAGGAAGGTGAGCGCGGAGAGGATGCGGTGAGCGCGGGAGAGGAGTCAGCAGAGGAGGAGGAGGAGGAGGAAGAGGACGAGGGTCCGGAGCCGGAACAGTTGCCTGCGGATGAGGATCTGCTGGATGATGTCGACGTGGAGGAGGAGGATGTCGATTTGGTGCATTGTCGGATTCAGAGCATACCTGCGTTGAGGTTGGAGCGGTTTAGGAAGCTGAAGGTGTGTGATACGTCATTTCCTGGGAGATCTAGGCTGCTTGCTTGCTTTGGTACACATGCGCATACCATATCGCTAACAAGTCTTCCCTAGCGGCTCTGTCTCCGCCAGAACCAGATCACCAGCGTCGAGATACCGGAGGAGCTGGGCGAGACACTCGAGGAGATCGACCTGTACGATAATCTGATCTCGAGCATCAGGGGGTTTGACGCGTTTAAGGAACTGACGTCGCTGGACCTGAGCTTCAATAAGATCAAGCATATCAAGAGGATAAACCACCTCACGAAGCTGAGGGATTTGTATTTTGTGCAGAACAAGATTAGCAAGATTGAAGGGCTGGAGGGACTGACGCAGCTGAGGAATCTGGAGTTGGGCGCGAATCGGATTCGGGTGAATATTCCCTCTCTTCTCTTTTACATTTCTCCTCTTTCGCTGACACTAATTGCGTGAATACGACAGGAAATCGAGAACCTCGACACCCTCTCCTCGCTCGAAGAACTCTGGCTCGGCAAAAACAAAATCACATCCCTCAACAACCTCTCCGCCCTCACCAACCTCAAAATCCTCTCCATCCAGTCCAACCGCCTCACTTCCCTGACCGGCCTCTCCTCCCTCGCCTCGCTGGAAGAACTCCACATCTCGCACAACGCAATCACCTCGGTCCTCGGCCTCGAGCACAACACGGCCCTGCGCGTCATCGACATCTCGGCGAACCCCATCGAGCACCTCGAAGGCCTGGGACCGTTGAGCAGACTCGAGGAGCTGTGGGCGAGCAACACCAAGATTGCGAGCTTCGCCGAGGTGGAGCGCGAGTTGAGGGATAAGAAGGACTTGGTGACTGTGTATTTTGAGGGAACGCCGCTGCAGAGGGCGAATGAGGTGCTGTATAGGAATAAGGTGCGGTTGGCGTTGCCGCAGGTGAGGCAGATTGATGCTAGTAAGTGATGCTTCCTTTCAATGGTGGGAGTGGGTGACACAGAGGGAGAGAGGGCTGACGAGGTGTAGCGTATGTGCAGGTGTGAGGTCTGAGATTGGCATGGGGATAGCGAGGGTTTGGGCATGGTGGTTGAATGAAGGGAGGGGCGGAAGCATAGTCGCATATTTTATCTAGGAGCAATGGAGGAGATGTTGCTCTCGGGGCAACACCACCGTCATGGTACGGTTACACTCACAACAACGAGGATCCGCATGCCCTGTCTCCATGGTGTCCACCGGGAAATCAAATCTGCATTCGAGCATGGTAACCCTTCAAAAGAGGAATATTAGAGATGACAGACGCCGCAAACCCTAGTGTTCATATTTGGCATGGGCGAGGAACTATTTCTATTCGATACTCGTAAGCCGTCTTCTTATTTTTTTTTTCGGTTTCATTTGTTAGAGTTCGCACATCTTTTTTTCCCCTTCTTTGCTCGACTCTATTTTTCTTATTTTCCTCGTTTATGAGTTCGTTCGCATGGACCTACTTGGGGTTGAATTTCGATGTCGTTGAGGATGAGCAGAAAGACATGCAGTTGAAGGCGCATACTTTTCCTATAAAGGAGAGAGAGCGAGAAGTATTGGAGGTGGGAAATATGAATAGAGTAGATTCTTGACGTATTCGGATATCTATGTGAATTGGTGGGGGAAGGACGTGGCAGTCGTAACTAAGAAACATTATTTTGGTATAGAGTGCGGCGAGGAAGGAGAATTGGAATGCGAGCGGAAGGGGACTGGAGTCCGACTCGCACATCCATCCATCCATCCACGAAAATCCCCCCTACTCATGATCCGTATTCGTCGTCACCCCCTCCCACTCCTTCAACAACGCCTCGGTCCTCTCCAACTTCCCCCTCACCACACCCGGCGCATCACTCCCCAGCACCACCCTTTCAGGCACCTCCTTCCCCTCAGCAACCCCCTCGCGCGTCAGAATATCCACAATGACCTTGCACCCCTTCTCCACATCCCCGCGCTGCCTATTATCCGTCTCCTCGATCCTCCTCCTCACGCTCCCGACGACGCTATCCTCATACGCCTGGATCGTCTTGGCCGCAGACACCCTAGCACTCGCGTTGAGGAAACCCGTGCGGAAGTAGCCCGGTTCGACGACCGTGACGGCGATGCCCAGGGGCGCGAGCTCGGCGCGCAGGCCCTCAGAGATGCCACTGATGGCGAACTTGGTGCCGCTGTAGAGGGCGTAGCCGGCGCCGCCGACCCAGGAGCCGATGCTGCCGAAGTTGGAGATGGTGCGGTGGCCCGGTGTGGAGCGGAGGTAGGGGAGGAAGGCTTTGCATGTGTTGAGGGTGCCGAAGACGTTTGTATTGAAGTGGTCGTAGTCTTCTTTTGGGCTGCAGTAAGTGAAGTATTAGCGTCTTTGTGACAAAAGAATAAGGATGGTGGTTTAATGAACGAGGGAGAAATTGGGCAATATGCATACCTCGTCTCCTCCACGGCGCCGACGAGAATGTATCCCGCCGCATTCACCAGGTGGTTGATGTATCCGTACTTGTCATTCGCTTCCTTTGCGACTTTTTCGATTTGTTCCTGTGGCCAGGTGACGTCCAGAGCCAGCGTGACGGCGCCTGCGTCCGCCAGATCCGAAATGCGCGATGTGCTGCGGGCGGAGGCGATGACTCTGTGGCCGCGCTTGAGGGCTTCGAGAGCTATGTATTTGCCGAAGCCCGAGGAGGCGGCGGCGATGAACCAGACGGGGGTTTGGGCGGACATGGTGGAGTTGGGGAGAAGGACGTGATGGTATGAACGCGGGTAAGGTGGAGCGTATTAGGATGAGATGATGAGATGGATTGAGAATGTGTTTGTGAGGAAAATGCGATTGTGACGAGAGAAGATGGTTGAGAATAGGTGTAGGATACGTGACTGATTGTGGGTGTGTGTAATGCTGAAGGGAGAGAAGTCCCAGTACCGCGATCTGAGATCTCCTTTTATACCCACCTCCTCTGCACCTCCAAGTCTTTCAGGCATCCCGTCATCATGCAATCCGAGACGCATGTACTTTATATCCGCGCCCCGTCAATAGCGACGTACCGGTACTTAACTCCGCCCCATGGATTCGACGATAACGCAAGCCAAGACGATGAATGTCAAATTCGTAGGCCCTCAAGCTTTCTCAATCGGTTAAGTCAATTGAGTCCAAAATTTTTGCCAGCCATTGTCGTCACAATCCGAAAATGAGGGGTCGCGGAATCGGTGGAGTCTGGATCCTGCGAGGTACTTGGTTACATGCGCAGGGCTTGGGTGAGCAGAAGACAGGCATGGGGGGAAGCGCATGTGAATGGCTTGGATTAGTAATTGTGTGGGGGCCTGAATGGCGGGGTTGTACGGCGAATTGGTTCCTTCGTTCCGACTTGATGATGGCTGGCAGTCTGCTTGGGGACAGCATCGCAAGAGGAGAGAGTTGAAAGGTCGGAGCTGCGGTGATGGGGCACCTGACACCGAATTGATGCTAGCCAGAAAGGGCAAGGTGGGGGAGTACCTCTGGTCTTAAGCTGCCCAGGTGGGCAACGAAGGGCAACGTCTTCCCCAACCCTGAGCACTTGTGACGAGAATTCACATTCATTTTCGCTCTGTTACATTTGCGATGGGCGAAACAATGAGAAACATACTTCTTCCCAGCGGTCAACACCCGCGAGAAAGATGCCACATCACACCCCTACCGTAATACAGGAGACACAGCTCAGGAGATATTCTTCCTCACCGGATCTTACTGAATGCCATGTACGGAAACTGATCTCAAAATGCTTTTTTGTGGCCTCCAGCTAGCTCGTATCCGCCTCCTTCAGCGCTTAGGGAGGCGCGTCGCTAAGTGGGGGGCGGACGTACATTTTCAGCCTTGCTCGGTTGCCTTCCATCTTGAAAACCAGCTCGACTTCTCCTCTAACAATTCGGGAAGACTTCAAGGAATGCATGATCATGGTTGACGATCCCTTCGACGACTGGTATAGCAGCCATATCGACGTCGAGGCAGGCGGAGAGTACAAGCCCGGGGAGTTCAACTTCTATGTTATCGACCATGATGCTGGCTCAGAACATCCAGCAAAAGCGATACAGGTTCAGCCAGACGGCGTGGATGCTTGGGTCAACCAGCGTGAAGCAGTTCGTTGTGGATACTGATGCGTTGAATCGTACTGACTTGCTTCAGGCTCCTGCAAAAGTCCCGGGAGTGAACATCCTGTGAGTTGGGTGTGGGTGCAAACTGTTGTGGCACAACTCATGGTCAAATGTCTAGTGTTGCTCAACACGAGAGACTGTTCCATACCGTTGACAAGGAAAGAGATCTATTCACTTATCGCTGGCTGCCTTTCAGTCCCGCCCACTACAAGAGCATAATCACTAAACTACGCCTTCCACAGCAATATTTTCAAGTTCGCACCACTGGCGGTGCCCATGCAGGAGGAGCCGCCTATCGAACCTATAGAGACGAGAAAGGTCGGGTACTACGAACCTGTATGTTTTACCGTGCAACCAGAAATAGACATTTGGCTGATACATGTAGCTCTGATCGTGCGAGCTTCTAGTAGCGATAGAAATAAACATCACGCGCCTGTGACCTTAACACTCTCATGGTCAGCGCCGACTGGCCGTACAACAGGGTATATCAACGGCATATCGCCGTCAGACTTACAATCTTTCGTGAACCTTATCAACTCCTGCACCACCTTTCTCGGCCACCCTCTTACCGTCGCGGAGATATTTCTGCACCTCATCGTCAGAAATTTGAATGAGGTTATACGCCTTCCGGAAGAAGAGAGATACTACGTGGACGAGATACGGACCGGTCTGGCTGAAGCTCAAATAAACCCTTCCAAGACGGGAAACCATGTTGTTTGGGGTTGGAAATTCCAGGATTTTCTTGACTCGACCACGAGAGCTAATATGTTTCTCACGACTTTGGCTTACCTGCAACGACGGTTTCAATTCGCTCACCAAGTCTACGGGCGACTGCTGAATATCTTGGAGGAGTTCGAAACGTATGAATTCGAGAGTCCGAACACGAAGGTTTTACTGGAGCGTGGCGCCAATGAACGTAGGGAAAGACTCACAAACAGGCTCAATGACGTGGAGAACTACCAGCATCAATGCCAATGTATGCAAATGCGAGCAGAGAACATGATCAAAGTGGTAAGGACAACGGCCTCAGGGCGCTAAATCGTACTGATAACAATGCCCAGCTATATACAGTGCTGTCCCAAATCGACAGTCGAACCCAAAGTCGCATGGCCCAAGCCAACCTCGGAATTGCACAAGCAGTGCGGAGTGACAGCATCCCCATCCGAACCATTGCATATGTGAGTCTTGTCTTCCTACCCGGCACCTTCATCGCTTCCATTTTTGGGACGAACTTCTTTGGTTTCGAAGCTCAAACACGCTCCTTGACGGTCGCTGCGTCGTTCTGGAAGTATTGGGCCATAACGATTCCCGTCACTATCTGTGTTCTGCTACTGTGGAATTTCTGGGTCTGGTGGGAGAAGAGATATGTCATTGCGCCGAGGGAGAATGAGTTGGAGCATCCGCTTGGAAGCCCACTTGCCAATGAAACCGGCATCGGCAACATCATTCAAGGGGAGAGGACTCAGGGTCAGGGGGCGAAAGATAGGATTTGAAGAGTTCTCTTATCCGGCAACATCTCGACCGTCATGTGTCTCGCTCGGCGAAAGAGACAACGAACCGCTTCCATCCCCGGAAACCAGCACACATGCTAGCTTCGAGAGTATCCATGGTCGAGAGATATTTGAAACAGGTCAAAATGTCTTTCACGGTCATTCAAGTATCTGCTGCCCTAGTATACGCTCCATTCACCTCATCTATTTCGAGGAACGGCAATTGTGAGGGGTGGTACATGGCTATGTGTGCCATGTCGGCCAATGGCAAGGCTTTCCACGCACGGCTTCCTTTATATGGATAGAGAGACAACGAACACGGCGTCCGCGGTGATAAAAATAAAGGTTGCGCAAGCAATCCTTCCGTGACTGTTAGACCGGATCAGATTCACACGAGTCAAGCTTTGTCCACGAGGTTATCCAATCACACGAGAAATGTACACCGCGCCACGGTAAGGGCCACATCACCTCGTGCGAGTTCTACAATAATGTCCCCATAAGTCATCTCAAATACTTCTACCAGGACTGTTGCGCTACTATTCAACAACATAGTTTAGGTCCCACGTGGGGTGGCCCCGAGTTCGCGTATGCCTCAGAGTGTCTTCCTGCTGAGTGGCAGCTGACAGCTTACCCACACAAACCGGCTTTTGCTCCGTGCTACCTGCTAAACCCTTCTACCCAATTTCTTCAATTGGGATTGCATGATTCACAGCATGCAATTCGTCCTGTGTTTCAAGAACTTTCCGCCTCCTTATGCGGTGGAGTTGTGTTGGTGGCTACTTGTCACTAGACCATGCTCACCGGACTGGAGTAGGAGATGGAATGGCTGCCTTGGGGCAAAATGTATAAGTATAAGACTACATCGGTATAACCCTACACACTTCGTTCGCTCAAATTTTGTTCTTTCTCTCAGCTCCCGTCCTTTATTAGCTTTCTGTTCATTGCATACAACATGAGGGCGTTACAACTAGGAGCGGTATCACTGCTTGCTTCAACTTGCTATGGCTCTCCGCTTCAGCAAGTGGGTGGTGACCTGGTTGAACGCCAGTCACCCGGTCCGGGATCATACTTTGCCATCACCGGTGCTACGGGAGGTGTTCACCCGCGGCTTGAGGTCCGCGATTTGGAGAAGACGGGGCAGATGTGGAATCTATTTCTTCTGGCTATAAAAGGCTTCCAAGAAATGGATCAGAAAGACATCGTTTCTTGGTATCAGATTGCTGGTAAGTATCGTTGCTCACATTCCGAATATATACTGAACCAGATATTAGGTATTCATGGCATGCCCTGGTGAGAATTTCCAGATCACATACCCTCCCTGACACTGACTTTGCTTTTCAGGAAACCGTGGGACGGCGTGACCGGAACGACAGAAGGAAGATCGGAGTCTCAGAGAGGATATTGCCCGCACTTCAACTTGCTCTTTGGAACTTGGCACAGGCCTTACTTGGCACTCTTTGAAGTAACTGAGTCCCGTGGTCTGGATCATCTCTACAGAGCTAATCTCCCTCGTAGCAACAACTTCAAACCGTCGCCAAGCAGATTGCAGACCAGTTCCCCACGGATACAAGGAGCGCGTATCAGGACGCTGCCAACAAACTCCGTGTGCCTTATTGGGACTGGGCGAAAGCGGTACCGGACAGTGAACCTGTTGTGCCGACCGCTCTGTCAAATGATAAAGTACAAGTCACTTTTCCCAACGGCACCACGAGCGAGATTGTCAACCCATTATTCGAGTATCGATTCCATCCGTTGGACAACACAGAGATAAATGCAGATGTAAGCAAACCGACTAGAGCAGTATTCGCAAACGTCGAACTAACCGTTGACAGGGCTGCAGCACCGTCTTCACCCGTGATGGCCCCCGCGGCGGCGACCCGGAAGTCTGCGCCACATCTCCGATGACAATCCGTCGTGGAAAGCCGACCAGCGACCACGTGAGTCTAAACAAGGATCTCCGCCGGATCCTGCCAGGACAGCGAACAAGTCTCTACACAATGCTTTCTAACTGGCAGCACTTCAATACTTTTAGCAACGATGGCACGTGTAGCCAGGTTGGGCCCGTCCTGGGCTCTCTGGAGACGCTGCATAACCCCATTCACACTAACAACTGGCCGGGACATATGAGTCCTCCTGCTGTGTCTGCTTTTGATCCTATGTTTTGGCTTCATCATGCGTATGATTCCACCACCCTTCTTGCCCTGTTCGAATTACTGATCGTCCTTGAAGCAATGTCGATCGTCAGATGGCTCTCCACCAAGCTCTGTACCCCGATACATATATCGAGCCATGTGAAGCGGCCACACCCACGTATACTATCAATGTCGGCGACATTCTGGACAAAGACTCACGTAAGCTGCAAGACTCCCAACAGCAAAGCACTCGTTACTGATTCACACTGTAGCGCTTACGCCTTTCCATAAGAACGCCCAAGGCGATTTCTGGACCAGTGCAAACTCTCGGTATGTTAAGCTACCACTTTCCTAATTATACATTGAAACATTATGTCTAACGATTTATCTAGTAACATCCGCGACATGGGCTACACCTACCCGGAACTCGCCTCCAACCCCTCCAACGCCACCCTCATCGCCAGCATAAAATCCCAATACCAAGACGTCGTCACCCTCAAAACCACCAAAAGTAAACGCGCTGACGCCCCAGTCCCTACAAACGGCACCCTCTACCTCGCTCAAATCACCTTCCCCGTCTTCGGATTCCCGGATGGCAAAGGCTCAAGCCAGCCGTACAACATCCTCACGTTTCTAGGCGAAGTGCCCGAGGATCCGAAGAAGTGGCTCGAGGCGGACTCGTTCGTGGCAATCACCAGTACGATTGGTGGGCGGAAGATGCAAGGGGATCAGAAGGCTACTTTTATGGTTGATTTGGAGGCGGCGTTGGCGAAGAAGGGGAAGAGCGCCGAGGATGAAGGGGTTGTGGAGTTTTTGAAGGGGAATCTGAAGTGGAGGCTTGGTCTGGTGAGTTTTCCTTTCTCTTGGGCTCGAATATTGCGCATGGTGGCTAATGTGATGATTATTATAGGGCGAGTTTGAATTTACGAGGGAGGATATCAAGGGCGTTGAGGTCAAGTTGGTGAGCACGGTGGTGGAGTACTCGAATAGGGAGGATGTGTTTGATCGGCATGTCGGTGGGTATACGGAGTATGGATTGGTTGATGTGTAAGACGACTACATATAGCTCAAGATATTCACGGACTCTTTCCTAGATAAACATAGGTTTTATCAAATTCCACACAAGGGACACGCTGGAGAGATGGAGATTGCACCTGTTTGCACATGATTGCGAGAACGAGCATCGGGGTCCACGGACCGGCTGTGCGGGGATGACGGGTTCCGAGGGGAACGAAACTCGAAGACTTTTTCAAGCTTATAGTAGTAGTACCTTGCATGTTTTTGAAACTGTGCGAGACACCTTAAGGTAGAGTTCCTGGACAGACGATGTTTGCAAATATGCCCAGTTTCTGGACTCGTCTGAAAACATGATAGTGCTCGCTTGCACAGATAAAGATTTGCCAGAGGCCGGTTACAGAGTTGGAAGTCGACAACTGAAACCAGTTATTTTATCATTATGAGGTTTAGGTCTAATCCCAGCGCTTCTACGGGTTGTCGTAACATAAGCCCGTCCTGGCCTCTAAAAGTCATTAGCTTGACCACGGTATCTATCGTACAGACAACGCAAGTCTACTATTACATCAAATTTTCGCAGCCCACTGTAACGGGGAAGGATATGCAGAAAGCCATCCAAAAAACCTGCTTAAAAACCATGATTGTACCGACCAAAATTCCCAATGCACGCCCGTAAATGACATAAGAAATGCAATGAACGTCTCCCACCCTTCAAACGTGGCCACTATATCCCCCAGGCAGCACGATATTCTCCTGGCTCGACCCGGCGCGCGGATCGTACGGCCCTGAACTCGCGGCATCGCTCCTCTCGACCGTATACTCCACCTCCTTGTTGATGCCATTCTGATCGACAACGGCATCCATATCGTACGTTTCGACATGGGTGTTCTGGGTCCCTCTTGACCTATCCGTTTGGGTCGCTGCGGCCGTCAGGTTCTTCATGGAGGCCGGGATCCTCCCTGTCCCGCTCTTGTCCCTGCTGTGATACTTGTATCCCGCGCTCCCCGTTGTACCCCGCGTCCTCTCGCGCTGGGAGCGGCTGATCAGGGCCTTGAGGGCGGGGATCGAGGCGCACCAGATGCCAACGTTGACTTCGATCATGCTCCACAGGTTGATGGGCACGCCGTCGTAGAAGGGGTCTTTGGATTCCGTGTACACGCGGATCGAATGCAGGCGGACGATGGAGGCGATGCAGCTGATGACACCGAGGAGGAAGACTCCAAGCAGGCCGACCTTTTCGCGGCGCGGGCGCTGGATGCTGAGGAGGATAGGAATGGGGAGTGCGATGATCCAGATGTCGGTCACGATGTTGAAGGAGGAGGTAACTGGGAGGCGTTAGAGTTGGCGGATGCGGCGTCGGGAGAGGCGAAACATACAGTAGAAAAATGCGGTGGGATTGACTGTGCACTTTCCCTCTACCGTGCCGACGAAATCCCACAACTTCTTGAGCGGCACACATTGTACCGCGACTACGACGAGGCAGATGACGGTGAAGACGGCCATCAACCAGATGGTGAATTTGCATGCTCGCTCGAAAGTTCTGTGCGACGCTACAAGTGCATGTCAGTCGTGTCTATGCTGAAGTGTTGTTGCCGGCTTACCGAATCGCAGGTACAGAAAGAGGATTGACGCTTTTATGGAAAAGACGATGAAGTAATATGTGAACTGAATCGCAACGGTGGCCTTGATCATGTTCTCCATCTCCGTGAGGCTTAACTTGGCCCCACTGAGGCCCATTCCGTTTTCACGCGCTATCCACAACTCGACAAGGTATATGAGAGTGAAGAACTGAGCTCGTCAGACTAGATCTCCCCATATACCGAAGCAGTGAAAGTACTCACAACGGCGGCTACCATGGCCCAGTCATCTTTGCCCATGTTCCGCAACAGAACAGTGCGAGTGTAACAACGAAGTGCAACAAGGATAACTGGCTCGATTTAGCAGGTACCAGAGCCATGGAGGCCAGTATTACGGACCAGACACAGCGGTGAAGGACGTGGCAACGCTAACGATAGCGGCCTGTTGTGACCGCTCACGCGAGTTGGACGCGAGCGCCATATCGAAGCGTGAATAAGAAAGCAACCCAAGCTTTGGTCAAAATGGATACGAAGATACCGGGAAAGGCGTACGTCTGCGATGATCGATGCCCTCAGGGTCCTTGGGACATCTATATCAGAATTCGATGTCAGGCAAGTCAAGTGCCCGAGCCAAGACCGGGAGACTAATTTGATAAACGCACCAGTGGCACCAGGCACCGCCTCAGCGTAGCGGCAGACTCCTCAATAGTCCGCGGCTACGAGTTGCATCTGGCCATTTTTGGGGTGGTGACTATACAAGTACCGTACTGTCCACGACCGAGTGCCACGGACCTGATAATATGCGAAATGTCTTAGAAAACCGGCGATTATTACAGTTACAGAAGCGAAACTCTATTTTGTCCAGATGGCGCTCTCTTACAAAACGGGTAAGATTTTAAGGTCCATCGGAACGGATGATGGTTGCCAAAACTGTCCCTAGTGACTCGGCATCGGGTTTGTGGCAGGGACATCCAAGCGTACGATCACGGGAAGAGGTTGACTGTTGAGCCAGCGATGATGGGAGCATCAAGTCCGTCAACTGGGGGGAGCTTAGGACTGTAGTGTGTATACAGACGAACGCTACGAAACACATGGCAGAGACCGCGTGAAGGCCCAGAGCGTCGCAGTCGCATCAAACCATGCAGGGCAGATCTGCGGATCCCCCAGTTTGAGCACAATCTATCTTGGTACTGCGAGTTTTCTAGACTGCATTTTGAGTGCAGATGTGAAGCGTTTCAGAGTGACCGCGGTCTTGACCATGTCATCAGCGAATAATGTGGGCCTGCGGAGACTGGTTGAGGGCCTGGAGCTCGATGGAGGCGGCCGGAGGCGATATCTATCGACAATTGCGTCGGAGGACCTATTATTCCGTCTGTACCTTCACACACCGGTCGGCGGTGGGGCACTCAGCCTGACTCGAGACCACGGTAGAACCGAAACCGCCACTTGAGTATCGAATCGTTTGTCGGCTGGTTTCTTCCGACCCTCTGTTCTCTCGTGTGCCGCGGTTCTCCCGTCGTCCAAAAAGGCTTCTTCCAAAACTTCTAGACGGGCCGCCGCGGAGCCGGACGAACCCAGGAGGCCATACGGTGCAGCTGTCGCTTGATGTCGAATAGGTAGCTTTTTGTCACTTGCGCGGCAATTGGGACCTCGGACCCTGCATTCGCTTGAGCATTTCCCAAGAACGTTCAACAAAAGCGATGCAAGCGAACACGGATCGGCTGCGTTTGGCCAGGCTCTCAGTTGCGTGGATGGTAGCTGAATCGTCACTGCTAAGAATCCCATGGCTGCATGACTCATCAAGTTAGGGGAAGACGTGTGGCGTGCCCGACAGCAAGCGGGTGTCGCAAGCGATGGGAGCAAAAAAGATAGTCGTGGGAATCAATAGGGTGCTTATTACAAGTTTGAGAAGCTGTTCAAATCTCCTTGCAAGCAAAGTGCCGAACCAGTGCCCCTGGAGTCCAACCTGTTCCTAGGTTAGCGTCTAGGTAGTCTGCCCATAGGTTGGCCCAACTCGGGTGGTCTACTGAGTATGTATAGTCAGTAAAATGCGTGCCCTGCCAGGTCCGACGAAAAGGTAGTTCCTGCGCTAGGCCTTACGCCCTTTTTCAGTATAGTCGCTTCGTCCACGAACCAGGCGACTGGTGCGTTATTGCGCCTTCGATCCCATGGTCCCAGTACGGTCCGGGAACCACTGCGCTTATCGAACAATGATCGGATGATAATCATTTTAATAAGCTTCCAGCTCCCGTGATAAAACTCTTCGTCTCTTCACCGTCCCGTCGATGAGAGGGCAGCCGGTTTCCGATAGCGTTGTCGGCCGACTTGATCCCGATTTGATCGACGGATCATCACGTAGTCGCTTTCTCCGAACCCAACGTCCCGAGGTCTCCAGCACGCAAGCAGTTGATGGCCGCATACACTTCCCTTCTAACTCACGTACTTTTTGCATTGAACCTGCACATACGTCTCCTTCCCCTTTGCGTCAATGATCAGACCTGTCAGCTGTCCGCCTCGTACGCAGCCCGAATCCAACCCTTTGCTGTACTTTTGAATATTCTTCCCTCGCCGTGCATCATGGCCGTAGATGACGGTTACTCTCCTGGACTTGGGCAGTTTCTTTTGTTTGTGATTCCAGAGCCTCTCCCAAGCAAAGCCTTCGTGCTTCTCGGATGGCACCCCCGTTTTCAAATCGATAGTTCGCATATTCATGCACTGGTAGGGATCTTGATGCTCCAAGGGAACACCCGGTACTAGCCCTGCGTGCACCACAGCAGTTTGGCCGATCCGAGGTAGTTGGCCGATCTCCAGTATGACAGGACGGGAGTTCAACCATGCAAGTTGACTCTTGGACAACTGTTTGGCGAGCTTCTGGCGCTTGCTGTCGCCGGTTGAACCAGATTTCTCCCCAAGGAAATCACTCGCGCGACTCCGCTCTTCATCTACTTCGGGTATGGAAGCCTGCTTTGCTTCCATGTTTCTAAAAGTGCGAAGCAGCTTGTCTTCGTGGTTTCCTCGCACACAAGATGCTCCCAGCTTCTGTGCGAGGGAAACCACACCAGAGGAATCAGGACCTGCACATGTCAGCATTCTGCCAGCCTGCACATAAATAGTCTATCCGACCTTTTGCGATGATGTCGCCAGTGAGGATCAAATGGTCACGGCTTTGGTCGAAGTCCACTTTCTTAAGGAGAGCTTGCAGCTCCTCCAGGCAGCCATGTACGTCGCCAACAAAGATCAACCGCTTGTCCCCCACTGGAAGATGCTTCGGATCCATCTTTTGAAGGTGGATCAGGTCCTTGGACTTTGGTCGCGCATTCGTGCCATACCTCGTGTCAACCAACGCGTCCATATCCCGTATCTCCTGTGTGTATTGGGCATATTTGGGTCCGAAATGGAGCCGCCAGGCAAGCCATACCACGAGCAAAATAGCCAAGTATACCAAGAAATATCTTTGTGTTGTCCGTGGGCCATATGATATTCCTTTCTGCATCATATCCCTCCACGTCGAAAAGATTCGATGGTGGTCGTCTTGGGCGGAGAAGACGCTGTCTTCTTTTGCGAGGTGGACACTACCGCCGTCGGGAGTGGAGGTGTCAAGCGATGACATACCTATCCGGTGATAGGACTTTACTAGGGCGTAAGATCGAACCGTTCAAGGTGGTCGGGAGTGTTGTCGGGGTTAGGGCACCGTCGAAGCCACTTCGATGGAGCGTAAGGAGTTGCTTGTCGATCCTCTCTGCGTAGTATAATGTGACATCATGCTGTAAGCGCGCACCAATGGGTCGTCTTGTCCATCGTGCAAGTGACGGCGATGTCCCTTCATCCTGTCTTGGTTCAGATTGGAAATGTCCCTGCCAAGCAAGCTCACAAGTTGCTGCTGCCCAGGTCATCTAGGCGAAGCTAGTCCCTATATAGCTAGAGCAGCTTGGTGCGTCCAATTTGAGTTTAGCTCCCGTCTTACACCTTCATCATCAGGGTGACCCTACACCCAGCCTATAAACTACCAATACAACACGTAGCAGGTTCTGAACTCACGGATTCTGCTATGGAAACCCACGACAATTCGGAACGTTCGCTGTCTGTCTTGGTTCTTGGAGAGTCCAACACCGGGAAAACATGTTTCACAGACATGGCAAGTCGCTGTCTGGTGCAGGTGCCTAATGTCTGCTCACCTCATGCTATCAGTTCACCACTGCGACCAAATTTGCATATTACGATCCTACGTCGTCTGAAAAGAGGGAAAGGGCTATAGTTGTCGACGGCATCCGCTACTCACTACTTCTGGCAGACTTCAGCACGACTATGCCTGCCGTTGAAGACGGGGATGTCGGCTGGTACCGCAAGTTGTTAAAGACGGCCTATGAGACGTGCCAGGGCGTTGTTCTTCTATTTTCTCTGACCGACAGATCAAGCTTCGACAAGATTACGAAGCAAGATTACTTGTCGATTATATTGGCCCGGAAACGTATCACTGAACCGAGTTTGAGGGTTCCTCATCAACTTCGGTATCCGGCCGGACAGCAAAGGTTCGGTTGCATTCTCGTTGGAAATAAGCTTGACCTTGCAAAAGACGGTAGAGAGGTAGCAAAGGAAGTTGCTCAGGCATGGGCGGACTCCCAGGGCATCGATTACTTCGAATTGGATACCAACAAGCAAGAACCAATAGAGGAAGCCATACGCGCATTGATTAGGTCAATCCAACGGGCTCAAAGATGGGACGCTCAGGATCTGGAGGAAGAGCTTGAGAAGATGAAACAGCAGGCCGCGATTGGCAGTGCGGAAAAGGCTACGCATCCGCTCTCCACCAGAGCAGGACAGTAAAGTCGTATCCGGACTGTCGGGATATTGGCAACTTCCACGGGCGAATCGGCAAACGCACTTCCAGTGTATCTATGCGATTTTGCACTCACCCCCCATTTTCGGCCCGGCAAATTTCATGCATCCTGCAAGCTTTATGGAGTCCGCCGTGGGGTGCGTCGAGCCGGCCCATTGCCGCAATTTAATCCCCCGTTTCTCGTGTTTACCAGCGATGCCCGGGCTGCAATCTCGTCTCCAGAATTTTGATCAGAGCCAAGTCGAGGACAGAAGCTTGACAAGCTTGACTTGACGTCTGTTCGTGTATAGACGGCAGAGCCAAGTCAGTCTGTCGGTGGAAATGTCTGTGTCCTTTAGCAGACCTTATGCATGCACGGTACGGAGTGGAGCTCTGGCGGATTCAGGAAGGAACCATGCTGCTCCGTTTGCATAACAAAGACATGGATGTGCAAGGAGTTCTATCTCCGGTTTTCTAGTTCCTAAATCCGGTTCGACTGGTGTCACAAAGCTTGCAGTTGTCAAGTGGGCAACCACCGGACTCCATAATATGTCCTGCCTATCCACGGTCGTGAGTTACCCACAACCTCCGGAGGCGATCGGGGATAGGTCAGCTGCAGACTCAAACCGGTCGCAATGTGGGCGTACTTCAATGTATTGACCTCATCACTCGCTAGTTCATCTTGGAGAAGTCAGCATCACAAATGGAGGTGGTATGGCAATTTGGACGGGAAGTTCGCCATCCATCGATATCGGTCACTGTGCGCTTCGGATGTTTGATCCGCTGAGTAGGCACCGCGAAAGCTTAGTTTGGTCCGCCAAGGCACTAAGCATCGGTGAAGTGAACCCCCTCACAAGTTCAACACCATCGCCGTCCTCTCTGCTATGTTCCATCTCATCTCACTTGAGAAGACTACGCATAGGCTCCGCTGGTAATGATAGGGTACAATGGACTGTTGCCTTACAACCCGCTGGCCACCGGCAACGGCGATGCTACAACGACCTTGTCAGGCATGGTGCAGCTGAGCGTCACCACCGATACTCTGCGAGGGAGTTGCTATTCCGCACTCTAACATCAACGCGCGGAGATGATGTTTGATGAATCGAACTTTTCCTTTGAGATGAATATGCAAGTAAGTGCGGAACCTATGCATACAATGAGTCGTCACCTAGCACACAGGATCCAACGGGCAGCGAAAGCTCCATGCTTCTTCGTCTATGCGGATCCAGTTGATAGGATAGACGAGGACGTGTCAATCCGAGCCTTGCTTACTGTGTTTTAGCTACCCGGTAGCTCGTGCGAAGTATGCCGGCCATTGCATGTCTGCAACTCCCTCCAAAAACCGGATGAGCTGCCTATGACTGTCCACACCGCCGGCCTCAAAGAGCAAATAGCAGAACAGCAGACGTACCAACGAACTCCCATTGCAGGAGAGCAATATAGCGAACCCGAGACGCCTACAGGGAGTAGGCTTACGTTAGGCTCGCAGAGGATACATTGCACTTACTCCCGCGCATAGGCCGGCTCATCAGAAGAATCCGCGGAGATGCCAAGCGAAGACTCGAATGTCCTGAACAACACGCGCACTGCGTGAGCTGTTCGCATCTCAGATTATTCGGATCAACTTTTTCGGCTGCCAGTGGTTGGGAAGAAGCTAACGCATGGCAATTTATCTCGGTGGCGCTCAATCAGTGCCACAGCTTCCGCCAACGCAAAGTGTTGTGTGGCTGCCATATCGCCCATAATGAATAGCAAGGCCCCACAAAGCCTCTTGTGTGGTCAGCGTCAGTACGGCAAACCGGATCTACTCGGTGTCCCAACTCTGCTTCTCTCGCTGAGCGCGAAGAAAAAGACACCCAGGTGACTGAACTCGTCGGCTCATCCGACGTCGCCGTGGAAGCAATCCACCCTTCCGCCAAACACAAGGAGGGCGGTGCTCACACCCGGAAACAATGAAGACATGCTTTTCCACTGTGGGCAGAATTCCCATGCGTGCGATGTCCGGCAAGAGTGTGTCTGCGTTTTCTTCGGCTCCGTCATCAGCTTCGAATTCCAAACAGGAAGATTGTTTTGCCAGCGGTTCACCGCGGAAATCCTGTCGATATATTTTCTGGCAAGGATAAGATAAGGGAACCAATTTTGGATCTCGACTGATACACTTCCGCATCTGAGGTTGTCGCCAAGAGATAAGCCTATCAGCCCTTCTGGCCCCCCCCACATTCATCCCGCGTTAGCGGATCTCCCTGGTGGATGTATTTTCACCACTGCAACAACGTCTTTACCGCCTCGAAACGGATTATACCGGGCGGCAGTGGCTAAAGGCCCATGCCCTTGGGCACGTCGAGACTTTGTAGGACGGCCAAAGATGATTTGCCTGGGGTTTCAGCCCAAAGCAATATCATGCTTCTCCGCCGCCCTCATTTGGGAATGCTATACGCCTGGGGAGATAAGACACCCCAGTCAGGCCCATACTGTGCACTCACAACCCCCGGGAAGCTATCATATATCTTGGGAATTTAGCGGATCTGCGTCTGGAGCTGCGCCAAAAGCTTGACTTTGCATCACAATCCCATACCGCGGAAGTACCCAACCTGGAGGCATCAATGGGGCTTTTGTTATATAGTGGGCACCATCACGGCCCAAATCATCCATCCCCCAGCACACTCTCCAACCCAGAACCCCTTGTCTTTCAGAGTACCTTTCCCACAGCACGTCCCAACGCATAGAGTACTCGACCATGGGCTTCGAACTGAGGCAGCTGTGGAGCGCACCACACGTCAATCCATACAACAAGAAGGCCACATCCATACCCATCTTCAATCCCTTTGACAAATACGGACGCGTCTTTTTCTTCTCTTATCTGGGTTTCTTCATTGCCTTCTGGTCATGGTACGTTGGAGCTTCTGCAGTTCCTTACTGTATATCGCTGACCCTCATCTAGGTACGCTTTTCCGCCACTGGTATGGTGCCACCTTAAACCGTGACTTTCGATTCTGCTTCTAACAGCCCCTACAGCTAAGCATCACAATCAAGAAGGATCTCCATCTATCTCAGAATGAGGTCGCAAATTCCAACATCGTCTCCCTGGCCGCCACCCTTGTGGTGCGATTCATCGCTGGCCCCTTGTGCGACAGATTTGGGCCTCGTTTGACTTTCGCTGGACTGCTGCTCACTGGCGCTATCCCGACAGCACTCGCCGGCACGGCTCATAACGCAGCAAGTCTGTACGCAATCCGCTTTTTCGTTGGCATTCTAGGTGGCACATTTGTGCCTTGTCAAGTATGGACGACGGGTTTCTTTGACAGGAATATTGTTGGCACCGCAAATGCGCTCGTCGGTGGTTGGGGCAATTCAGGAGGAGGTATCACTTAGTAAGGAGTCCAGAGCGCCGTGTTTCCACCTCATACTGACTGGATACTAGCTTCGCCATGCCGGCTATCTTCGATTCTCTGGTGCACAAGCGTGGCTTGTCGCAGCATGTCGCATGGCGTGTGTCCTTCATGGTCCCGTTCATCCTCATCACGCTTACTGGAATCTGCATTCTCCTCTTCACCGATGACACCCCGACTGGCAGCTGGGCCGAGCGGAATGCAGTTGTCGCTCCTACGCACACGGAAACCATTGTTGCAGCAACCGGAAACTTGAACGACAACCCGTACGACAGTGGCAACGGCTCGGTATCGGAAGACGACGAGAAAAAGACCAGAGTGGAAAAAACGCCTCTTCCCAACAGCGACATCGAAACCGGCGCCGGCGAGGTCCAAATCCTCGACGAGGTGCAGCACGAGGTGATACAAAAGCCCACCAGAAAGGAAGTCATCAAGGTCATCTGCTCATTGCAGACTCTTATGCTCTGCGCTGGCTACTTCTGCTCGTTTGGCGGCGAACTCGCCATCAACTCCATCCTCGGCTCTTATTACCTCAAGAACTTCAAGTACCTGGGGCAGACGCAGTCGGGAAGGTGGGCAGCCATGTTCGGATTGTTGAACGTGGTGAGCAGACCGCTTGGTGGCTTCGTGGGCGACCTCATCTACAAGTGGACCAACCATAACCTGTGGGCGAAGAAGGCTTGGATTCACTTTGTGGGCGTCATGTCCGGCATCTTCCTCGTCGTCATTGGCGTTCTCGACCCCAAGAACCTGGATACCATGATTGGCCTCATCGCTCTCATGGCCATCTTCCTCGAGGCCGGCAACGGCGCCAACTTTGCCCTCGTCCCTCACGTCCACCCTTTCGCCAATGGTAAGTCCATGCTCCTCAAACGGTTCCCGACCTTCAGCGCAATAGCTAACTCTCATCAATAGGTATCATATCCGGCTGCGTCGGCGCCACAGGCAATCTCGGAGGCATCGTCTTCGCCATCATCTTCCGCTACAACGGCATACACTATGCGCGCGTCTTCTGGATCATGGGCATAATGGTGATTGCGCTGAACTTGGCGTTTGTGTGGGTGAGACCGATTCCCAAGGGCCAGATTGGTGGCCGTTGACGGATTCTGGTTCTTGTAATTTCTGCTGTTTGTTTATTTCGGTTGCTTTTCCGGATAGGGTAAAGGCACAAAATATATTAGAGTCTTGATACCGATTTTATTCGTCGGATTTGAATGTGCGATTTGTGATTGGTGCTGCTTTGGCATTGCTAGGTTTGATCGGGGGGGGTTTTGTCAAGATGCTTGATATAGGCAGAGTCGAAGGCGGAATGCATGTTCAGAGCTCGTTATAGGCGCTGAGATGCGTACAGGCGTTGGTTCTAGGTATCAATTACATGGAGTGATTCCTTGGCAGTTAGCTTCCCACTGCCAGATTCTTCCTCTACCCAAATTACTATGGGAACCAACGAACGTCCTCAGAATCGCATCGATTTGCACTGAATCACCTATATACACTGCGCTACAACGTTGAAATCGCTTGCATATTTAAGGAAGACGTAGGATGTTTCTGAATAGAAAATCGGAAATACTAATGGCATGGAGATGGTTCTTCATAGGGCGTGTGGGCCCTACCTACATCGGAGCTGGCTCGGACTTTCTAGCTGGAAATCTATAGTAAGAACTCGACTTTATGATCCACGATCATCTTAATCTGTTCAGAAATACCTAATACTTTCCATCTCATTCTCTGATCCATGTTTAACTCCTTGCTACCCTTTTCAGTCTGCGAGAGCTACTGTGGTATTAAAAATGTCTTTCACTTCTTAAATCTCCAACGTCATTTTGACGATCTACTAACGGCGCTCCTCCGCCACCCATTCCACTATAGGAATATATCATTCTCACCAGAACCAACACATCCACACTCCACGCCTCCCGACTGAATGAGCAGACTCCGCCACCTACTCTCACACCTCCTTCCACCAACCACCACCAAAATGTCCTCCACCACCTCCAGCCGGCCCTCCACCCCCAGCCAACCCCCCAAACTCTCCGACTACCCCAACCTCACCCACGCCCCTCACACCACGCACCCAACGCGCGTCGAACCCCTCACCATCAAAGTCTCCGACGGCCCGGACGGCGCCGTCCCAGCCTTCCTACACCTCCCCATCCCCTCCCCCACCACCTCATCCTCAAAAACAGCAGCCATCCTCCTCTCCGGCGCCGGCGGCGGCGTCACCGGCCCCTCATCCATATACCTCTCGCTGGCGGAGAAACTCGCCTCCTTGCACATCCCCATCCCGACCCTCCGCCTCGACTACCGCTACCCCGCGCGAACAAAGTACTGCGTGCGCGACGTGCTCGCCGCCCTCAACTTCCTGCAATCCACGCATGGGCTTGACCGGTTCGTCCTCGTCGGGTGGTCGTTTGGCGGCGCGCCGGTTTTCACGGCCGCGGCCCAGGATGCAAGAGTCGTCGGGTGTGCGACTGTCGCGAGCCAGACGGCTGAGACGGAGGGGATACGGAGGGTGTCGCCTAGGCCGGTGCTGCTGATGCATGGGACGGGGGATCGCACGTTGAGTCCTGCGTGCTCGGAGCGGTTGTATGCCATGTATGGGGGTGGAGGGAAAGGGGAGCGCGTGTTGAAGCTTTTCGAGGGGGACGATCACGCGTTGACGAGGAATGCGGGCGAGGCGGAGAAGATGCTGGGGGAGTTTGTGATGCGGTGTGCTGGGGTGAGGGAGGAGAGGGCGGATGAGGAGGTGTTGGGGGAGAGGTTGGTCGAGGATGGGGAGAGGGTCGAGTTGATGAGGAGGGGTGGGGATTTGAGGAGGGGGGAGAGCGTGGAGTAGGTGTCGAGAATTCGATATGTACTTGTATATTGATAAGACACTTGTGAAGCTGGCTGCTCTTTTACTGGGACCTAGGTACAGTGGGATATCAAATAAGCTTCCCGTCTAATTTAGGTGCAATTCATGATGATTCCCATCGCTTGTGGTATGCGTATCTTTCAGCACGACGAGCTTATCATACGTACGGCGACCTCATCAGCTTGGGCTTAAGATTGAAACGCAAGGCGACATATCAAATATACACATAGCAGCTTAAGAATATGATTCATGATGGATTCATTAAAAAGGATAGTGACTCCTTCTGAGAATTCATGACGCTAGATAATACAGATATCCGAAGCCCCCCGACTCCAGTCATGACCACTCCGTCCAGGCAGGCGGAGTGAAGATACATTCTCATGTTTGCATTCCTGGCCGTGACTATTTTCCATCGACTACCCTACTTGGTCGAAGGGTTGGGGCTGACGGTCTTGTCCGGGAACTTGCGGAAGATATCGGCGATGTGGTCGATAGGAGCCGTGAGCAGGCCCATGACCGTCTCGAACGGAGGATGCTCGCCAGCACTGGGGTGGCTGCGAGACGGCACAAAGGCCTTGGTCCTGCCAAACTTGGTCGCGAGAGACTCGGAGACGCCCGTGTGCTGGTGCTCGGTAGAGAGTACCTTCTCGAGTTGGGGAATATCCTCTTCTTCCTCCTCCTTGATGTGCTGCTTCAGATTTGCCCACAGCGACTTGAGGGTCGGGATGTAGGCCGGGTCCTTGACCTTGAGGCCTTGGAACTTCTTGAGCTGCTCCTTGACCTGCGCGGGGTTAGTCATTGCGTCATTGGGATTGGGCGGTGCGGATTGGCTGAGAGCGATACCTCGTGATGTTCCTTGCGGTCCTTCTCGGCGATGTCATGGCCCTTTGAGCCCAGATACTGCTCGAAAGCGGGGTAGATGATGAGCTCCTCAGCTACCGAGTGACGGGCGAGCTCCCAGGTAAACTGGTTGCCGTAACGCTCCTGATGATCGGGGTCGGTGGAGTTGACGACCTCATTGTAGTGGGCTTCGAGCTCGCGGTGGTCCTTGACGAGAGCGTCGGTGACGGTACTGCGCTTGGCGGTTGCCATTGTGCGTCGCAGGTATTGGAAGGTGATTGCCTGTTGAGGGAGGAATTGGGATTTGGGTGCGCAGGTGTTGACACGAGAAGCAAGGCGGAAGGCAGAAGTATATAAGGGACGGAGGCTCATGGTGAGTGTAGGAACGCGTGGCTGGGGGAGGTCAAAGGACAAGATAAGTCATATGGTGGGAATCGAGCCAAACAGCTTCCCAATTAAAGGCACCAGCATGAGGAGCTACGCAGAAATGACGCAGTGGTGAATAAGGCGCCCTTGATTGGAGCAGCGGAGGCATACCAAGACGGTCACACAGTCTCGTTTGGGAATAACAACAGCTGGTTATGCCTGCAATTCGACCAGCGCCGCATTCCATCATGTTTCGCTGACAACGTCGTGCGGTTCATTGGTGGTGTTGGTACATCATCTTTGACGTCACCGTGATCCTCGACTTTTGGAAGCGGCCTGGATGTACTGCCTCTTGTCAAGCCCGACTGAACACGACCGTGCGCGTAGGGGTTATTGACCTTCTAATTGGCCCTTTCTGCGCCTCCCTCCAGGTATAACCAGCCTTAAAACACCGTGTTCTAGTGGCGTAAACTAGACTGTGGCTAATTGAAATGGTTGAATTAGGTGATCTAACTCAGAGCAGCAGTACAAGCGGGTGTTCAGTCGGATGTGAGAGGGGGCAGTACGCCACGCGAGTACTCCCGCTTACCCACAAAGCTTGGCCCGTGCTTAAAACGTGGATGTGGAATTGCGGCTTATTTATTGGTCAGTGTCAGAAACGTCAGAGTACCGTCACACTTCAACACCAAGCCAAGCAAAAGCCTGCTACTCCTCTCCTTTCTTACTCCTCTCCTTTCTGAGCCAAGGACCCTAATGGAGTGTCTTGGGATGTCGCAGCCGGGCTACATGGTTGTCTACCAGACTTTACTGGCAGAAGAACAAGATGGAGAACAACATCTCACGACTAAGCAAGCTGTGCTAGAATCACCGTGTTATACCCCTTTGGGACAATATAGCAAAAAGCTAGTTGCAATTGGGCATACATCTTCTTAGGATGTCTCTCAGTCAAATGGTAATCTGCACTCAAGTAGTCAACAAAACACTGTACATGTACGCATTTGCAAGTGAGTATTACCTTGGTACTGCCCGAAATCAGCCATATGATTTTTACTGGGACCGTCCTCGACCCAGTCAGCTACACTGTATACAAAATTACGTGCAAAACGCCGCTAACCAAAGGCCAGCCCCCTTATCAGTAGTCAGTGTCCAGCGGAAAGGTATGGTCCCGGATATATTCCAAGGCGCCGCAGATGTCTCGATAGTTTTCGGCGTTGAGGAGATCGTACGTAGTTGCAGCAGTTGCTCCACCTGTGTTGCTTGCGACCGTGGGTTTCCCACCGCCCATCCGCATATTGAGGCCGACAAGCGAATCCGCCGATGACTTCACAAAAAGTCGAAACGTTGTTCCCTCTGCCGCAATGCAGAAGAAATTCGCACCTTTCTGCGTCTTGTACGCATTGGTGGCGTATTTCTGAAGTTGGCCGACAACAGCATCCACGGTGGCTCGCCCTGCTCCTTCTCTCTTTCCCTCGTAACTCAAAGCTATGGAGAGTGGCTTTACAGGGTCCCTTGGAGAATTGATCTGGATGATGTCCAAGTCTCCGCGGAGACGACTATCAGCGTCATCCAACGTGCTTTCCGGACACACGATGAATTTGTCGCCTTCAAAGTAGAAATTGAAGAAGACGTTCCAGACGCCATTGACGTGACTCTCGTTCGCCCAGAAAGTAGAGTCCAGGCTTTTGAGAATGTCCAATGTCAGAGGTGGGCCGGGCATGTTGATGAAGGATCGGGTTCAAAACAGCTTTCGAAGGATAGGAGCGGAAAGTGAAATCGATGATCTCGGACAACAAAAGCAATGATGGAGGAGGGAACTGGATCGCTGCTGTGATTATCTCGAGGGCAGTTTCTATCCCTTTTATGCCGTTCTCCCCTGCTAAACCAACGGGAAATACTGCATGTGATAAGGATCTAGGCTCAATCATACGACTTCGGAAGTGGGGCTGATAGATGAAATCCCTAAGATTAGGGGTGAAGGATTAGCGTACCCATTGTTTCTTCAGCCTCGACCATTCAATGGTTACATAGACTAGGTAGGGCTGTAACATGTATCAGGTACCCTAGGTACTGTGATTCAAATAGATGTCAGACAAGCGGGGACATCGCATGTTCTTGCGGAAAGCGGATATTTCCCTTCACCTCACAGCACTACCGTAGGTTACATAGCGGGGTGACGTGATATATGCCGTTCTTATTTGTTGGCGATTTTGGTTCTGGTGCGCGAAGTTGTTATCAGTCAGCCTGGTCGTCCTACAAGCACTAACTTTTGAGGTCATGAGAGGTGCAGCTAGAATGTGCATAGACCTCTGTATGGCCGTATGTACTGTAGTATGGTGGGGTATTGTTGGTGTCAGCGATGGAAGTCTCCATGTCGTGTCCATCTTAGGCGATAATCATCTCAAGCGAACCTCCAACTCGTCACGCGAAGCAGTATGACAGAAGAGATTAGGTCATTGCTTGTCACGCTGTTGTTACTATAAATTACCTACTTTTGACCACTGTACTGTTTGAACAAAGCATCATCGATCTCCATCATCCGTCACGTCCTAATTCTGGTGATACACTCAGCCTACGATGATTTCCCCCGCCGAACTCGCGGATCCACGGAATCCTCATACGTCCGACCCAACCGTGCCGACATGTCCTCCACTGTCTTGGCTAGGATGGGGCTTGGACGTGACATCGATCACGCCATGCGACATCTCTTCAGTAAGCACATTTCGGACTAGAACCACTGGTTTCAGACATAAGAGTTCACGATGGATTTTGACCATGGGCCTATAGGTTACTGCCAATCTTCTGAAGGCCTCGCGATTCCTCGACATAAAGACGACAACCCAGCAGCAATCATTCAATTCGGGTGTGACATGGGCTATTCCCACCAATGTCGATGCAACTGATGACGTCTCCGAGGGTGAAGGTGAGCAGATTTGCTATGATTCTACATCTTCCTGTTCACCTTTGCTACCAGCGTCTCTCAATCTCTTCGATAGTGGCACCCAAGCTGCCAGTTCAATCACTGCAGATGCAAGCCTTTCTGCGAAGTATATGGCAGTCACCGTAGGGGTGTCGGCGAACTATTCCATCAGCAAGATGTTCCAGGGCTTCTATTCTTATGCGCTGTTTAGCTACAATCAGAACCTCATCCAGGCTTCAATCGACAGCTGGGCGGACAACATCCATGAAGATAATCTGAAGAAGCGCTTGAGTACCCTGCCAACATGGGATCCCACTAACGATGACACCGTTGGGAGATACAAGCGTTTCTTTCGTAGTTTCGGTACACACATCATCACGGGCACCTCCTACGGGGGTCGCTTTCAATTGGTACGTGACCGCAACCCGCTGTGGATTCAAACAGCTAATCACGCTTGTTCCGTACATAGACGGCCTGGGCCTCGAACACAAAGTCCGACGTAAAGGAGAATTTCGGAGCCAACATTGCAGCCCAATACAACGGCCTCACCAACAGTGGAGACTTCAACGCGTCCGTCAAAACCTCCAGCGAGTATTCCGATTTCAGCGGTTCGAGTCAGAAAATCGTCTCTTGCAAAGGCGGCGATTCGACGCTCGCAGGGACGATTGCATCCAGTCCGGAGAACAAAGACATCTATTCCTCCTTCCAGCAGTGGGTCAAATCGTCCTTGGGAGCTCCTGCGATTATGGCGATGCAAACCGTGGCTATCTGGGACATGATGTCCGCCGCGATCGACGACACAATTGTCAACCGAGCTGGCGAAATGGAGAATGCCTTCAAGTATATCGTTTCGCACCCGGCCGAGCACGTTTCCAAATGCCGATTCGTAATCAATTCGGATTGGGGAGAGTTCGGCCTCTTGACGCCTGCGGCTGTCATCAAACCGGATCCTTCCAATCCAGCGCCATCGGGTTTCCTGATCAGCACGACCAAGGTCTCATGGGGCCGAGAGCGCAGCTTCCAATTTAGCCGTGACGTTACTGTCGAGTAAGTTACTACGAAGGAACATAGTCTGTTTCAGTGAGTTGACGGTGGCTTTAGCTTCGAAATTCACAACGATGGCTCCCCAGTCGATATTATGCTGTCGCACGGGAGCGATGGTTCAACGCCGGGGAACGGTGAATGCGCAGTCACCATCTATCAGGCAAGTCCAGGCATCAAAACCCCAGAAAAGACTACTGATGATTTCTTAGACGACATTTGAGAATGCCGGTGTCAAAGATAATAACTGGAACTCCCAGTGGTTCTACAAATGTGACGTCAACCCCAACGAAGTCTGAAAGAGGGGTGTATCGTATTTGAATGTGGTCGCGCGTGGCGCTCAGTCTCAATGTTTTCGATAGCCACGCTCTCTAGGGTGTCCCTCAAATTGCACGAGATGGGCTTGGCTGAATAGTAGCATTCACAAAAGCGCTGGATTTGCTTCTTTACTGGTGTGCCGTTGCATAAGATTTCTCTTACGACCATAGGATGTCTGCGATTTCGGCATCGGATGACAGTAAGGGGAAGGGCATTGGGTAATGGTTCACTTGAACAAGGCGCGGTTTGCGCAAACTCCCAGTCGATTATGGCACGGAGCAAGGAAGTTGTAATCTTCGTCAACAAGAATATTCTGGGTCCCCAAGTCCATATGGTTGAGCTGAAACAGCGTGCTCTCGTCCTTGAATAACTCGGTCAGGGAAACGATGTCGCGGAAGATGGAGGTGCCCAAAAGTGTGAAGCGATCGTATTCCGGATCCTCCAAGGCCGCCTTGCGAGCAAGAGTGTATCTTGACTGTCCGACGGCCGTGAAGTACTCGTGAGTACTGTTAAAAGGGCCTGGTCTTGGAAAACCCTCTGCTACTGCTGCGCCTAATGGACCGATGGTTGGCTCAGCACCATTGAAGTGGGAGATCGATTCAATCTTTGGAAAGCTGAACGTTGCCAATTCGGTTTGAATGGAAGTCCACTGCGCTATGATATACTCCTGTGTGTGCAGCGGAAGATCGCAGATATCGAACTGCACATCTTGCAGTGTGTTACCGTAGAAACCCTCAATCAACATATAGCATGCGCCAACAGCTTTAGCTTGTTGCGAGCCCGGAGGCGCGTAGGCGTAAAGCCTCGGTGATGGCACTTTAGGAGCATTAGCCTGAAGGAATGACATGGTGGCCACCTCGCACTGTATGGCGTACGACTCGGAGCTCTCTGTAATTGTCCCATTGCTGCTAGGATGCCTCGGGAGTCGTACGCGCCCGATAACCAAGCTCTGGTCCTCCAGGACGAACTCGAAGCAACACCAGAACTGCCCAGCAGAGAAGGGCTCGCTCATGTGAGCCTTCTTTTGCGTAACTTCTTCGACGTGATTACAAAGGGCCTGTTTGTCAATGCTTTCCATAAACTGTTCCAGTCGCTGTTTCATTCCATTATAATCCCATCCCTCATACGATTTCCAACGCGCGCTTGGAGGCCTTTTAGCAGACCCTGCCATTTTTGAGAGTCGGACTGTAGTAAGTACAGGCCGCGGGACTGAGAACCATGAAGAGCTGAGGGTGTCGTGCCACCCTCGCTTCAATTCAAGTCGCACCTATGATTGGCCAGTGGGTGGCTTCAACGTTACACAAGCACTTTATATACAAAAGTGCTACCAAAACAAGCACATACGACCATAGCACACGGAAAATTGGGCCTCTCGTCCGATCGACCATACACAAGCCGTGTAGCGCCCGTTGAGTAGTAGCGTGGGTGACCAGCTGCGAATAGCGTGGTGTTGTATGTTTTTGCCCCCGTTTCCCCTGTTTTTTACTTAGTGCAGAGAGGAAGAACCTCAACGTAGGATATCACAGGTTGTATGCGTGTTAGGTCCTATACATAGTAATCTAGGAAAAGCAAGGGTCCAAGGTGGCTGGCACGCAATTCTACAATCAGGATCGAATTTTTGTAGATTTAAGATGGTCGTAACCTTGAAAGAGAGTTAATCTACCGCATGACCCAACCCCGGAGGACCATTAGGCAGAGGTATTCTTACGGGAAGAGGTGTTGCAACGAGGCGTATCATACAAATTCGGGTAATCCCCAGTGTTCACTGCAGCTGAGCCAAAGGCAATCCCGAACGTAGCGCTAACAGCACCGGAACCTGACTTTTCCATCACCATTACCTTGCTTTGGTAGACGAGCCACGGACCTTCTACCACCCGCCTTCTCTTGCACCTACTCCGGTTCCCAAGAACGACCAGCCCTCGGGCTGCAGGTTGAACGGCCACGGCCAGTCCTCCAGCAGCTCGGGCGGGAGCTGGAACTCGCCCAGCCATCCTGGATCAAACGGTCCTTCAGCCTCTGCACCTGCATCTTCCGCCTCCGCTACTTGCGCGCCGCCTTCATCGTCGCCAACTCCAGCTGTATGCATGCCCACATCCTCGTTCGGGGCCGGGTGCTGCTGAGGAACCGGCATCCCTTGATCTTGATTTAGCTGCGGCTGCGCATAAGACCTCTCCCCGGGCCGGCGCTGAACACGCATATACTCCTCCATTCGCTCCACCTGCGCGCGGAGGCCTTTGCTAATGTCCGCCGCGCGGGACAAGCCGCTTTCGAGACTCTCGAGCAAATCCGCGATGGAAAGCAAGATGCCCTTAACCTTCAGGTACCCTTCCTCGGAGAGTGGGCCCTCCATGACGGAGCCGAGGATCATGCCGATGCCCGCGAGGTGGTAGAAGAGGGGCGTGCTGATGCCGCAAAGGTAGGCTGTGGGTATGGTCTGGAAGACGGCGAGGTGCTCAGCGGCGATGTGGCATTTAAGCAGCACGTCCGACTGAGAGCGGTGGTCATCATCGGTGCAGAGGAAGAGCATGCGCAGCAGCAGCAGCGTCGCCTGGATATTTGCGGCCTGGAATCCGAAGATGTCACAGCCGCGGTCGCCTGTGGGCGGCGCAAACATTTTGAAATCTGGGGGCAGGGCGTCGTAGTGCGCGGTGATGGACGCGAGCACAGCGGCCGATGGCTTAGAGGCGGGCATGCCGAAGACGGCGGCGACGTCGATGCGGTCATCGATGCGGGCGTAGCGCGCGCGCACCCGACTAGAAGCGTGCTCGAGGGTCAGATACAGGTCTGTAGTGAAATTCCAGCCACGCAGCCACGAGGTGGTGGGTAGTGGGGAGGGTAAAGTGGCGAGAGGCGTAATGAGCTCGTCCTCAACCTCAGTCGGGTAGTGGACACGGGCGTTGGCTCCATAGGCGTGGACACTGCGGTTCCACACAATGGAGGTATAGACATCGAGGGTGTAGGTCGACCAATACTACCATAGAATTGAGCAGAAGTTTTAGCTTGCAGAAGCGAGGAGACATACCAAGCGCCGCCTTTCCTCAACCTCAATGTTGGTTATGTTCTTTGGCCAATACGCCTCGTCATGGAACCTATGAATTCCGACCAGAGTAAAGTAATGACCTAAGTATAGCTGCATAGCCTCAATATCCCCATACTGGATACTAGTAATGGACAGCAGTGCACACGCCCTCATATGGTCAAAATCCCGAGCTTCTACAAGATTCTTGGGTAGCGTATCTTTTGCTGCTGTATAGAATGTCTCTGACGGAATACTGACCATAGACGTGTCCTTGATCGAGCCATATAGCGCGCCATCCCTTTCTCGAGCTGATGCCAGAGCGCATGCTGCCATCAGCGAGGCGAAACAGCCCCGGTTCCGCAGGTACTCTTGGTCGTGTACCTTCTGGAGCAACGTTGGTTGATGGAAGAGAGGGAATCTTAAGGGTCTGAGTCAGCACAGCTCAAACGAAGGGTAAACGGACCAACATTCGAAACGGAGAACAGGCATTCCCACCCCTTCCTAACATCAAGAAAGAGCAGAACCCCTCCCACAAAACAGAAAGAACCTTTCCCACTCACATCGGATAAACAACCTGCAAATACACATCAACCAGATGCTCAATTGCCCCCGCACTCGCAGCCGCAAACGCCCTCCACGCCGCCTCTGGCCATTCCTCACCCGGCTCCTCCAGCTCCGTCATCTGCGTTCTCGAAGCCATGGACCCCCTACTGGGCCTCACTGACGACGGGCTCACGCTCACCGCGTCCTCACCCGTTATAGGCGCCGCATCCGCGACCTGGGCTACAGGTTGCAGCCGCCCGGACCCCAGCTGCTGATCATAGTTCTGATTCTGGTGTTGATGCTGAGGCCGCTGTTGCTGTTGATGCTGGATTCCGAGGCTAACGGCTGCAGAAGGCCCAGGCCCTCCTGACGGAGTGTAGTTAGACCTGGCGCGCCCTCGCTTCAGCGGGCGTTTATAGGTGCAGGGCACGTCGAAGTCATAGCAGTTCTGGCATCTGTGGGGGTCCGTGGCGTGAGGGTGGCATCTGATGCTGCGCCTGTGGCAGAAGTCGCCTTGGAAGCCGGCCTGTTAGCGGAGGTTTGAGGGCAAGGGCGGCAGAGCGAAGGGAGCATGTAATTTGAGAGGAAGGTTTATGTGTGATGGAGGAGGGGAAGGAGCTTGGGGATACAGGCGAAGGGGATAACGTGATGGCCGGGGTTAGCCATGAATGAGCACGGTTGACGCCGCTCTTCCCCCGATACCAGTATCACCGGTTGTAATAACGGATTGCGGGATGGGTAGAGGGGGCAGATGACAACCCTCCATTCCTTCTCTTGCGCATAGGCGTTTAAACATCCATTCGCATAGCAGAGACAGTGAAATAAGATGCGCCAGAGCTTGAGGGGGAGATAAGAATTGCGCAGGGTAATGGTGGCTAACACATACAAGCTCTACTTGCTCGTAGGAGTTTCTTTGGCCGCTGCTTATCCGCCAGCATGGAAAGCAAACGTTGCTCTCAGCCCTGTTTCGGCCTTCAGCTTAGAGATGTCGAACGGATGGTGTGAAGTGGCAACTGTATCGATTGAGGTGAGTTAACCGAGTTAATGAGCATAGAGGCGATTAGTTAGGCACAAAATTAATAGATTAGGAATTGAAAGGGCCATGCATGACAATGGAGATCTTGGACGTTGTATTAAAGTTAGATGCCCGCTCTTGGCTAGAGTGCACAAGGGCGCGATTCCTTGGCGCACTTGCCGAAAGAAGGTAGACTGGCTCTAGCGAAATAGGGTATAGTCGATCTCTATAGGAAAAACGAATTTCCAACCTGTACGCGGTGTTAGCTCTAGGCCTTAATAACAGGTGATAGCTCGCTAAGAGGTCGTCTTTTCCTATAGCAGATAACGACGCTCTAACACATTCACTTCATGTGTCTTTGAACCACAGTACTACTACTCGTTCTACGTATACTCTGGGAACGAGTAGGTGCTAAAGGGGGTTTTTGGAATGGACAAAGCACCATGTAGGTGATATTTCAGCTATCAGGTCTAAGGATACATAACCCGTGGTGTGAAATATCTATTCATCTTATCTGCCTGTCAACTAAATAGGATATCAGGTAACGAAACGCAAAGAACGAAGCGGAGGTAAATGAAAGAAAATTAGTATAAAGACAAGCCCCGGCAATGATATGCATGATACACCTCTTCGAACAAAACAGCAAACAGATCCAGCTGCCCGCCTCAAAACCCTTGGGAAGGTGACCATGGATCGCAACGTACATGTCCCTATCCATATGCGTGCATATATAGAGGGCTACTTAGACAGACTCGATCTGAACAGGCTTATCTTTGTCGACATCAGACGAGTTCTCGACGTCAGAGGTGCACCTCCTGTCCAGCAGCTCGCCCTGGCGGCGGTACGCCTGCTCCATGTGCCGGTTGAAGGGGCTATTCGTGGAGAAAAGGGCCTCGATGGACTCGAGGGAGCGGCCGGCCGTCTCAGGGTAGAAGAAGTACACGACGGGGATCCAGATCAGGTTGAGGCTGGCGAAGAGAAAGTACGTGCGGCTCTCGAGCTTGCCGAACATAACCGGGTTGACGAGGACGGTCATGCCGACGCCGATGGCCCAGCCCGTGATACCGAAGCCGTTGCCCTGCGCGCGCATGTCGGAGCTCCAGATCTCTGTCGGGATCAGGAACGCGATGGTACCCCAGGTCGACGCGTAGATGATGTTAAACATGAACAGCATGGCGACGGCGGCAGGTGCGAACTTAGCCGCATTCTGAAGCTGGGATCGGGACGCCTCGTATAGGGAGCCGGCGATCAGGTTGACGGCAAAGAGTCCCAAAGAGCCCACCATCAGACAGCTGCGGCGACCGAAGCGGTCGACAATATGAGCAGAGATGATTGTACCGACGATGCCAATGGTGTTTAGACCTCCGGCCAAGCCGTTCTGGGTAAGGGTGGAGTAACCGGCCGCCCGCAGAAGGACGGGAGAGTATGCGGTGACGGCGGTAATACCAGTCCAAGAAGCCATGATTTGGAGGAACAAGCAGAGCCAGGCACGGCGACCCAAGTGAGCGCCGGGCTTGCTACCCTTACCAATGAGGATCTTAGCAAACTCGATGGGTGAACTAGGCTTGCTCTCTTTGGCCACGGCAACAATCTCGAGGAATTCGTGTTCAATTTCAGGGGTATAGCCGCCGCGGATATGAGTAAGGACCTCACGGGCATCGTCAAAGCGTCCAACGGAGGCAAGGTAACGCGGGGAGTCCGGCAGTGTCTTTACACCCGTAAGCAGGATGAGGGCGGGGATACATTGGAAACCGAGAAGGAATCGCCAGCGGATGTCGGAGTAGCCGTTGTTGATAAAAGAAAGGCCGAATGAGAGCCAGTAGGCGACGGAGATGCCTAAGTAGTTGGCGATGAAGACGTATCCAAGGAAACCGCCACGGTGGGAAGCCGAAGAAGTCTCAGAAACAAGCACTGGAGTGATACCGGTAAGAGCACCAGTTCCAAGACCAGTGACAGCACGAGCAGCGAGGATGAAGTTCGAGGATTGCGTAGCAGCTTGAAGAGCACCGCCGATGAGAGCGAATACTGCACCGATCCAAAGACTGAGAATGTTAGTTATGAATTAGTGTAACGAAGGAATTGCTCGAAGGCTACTGACCCATTGATGCGACCAATGCGGTCAGCTAACCAACCACCAGCAAAGCAGCCGACGATACAGCCAAGGTAGTAGATGGAGACGATGCCACCTTCGTGAAAGGTGTCGGTGATGTGGCCATCCGAGGCACCAATGCCTACTTCCTGGACGTAGCGGGGCGAGCTGTTAACGCCGCCCATAACACCCTGGTCATAGCCTTCGAAGAAGATGGAGATCAAGGAGAAAGCCTGGATAGCGATGTTCAGCTGTGAAGCTGACAGCTTCGTCCATAAAGTCGTGTAACCCATGATGAAGACTGGAAATTGCGGTGTTCCAAAGCCAACTATCGGACTCCTGTCCTTAAGCTTGCTGCAGATGTCGAGAGCTTGCAAAGAGATGGAAGAGGAGAAGCTGAGATGCAGTTGTCCCTTAGCTGGGGATCAATGGAGAATATATATGTATCGCATCTGGAGCCAAGGCTTATAGAAGATGTGCCGGAGAATGCCACAGTAAATCCGGGGATAGTCGACTACAAGCCCTATAGACTGCCCAGGCCAGGAAATGTAAGGACTACATACAACTAGTCCGCACTTCCGGGGATAGTCCCCTCCCGAGGTGGGCCACTCCGCAATTAGCGTTGCCGTGCGGATAGAAGGAAATCTGACAAATAATGCAGGAGAGACACAATTGATAGCAATAGTGGCGAATCTGGGGAAAATGCGGAGGAAGATGCGGAGGTGATCAACAAAATCTGGAGCGCGTTGCACTTTTTGCGGCCGCGTTACAGCTTAACATCTTCCCTGGGGCCCTTAACCGTTTACCAGCCCGCGTAGGCGCTTAGCCGACTGACTCAGCTGGCAACATTGAACTACAGAGTCCCTTTGCCACCATCCTCAAGCCCTATTTTTTCCGCTCAACAACGGGAGGGCTACTCTCTAGATGATTTGATTGGATCTCAACTCAGTTACTGCCGGTCTGCTGTCTATTCCCGGGGCCTTGAATAACCCTTGGGAAGCTAAGACAGCTGCACCGTTTACCCCGAATTTCGGGGGTGGCGGAAGATACTCACCTACCGGTACTCCTAAGGGTGGAGGACATGCGTGCCTAGAGATTTACAGTCCATTCCGCCGTAACTATGGGGTAAGCGCATCCAAGATATAAGATGCCACAGATGGCCGTTCGCTCCCTTTTCACTTTCTCTCAATTTCCACGCTGTCTTCTTCGTTCTCCTTCTCCTCTTGCTTTCAGATACCCCTTTCGTCCTCTAACGGCTTTCCCCCTTCACAACTTCCACCGAAATGATTGCTCAAGAGATAAACCCCCTTGACTTTACTGTCTTGGGCTTGAACTCCGGTACTTCTATGGTAAGTTCCACCAAGAATTGGTGAAACTCCGCTCTCGACGAGTATTCCTTAAACTATTCGAATGTCCCAGCACTCGGCCATACCTTGACCTTACGGTCTGAATACGTGCTGACTCCATCAGGATGGCATTGACTGCACTCTGTGCCGCTTCCGCCAGGAGACCCCCGAGTCACCGATGCACTTCGAGCTCCTGAAATATGATGAGATCCCCCTTCCTCAATCCATCAAGAAGCGCGTTATGGACATAATCTTGCACGACCGCACGTCCGCTTCCGGGCTATCTGAGGTGAACGTTATTCTCGGAGAAACCTTCGCCGACGCCGTCGACCAGTTCTGCAAGAAGCACGACGTGGACATGTCGTCCATCGATGCCATCGGTTCACACGGCCAGACTATCTGGCTGCTGTCAATGCCCGAGCCCGGCCAGGTCAAATCAGCTCTTACAATGGCCGAGGGCTGCTTTATTGCTTCTCGCACCGGCATCACCACTGTGACCGACTTCCGCATCTCGGACCAAGCGGCCGGTCGTCAGGGCGCTCCGTTGATCGCCTTCTTCGACGCACTTCTTCTCCATCATCCTACTAAGCTGCGCGCCTGCCAGAACATCGGCGGCATAGCGAACGTTTGCTTTATTCCTCCCGACAACAAGGGTGGCGTATCCGAGGCGTACGACTTCGATACAGGCCCAGGCAACGTCTTCATCGACGCCGTCGTGCGCCACTACAGCAAGGGCGAGCGGGAGTACGACGTGGATGGCGAGATGGGTGCCCGCGGTACCGTCAATCAGGCCCTCGTCGACGAGTTCTTGCAGCACAAGTACTTCGGCCTCGACCCGCCCAAGACGACGGGCCGCGAGGTCTTCCGCGACACGCTGGTCTTCGAGCTGATCGAGAAGGCCGAGAAGCTGGGCATGTCCCCCGACGACGTCGTCGCCACCGTTACCCGCATCACCGCGCAGGCCATTGTGGACCATTACCGGCGTTACGCCCCGGCCGGCATGGAGCTCGAAGAGCTCTTCATGTGCGGCGGCGGCGCCTACAACCCGAACATCACCCGTTTCATCCAGCAGGCGTACCCCAATACCAAAATCATGATGCTGGATGCGGCCGGTGTACCCGCAGGCGCAAAGGAGAGCATCACCTTTGCCTGGCAGGCTATGGAGGCCATCGTCGGCCGCTCCATCCCGGTCCCCACGCGTGTTGAGACTCGCCGCGAGTACGTCTTGGGCAAGGTGTCACCGGGTACAAACTACCGCAACGTGATGGGGCGGGGGATGGCTTTTGGCGCTGGCCGTGACCGTCTAGCGCCTGTTAGAGAGATGGTCAACTACGTCGATGGCAAGATATTTGACAACAACTGGTAAGAGCGGACGACTTGCACGGTAAATACTCACGCACAACGTCGAGGTCACGTTGGCGTACCGGTTGCTTACATTGGAGACATGAGGAAAACATGTTTGGCGTAGTCAAGGCGGGTAGTCTACGTTCTTGATTGTAAATGATATTTTTTTTAGGCAAGGCGGCTTCAAAGGGGCTACACTACAGTATTTGCGAATCTTCAGGCAAGTGATTGCGTGAGAGAATTAGAGCTATTGGTTGGGAAAAGCATTAAGACTGCCTATTCTGTAAGGACTGATGTCACTACGCAAGCAAAAGAGGTCGTGTTAGAGTCATGTGGTCGAAAGACCGTGGTTGGCAACAGACCGTTCTGGTGAATTATAGCATCGGTTTTCCACCAAGCGTGATAGTTTACTCCTTGAACTTCCCTGCACTCCCAGCGGTACTAGGGGTCAATCTGGTTCGTAACACGGTCACTTTCAATCATCCCAATGGTAAAGTTAACCTCGCTGCTGAAGGCGTTATGAGCGCAAACAACGAGCTACCCCAGTTTCCACTCATCAAATCAATATACTGCCAATGCAGCCTGTGATATCTCCGCTACTGACTTGAAATATCCCAACCAGCATTTCCGAATAATTTCGCCGAGATATACATTGCCCGTTTCTGGGAACACCCCTTGCCTGAAGAGTCTCTCGACTTCGTCATCCTCGATGTCATCGTACGGTCTTTTTCCTGTGCTAATCTCGTAGATAAGACTCCCAATTGCGAAACCCTCCGTGGCAACTGAGATGTCGAGTGGTTCCGTGGCCTCGACCTTTTCATAGCGAGTCTCAGGTCGAACCAAGCTCGTCTGCGCACCGATCATCGAACCAGAGAAGTCACAGAGGAGGATTGACAGATCGTCGGCTACGAGAAAGTTGCGGGTGCTGATGTCGGCCTGAAGAACGCCTTTTGAGTGGATAAACTCTATACTTTTCAGGGCACTCTGAATCCAGCCGAGCTTTGTGGGAATGGCTATGTGTCTATCAGAATTTCGCAGGAACTCCCGAAGATTGCCGTTCTTCAAGTAGGGAAACACGAGTCCTGCATCGATGATTTGTAGGCAGGGAAGAATCCCTTCATGCTGGCCTAGATGTTTATATATCACCTTCTCACGTTCCAACATATCAACCGACTCTTTCTCAAAGGCTTGATACTGAATTGTCGCTGCATCGTCGCATCCATCAAGGTGGAAAGCCTGAGGGGCTTTTAGAACCGTCCTGCCGTCCTCGGAGATCCACACGGCAGAACAGCTTCCGGGCTTGTCTACATGTTTGCGGTAATTTGGAGAGGGCACTTTGAGTACCGGGAGGCGGAACCGGCGAGATCGAGCTGTCCCTAGAGATGCGTCGCCTATCATTCCAAACGGATGTTCTACTCAGGATTATATGAATCGGTAGAAGCGTTCCATCAAATCGTCAGAGATTACTTACACAGCCCCAATATGCAGAGCCTTTTCGTCGTACGACTTCCCACGAATGCAGAATCTGTAGCGGCTTTGCCTGGAGACTTGATGTGAGTTTAAACACTGCAAATAAGGACGACACAAGTGATCTAACAATGTCGCTGCAGACTGACGATCAACGGAGTTACAGTACATCAAATAGCGGTGAGGTGTGGCTGAAGTGGGGCAGGTCGCCTAGAATGCAATTTATTGGTGAATATACCATGGAATAATGCTATGTGCATTTTACATGCATTTCCAGGTTACCAGAGATCGTGTTACGGTTGATCTTGCGATTGTCACGCGTTCGATCCCTTTAGCGGTATCTAGTTTCGAAACCTAGGTGGCTAGCCTGTTAGTAAGTTTAATCGTAGAATAAACGATAGAGTCTATAGAAATATTGTCTAAAGTACATCAAGTTGAATAAAATAACATTGCTACTAGCTAACTGTTGTTAAGCTAATCTACGAATTGTCGGCTTTTCCGTTTAGTTAAAACAAAGACACTAGGAGCTAGCGTTGTTTACTTAGTAAGGAAGTAGAAAGGGTGGCAGATGTACGCGCTGTATGCACTACTGTGCTATCTCGTCAAGCCTGAACCTGCAGGTCGCAGAACAACTTTAGATCATGATGAACCGACGTTATCACAACGCCCGCTACACATATGCAGCTCGGGCACAGGTACAGGCTTTGACTGATGAGACTGTGCATGTGGGCAACGAACTTTGGGACACAATGGGAACGGAATGTGCCTTGAAGGGAGGGGTAAGTCCGACCTCATGAGCAAACGTATACAGGTAATCAGTGAAAAATATAAGTATATAAAGCCAGCAAAAGCTTGTGAATGGTCACTGCTTCTCTGAATGACGGAAGTGGCATGTCAAGACCTATAGTCGCCGATACAACTTTCCGTTTTCGGCTATGTCGCAAGTTCAATAACAAACCCTAGTACCAACCGGCCCCGCTCTACCAAAAGTATTAGATATATTGCGAAACCTTTACTGCAGCAGCCCTAATCACGGATGCAGATTTGCATCTCTCAGTTATAATGCATTACCGCGAGAAGAAAACGTATTGCCTCTACGGAGTAAGTTACCATCCAGACCAACTATAATTGGGACACCTTGTGTTGGAGGACTACGTGAATCCACTTACCTCTAAGCATTGTAAACATCCTAAGCTACCGTAAGTTGGGTCTTCGTTGGCAACGCTAATATAATAACCCTCTCAACTGGTGGTGACTTAAATCAGAGACGTGATTCATGACTATGCTTTCGTCATTGACATACCCAAAAACTTCAAATACGAAAAGAAATCAGGACTCAACATCGCAGCTGGTGCCGACGTTGCTGAAATGGTCAAGTTCAAAGTCGCCTGGAGTTCCAACAAGACGAAAATCGTCGCTGCTAAAAGTGCGCGTAAAGTCGAGCTCAAGGAGTACGCACTATCCGCTTCCTTACTCGTTTTACTCATCCAAAAGATACTTATTGACTGCGATACAGCTCCGAAGACTTCTTCTACAACCAAGTCCTTCAGAACCAGAAGGCGCGTGAGAGGCTAAATCAGTGGATCTCAGAAGCTCTCAGCGCCAAAGGAGCAGTGATTCGACAGTCGCTAAGGCGGAAGCCGAGGATATGGCTCTTGAAAGGGCTCTACACGTTCGAGGACGCGACTTCGACGGTGAAAATAAATGCATCGCTGGGAGTCGACGCCGGAATCAGTTCATTACTCGTTCTGGCAGTTGGCGGACCTCCGATCGGGCCTGAAGTGGGCATCTTGGTAGATCGTAGCGTGCAAAGTACGCTACCCATGGCTGGAGAACTGGTATGGGCTGCTCAGTGGCAGCTCTTGGACCTTGAAGATTTGCGTTACGGGGAGGACATTCCAGAAAGCAATACTCATGAGTCCGAGCCACCGAACCAGCCAGTTCCACGCTATCTCGTACCGCGTTCTACCAAGCTTCATGGAGACAGATTCTCAAGAGGAGTACTCCTGAATGCTGGAGACGGTGAGAAGCTTGTGTTCTTGGCGCTTGGAAAGGAATTCTTGGATGAGAAGGACGTGCCGCGCCTGGCGGAGACGATGGGCGTGAGCGAGGCAGCTAAACTCGTGGAACGGGACAACGAGCAAGAAAAGGCAGAAGCCCAAGAATTCTTGCGAATCACGAACGAAATGAGTAGGGGAAGACCATTGCAGAAGAGGAAGCGAAAGAGGCTCCCTAAAGATCAAGGAAGGGAGCAGGCTGCTTTGCGAGCTGAGCAAAGGGTCATTGAGGAGTTCCACCAAGCGTGTGAATATCTTCTGGTGGTTTTGGAAGAGCGTGACGCAGCTTCTAAGTCTTTCTCAGAGCGCATCATGCGGCCCGCCACTTTAAGTTGAAGGAAACACCGGGTTGAGCTACCCGACGAGATAATCGGAAAGGGCCGTGGAGAGGGTCTGGAGATCTTGCTTCCGAGGGTGGGTGGCGTGACATTTACATAAATGCACTGCGAGAAAATCTGAATAAAGTCATAAAATAGAGAAGGGATAGGTGTTAAGTGCAACGAGGAGATACAAGTGTGCTCTGCAATACTACCGTAACTATTTCGTAAGAGGATACGCAGACGAAACTTCGAAGACGTAGACTTGCTAGGGCGTCAAGAATCAAATCAGGCTGCTTTGTAGGAAGCAATGTATTTCTTTACGGAATGTTAGAATCTGATGTTGAAAGGGAACGATGCACACGCTATTTCAATTGTAGTTGGTCACTAGTCCTCTGTATATACCAACGGTCTAGATATTTTTCCTATGTCCTTCCTAGTAAGACTAGCAAGACCGCCAAATATTCAATTGAGGAAGAGGCCTAAGTCTTCGAGGATGCCATGCCAGATGTCCGGAAAGTGCCAAGGTCTGTCGTCTAGGACCTTCTGATTGTACTGTAGGGCTTCTAACAGCAAAAATACCCCCTGTTTTAGAGCCCACATATCCTCGGCCGGAGAATGAGCCTGCCGCTTAAATTCCGTCAAATGATGGTCCAAACACTGCATGGCCCGGTAGCATCCGATCCAACCTTCAAGATACAGGAGCGCGCGGCAATAATCGATCAGGTATTTCTGGAACTTTCCCTCCACGACTCTGATAAAGGAGTCGTATGATTCCTCAAGATGCAACAGCCAATACCTAAAAGCGTACTGACACTCAGGCGACATGTTAAGCGTGATCAGCTCATCAAATCGTCGCGCGGGCTGTCCGTGGCCGCTGTCATTTTCGATCCACTGCCGTGCGCGGGCTTCTTTATCCAAGCATGCGAGCTCTCTCTGTCCTTTGGTGCGTATCAATTCGATGCAACCCCTCATGAGCGCAGAATGTAACGGAGCACTCTCAGAACGCGACATTTTAGCCCACAAATGCCTTTTGAAGGAGGAGTGAATGAAACGCAACGGTGCTTTTACGTCCATGGATATGGCCACCGCGGATTGCACATCGAGCATGAAGTTTGAAACAACGTGAGATTCGGTAGCGAAGGCGAGCGCCATGAGTGTAGTAAAGGACTCGAAAGGTAAAGGCCCAAACATGACGCTCATACCGTTAATATACTTGGCGAAGTTGTCCTTCCAGGTTTGTTGGTATCGCGGTGATACGGTTTCGAACCATCTGTGATAGAGCTCACGGTAGTTAAACACAGCGTCGGGGGGGTCATCGGTCCTATCTTTAGTCCACCGGAATGCTGTGATAATATACTTCCGATTCTCTACCGCACTCCCGGCTCTTGATTTCAGTGATACGCATGCACGCTTCATGAAGGAGAAAGAAGTGTCAGCGGCGTACGTTAACTCGTCGATCGCCTCGGTCTCCAAGTTCGGAAGCTCATTGCTACAGATTTCGGACAGATCCGCTCTGACGATGGCTCGACTGCGTTGGTCAAGATTGAAAGACGTAGCAAATTGAGCGTCTCCTAGTTTGTCGAAGATCAGGCGTTCCGGTCGACTAGTTATGAGAAATCTGGCCAGTCTGTGTAACCCGACTGAAGCCGTCTCCAGTACATTGAGAATCGTGGAAATTTGAGCTGCCTTCTTGCACTGATCCAAACCGTCGATAACAAAACAGGCTGGCTGATTGAGCACCTCGGCCTCATGTGCCGCTTTGAGTGGCTCAATCACAAAGTTTTCCCAGCGTTGCCTTAATCCCATCTCTGGAAAGTGTTGAGACCTCCTCAGTGATTGTGAAATGTAGGGCTCAAGCGGCTCGTAACTCATAAGTTGGAGGGCGAGAACGTCAAAGAGATATTGCGCGTCGTCTACGTCGGGAGAATCTTCAGATTCCGCATCCCTTTCGCCATCTGTTGGGTCCGATGTGGGTCTTCGAGAGAAAGCCCAAGTCGCAACAGGGCGCCTTTTCGTGTGCAGGTCTCCTGCGATGCTCCACGCTGCGGTTCGTGCTATTGTTGATTTGCCCGTGCCGGGCATGCCGCGTAACCAGAACACGGGTAAGGATTCAGCGTTATAAGCCCAGGCGTAGATATCCTGCAAAACGTCCTGATGGGTGCCTTGAAGACAAAACGGCTCCTGCTCATGGTGTCTACTTGTGAAGACCGCTGCCGTGGCTCCTTTCAAGTGACTTGCGTTAACAGTGGAATGACCGTAAAAGTTGTTGATCGTGTCGCCGAGATGATCCCCAAGATGATGACCACGCCCATGGATGGTGGTTCCAAGGTACCTGTGACCTGTCTTAGAGCCAGTCTCCGTCATTGTTGAGAGTTGAGAGAAAATGCCACTCCAGAGTTGTTGCCTCGGGTCGGGTTATCAGTGTGCATGTTGCGCCACCAAAGGGAGTAATAAGTATGCGCAGTCTGTCTGGCACGTAATCTCACAGGTAATGGTGCCGTGTGGTTGGATAGGAAGCAATATTGAGTGGCCGCATACGGGCATCTGCATGCATATGTCCATGTTGGGGTCTTGACTCCTCATCCGCAGCTTCAGCTGGCTGCTTGCGCGCGCAACAAGGCTGAGGCTATCAGCAGCAATTCGGACCGCGAGGTGATCCTCTCAATCGCTGCTTCAAAACTCGTACAGCTCATTGATATGGAAGTCGCCGGTATTGTACTTGGGGGTGTTGGACTCGCCGCCTTGTTTGACAGTGTTGTCCAATGCGTCGATTACACCTATCTTGGGAACAACTTTGAGCGCGACGCGGCTACCATCCAGCTTCGACTGGAGGACACTAGAGCGCGTATTCATCGATGGGGTCGAGCAGTCGGTGTGCAAGACGAGCAACCGGCGAAAGAGCGCCTTGGATCGAACTATGAAATGGCTGAGAAACGGCTGCGGCAGATCAAGACCTACTACGACGAAGCGCAGGAAATGTCGAGAACCTACCTTCGTGAACACCCCAATCTCGACCCTTCATACTCCCTCGAACCGGACCTACCGGACTCTGAAGCTCGTGTCCGGAAGGCTCTTCGTCGCATCTATCAACCGGCACGGAATGTGGGAAGGAAGACAGCATGGGCGTTGCACGGCTACAAAGTCGCTGATCGGCTCATTGCTAACGTCAATGCATTGATTGATGGCCTGGAGCTTATTGCCCCGAGAGAAGAACTCTCCCGGCTGTCGGAGCTGGAAGTGAGAGAAATTGGTGATCCCGAAGATGTGAAGACGTTGACAGACGCAAACGAGCAAGATCGATTTCTCCGAGCTGTTGCTGGGCACTCATATATTCGCACTCAGAATAAAGGCAAGACCAGAGCCCTCATGGGGGATGAGATATCAGAAGAAGTCGCGCAGAAGGGTATTACCAACATTGGGAGGAAGCATGCATATGTCGACACGACCAACTCGGATGACGCGAGGGTGCTGATGGGTAATAGGATAGGAGTGAAGAAGAGTTTCTTGGATTAGCATGAAGGCGAGAAGACGGCTGTGAGGGTAGGGTGAGAAAGGGAAATGGAGCACGCACCATTTTCGAGGAAGGAACGATCTTTCGTGTCGAAGGAACAAACTGACACATCAAGCTGCAACATATTCGTCGATTTTCCAGCGTCAAGCCAGTCTCAAAACTGACCGACATGTTTCTGTCTCTGAGTCTAGTTCGGATGGCCTTCAATGCGCCTTTTGCAAAAGGGAGGCGTATCATCCTGTGATCTATCCAACATGTCTCACGTCATAAATAACAGACTACTGACCTGCCTTCCAACCCGGTATTCACATATCAGAGCTTTGCCCTGCTCCTATTTCCTGACCTGCGTGCCCATTCTGCACACCGTAATTACCCAGCCATCGAGGGCGTACGTTGTTTATGATTTTGAACTCTGCCATCATCTATCTCCCGTTAATAAATCCTCTCTCAAATCGCCCCACCTTCCATCACCCTTTCCCCCTCCAACGCTTGCAGAGCCCTCCTCGTCCCCTCAACAATCAACCCATGCTCCACCTTATGAATTCTCTCCTCCAGCTCCTCCACGCTTTCCCCCTCTCTAAGCTCAACTTCCTTACTAACCACACACTCGCCCGCATCCACCTCAGCAATAACCTCGTGAACCATCACTCCGGTCCTCTTAATCTCCCCCTTCCGCCCCGCCTCCCACGCCCGCTGTATAGCCCCTGCGCCGGCGAATTCCCCCGGTAGCGCTGGGTGCAGATTTATCACTTTTATGCCTGCCTCGGCGATCGGGTTGAGGAAGTCGGGGGTAAGGATGTGCATCCAGCCTGCGCAGACAATGAGTTCGGGGCGAGGAGAGAGTGAGAGGATCAGGGATGCGAGGTCGGCGTCGTAGGCGGTGCGGGCGGCGAGCGTGCCTTCAGGTGTGTCTGGTTGGCGCTTTTTATAGGGGACGAGGTTGTGGTAGGTTGTGGGGATCGAGGCGTTGGCGGCACGCTGGAGGCCGTAGGCGGCTTTGCGGCTGGTTATGAATCGTTAGAGAGACGATTCAGGTGGTGAATTGGGAGGGAAGGGGAGAGATACTTTGATATTACGTGTGTGATGCGGGTATTTCGGAGAGCTGGGGTGTTGCAGGCATCGATGAGGGCTTGGAGATTGGAGCCATTACCGGAGATCAGGACGACGAGGTTGTGTTGTGGGATTGATGTTGAGTCCGCCATGGTGAATTGGACTCTGAAATGAGACTACGAATGGCAATTGTATAGTACAGAAGGCAATTGGAGTGGAGAATGGAGTGACAATTGAAGATTGGTGAGTAGAAGTGGGTTTGGCATATGATGGCTGCGTCAGGAACTTTTGGTGATGGAGGGGTACCGGTGTTGCTACCCCGCTAAGCTTTGAGACCCACAGCTAGACTGAATGCTAAAGTGTGCTATTAGTGGAACTTCGTTTTAAGAGCTTATATGTACATATATACATAGGTGCTACGAAAATAATTGCAAGGTCTCTAATATTGCGAAACCTCCTCCTAGCTGTTCATTTCGACGTAAAAGCGGCAGTATGAAGAAATTGCGGTAGGGGTGTTCACTCGGATGTGAAAAGACGCAGTCTTGTCCATGGCACTCATGAACACAGTGCCCAGGTGGAATGCGGCAATCTGCTCCAGGTTGCTGAAATAAGGAACAAGGTTTTTGGCCTTTCGTAGAATGATAAGCGGAACCTGCTATTGCCCCCGAGTACCATCCAAACGCCCTTAGGTATCAATTCATCATTCCCATGCTCCCCAGCTCGAACCGGAACCCAGGCTATGCACGTGCTTTCTTGGAACTCACAGACCCAACTCCCTCCGAATCTTCATCCTCATCTTCCACGACCACACGTGACCGCTTCGTCCCCTTAGGGACACTGTTATCACCCTCCGAACGGACCGTGCCGCGAGAAGCGGCGCGTTGCCGCTTCTCAAGCGCCTCAAGCCTCTCCTCGTACTCCGCCTGTTGACTATCAACCGCATCCTCCAGCTTACTCACCCGTTCCTCGGGTTCGTCCTTCAGTTGATCAAGCACATCTGCATTCTGCCGGTAAATTCGGGCCTTCAAAGCTAAGCGCCAGAAGTAGTATCTGCGATCATTCTCATTACTCGCTTTTTCTTTTCTTGTGATGCGCGCGCGGCTGCGATGCGCAGGCGGTATAGTAGAGAGGAGGTGCAGCTCCAGCATGCGGTCGAACTGGCGAGGCACTATCTTCGCCTTGTGTCGGAGAGCTGTCAAATCGGTGCCGTTACCGAGAATCTCGTCTCGGGGAATCGGAGCCTTCTTGTGTAGTTTCTCTGGGGGAAGAGAGGATGCCAGAGTCAGGTTGTTGAATTCGGGGATCTTGCGGAGGTAGAGGATGTCACAGTAGTCGCGCATACGATCGAAGTCCTCGTTGGGGTCCTCGACGGGAATCTCGTAGATATTTTTGGCTTCGACGTAGTGGCTGAAGAGGGTTTGGTACAGACGTGTACCCAGGCCTAGGCCTTGAAAGTGCGGGAGGATGAGGAATTGTGATATCCGCTCACGGGACGGCAACTCCAGGACATTGACCTGTTCTTTGAAGATGCGTGGCTCGTCTTGTTGTGCCAGTTCTATTCGCGGCGGGAACTGTTCACTAGCGTCGCCGTTGCTGCTCGGCGGGGGTGAAGGGAGGTGTTGCGTTGCGCGCATGACCTCCAAAGTTGGTAGAATCCAATATCGGTGGGATGTGGAGAAACCGGCCAGAGTATAAGGCGAAGTCGACGCATCCTTGAGTGGGGTGACCTCATACAACAAGTGCAGGGTCCACCGTTCGTATGTCCAGTCCTCGTCCAGCTCTAGTGGGCTTGCACCGTCAACGTAGAAAAGCACCAAGATTTGTATCCGTTTCCACAGTTGCAGCGCAACCAGATCCGCCAAGCTTGTGCTCCATATCTCGTACTGTCGTCCATTCAGTTCGAAGCTACGCAATCGCTCGCCAGGCGGCTTCCATGTATTTGACAGTGCATCGGGGTCTCGATTCGTTGTAGACTCTATGGTCTTGTCAGTTGTTGCGATCGTGGAATATTTAGCTGCCGGACCAATTTTACCCGTTGAAATGTGTTCTTCAAAGACTTTGTTGATATCCACTTGCTTTACCTCCGCGTTCGGGAGGAGAGTAGCGAGATCTACCTTGCCCTTCGACTTGATGTCCAATGTCACTTGTAGGTCGTTTGCGCGGTAGTTGAGAGTAATTTTGGGATCTCTGTAACCAACGATGCTTTCCTCTTCCCCAAAAAGAGAGTAGGCAAACTCTGGATGGAGGGGTTCCTTGTTCACACGTTCGGCGTTGGTCGACGGGCGGAAAAAGTTGATCTCAATGCACTCTTTCGCATCGTGCACCCCTACGCTTAGGATGAGCACTGTCGGTGAAAATGCGCATTAGGTCGCTACTCACAGTCTTCAATGTCAACGTCCATGGTGCCGGAAACGAGCAGCAAGTTCGCTGCGCCCGATTGTTTCTAGGCAATAGAAGGATGATCTGAGTGAGGTTCAACATGTGGAAACGCGTATCCGTACTTTGAGGGACGCGGGAGTTGCAGACGCGCCGTCGCGCCAAGCCACCTCGGTTAGTCCACCTGAGCACATCCCTGCTCCCGACTACTTCTGTAGGACTACCTATTTACAAGTAGATCACGAGAAAACCAAGACTGAATGGATTATTATGCTTAGGTAGAGACAATATTATGCGCAATTCCAGGAATTAACACATCTGTGCAGCTTGCAGCTGGCCAGATAGCCGTGGAAAACTGCGATACCAAGGAGATGTTGAGGCACGCCCCAGGTGTTTGAAAGCCACAGTATGGCGGCCCTTGCGTCACTCAGCCTCAACCGGGCGGGGACATCCAGCAGCTCACCGGAGTTGAGCTTCGTTCACGACAGAATCCGGATTGTATCCTCCTCCTCTGCGTACATTGCCTTTCCCCTTCCCTTGCTGTACAATTGCGTTGGACATTCGCTGGCTCGATATCCGGCCTTTCTCGACTGAAGTACAATCCACAGTTCTGCGACGTCACCGGAACCTCACCACTCTTCCTGAGAACGATAGGATTCAGACCTTGCACGCGCTGTGAACTCCCGAGCCTCCCACTCCGCCATGGCAGTTTGAGCCCTCCTCCTGAACCAGATCAGTCGCAGCGCTCAGTGCAACCGAGACACTGCTGGGCGCAGCAGGAGATGCACTATGTCGTCGCGAGCCTCCTCGCTCCGATTCGGCACTGCTGATGGGACCAAAGAAAGCACTCGGGCTGCGCCTTCCGGCCGTCGAGGATCAAAGGCCGGCTTGAGTTCGACTGCGACGTCAATTGCGAGCACCGATAACCTGGCCCGAGATGCGACGAGCGACGTGAGATCATCGATAGACAGCACAGTGGACAAGTTCAAGGGCCGCGCTTCTGAGGATGGGAAGAGTGAGACGTCGTCGCAACGCAGCAAGTTGTCAAGGTTGTTCAAGAAGGGACGCCGGCGGAGGAAGTCTATCGCTCAGGACGAGGCACCCGAGGTTGAGGCTCCAGAGGAGCCTGCTCCGAATCCGATCGAGAGACCATCAAGGCCATCACTCAGCCTGCAGGACTCATTCCCGAGCGAAGATTCCATCGGTCTGGCCAAAAGTGTGCCCAGCAGTCTTCTGACCGAAGACTCGGACGAATCGTAAGTTGGGTCCATTCCGTTACATTTGTTTACGGCTGTGGCGCAGCACCGCGGCCGGTGTGGCCTAACCTCACCTCACTGAGGCTGAGATGGAAGCCAAGGATGAAAGCTGCGACACCTTGACCGCACCGCACCGCATCGCTTGTGGCTGCTGGTCTGGCCTTTCCCCTCCCGCAATTGTTATTCACCGCACTGACGTACCATTGCACTCTCCTACTCGTTCTGACCGCTTACACCCTCACTTTGCATTTCCTTATTCTATACAGAGTTGGGCCATCATAGCCCCTCGTCTCCGCCTTCTTTGTCGTTCCCCATCCAGTTCAATCGCACGCGTCATCACTAACCAGCGCTAGCCTCCCCGTACGCCCCGGCATATCACCGCACAACTCGCACGCCGGCTATCTGACCCTGTCCTCTCCATTGATCGCATCAGAAACGATAGACTCAACCGTGGCATCCGCAGCAAACGTGACAGACACCCCCGCTTCAGCCGACGCACCTCTGCCTCTGAGACACGCCCAGACCATTGCCGCTGCCAACGACATCAAAAGGAGTGCTTCCCCTGTAAGCAAGCTTAAGGGCGCCTTCGCGCCTCAGCGGAGGAGTACCTCTCCCAAACCTGGCGCAGACTCCGAGACAACGAGGCCAAACACAAGCGGGGGCGGAGTAAGCGCGCTCTTTGGAGGGAAGCAAAAGACCTCTAGGGTCCTGGACGAAACAGTCCCCCTGCAGGCCTCTCCTCCACAGATACAAGACTCCAAGCACACACGATCTACATCGGACCTCCTTGCTAGCCCTCCCAAACGGATCATTAACCCAATCACTACCACCTCTTCGAGTATAGATTCCGCTCCTACCACATTTGTCACACCCCCTACCCCAACAGATGCGAATCCTGTATCGCCCGCAGAGCCGTTGGGAAGTTTCAGGACGGCAGCTAAACACGCTCCCTCACAATCGAACCCAAACGTGGTTGTCTCCCCTTCGGGGAACATGATATCGCATCGTCGGGCGCGTTCTGCAACCAACCCTCCGAGCAAGCTCTCCAACTCATTTTCGGCGTTATCACCCACCCTCGAAGAAGTAAAGACCCCCGGCGGCACAGCTGTGCAGCCTACGGGCTTCTTCTCCTCTGTCTTGTCGGCTGCCCAGAACGCTGCCAGCTCCCTAACTAGTACAATCGCCAATACGACTGTTGGAAATAAGAACAAAGCTAGCAATCAACAGCCCACCATTGACGCACGGAGCGAAGGGGATATTGGCGGTGAAGAAGTCATTGGGCCTGAGAACGTGGACCCGTCGGCGAGCAACACAGGGCCTGAGAAACGGCGCCTTGCCGTAGAGACGCTCGGCTCCGGAAATCTTAGTCTGGATCAGCTCGGAATTACCGACAGCGCCGAACAGAGTCCCATGTCATCTTCAGTCCATATTCCACGGGCAGCTGATGATGCTTCGGCCAAGGAGGAAGATGTTGCTGCTGCACAAGCAATTTCTGCCGCATATGCAGCCGAAAACAACACATCTCACGGTAACCGACGACCACGGTCAATGACTACGGCATCTGCTGCATCAGCTGCCTTGGAAACAATGTCCCCTGGCAGACATCAAGCCATCACTGACTCCCCATCGGCTTCGTCTCCGGTCCAGCGTACAGGAAGTATCCGTAGCCGTATCAGTGGCGGTCGAAAGAGAAGGCATAGAGGTAGTTCCGCAACGACTGGCAACACGATAGGCGCCAGCACCACCACCTTGGCTCCACCAGCGAACGGGCAGCGTCTGAACGGAACAGGCTATGCCGTCGCCTCTCCGAAGAGAAATCGCGAATTCCACAACCTGTTCAAGAGTGTCCCCGAGGATGATTACCTGATAGAAGACTACAGTGCAGCACTGCAGAAGGAAATTCTACTCCAGGGTCGTCTCTACGTTTCTGAAGGGCATCTGTGCTTCTCGAGCAATATCCTCGGCTGGGTCACCAATCTGGTTATCAGCTTCGATGAAGTCGTTTCGGTAGAGAAGAGGTCGACTGCTTTGCTGTTCCCAAATGGGATGGTGATACAAACTCTTCACGCTCGTAATGTCTTCGCAAGCTTCCTCTCTCGGGACGCCACTTACGACCTCATCATCGGCATATGGAAGATGTCGCATCCAAATTTAAAGCATTCGTTGAATGGCGTACAACTCGACGGAAACGAAACTGGCGACAAGACGGAGAAAGCCGATTCCATTGCCAGCGACGGAGGCTCGGTTCAGGATTCGGATGATGAAGTTTATGACGAAGACGCCGAGGAGGATGAAGGAACAGGCAGCTTCATAGAAGCTGGGGACGGCAGCATGCTGGGCAGTGACATGGGGTCAGAGAAAGGCGTCGAGAGTAGAAAAACTAGCGCAGCCGCTACGCAAGCCGTAGGGACAGGACTTGGCAAGCCATTCGAGGGTGCAGAGGCCGGGGTAAGCAGTGCCACTGCAGGGCAAGATTTCCCTGGACCAGCAACCCATTCTCCTACCGACTGCGGTGACTCAGACCAACATTATGACAAGCTCCTCATTGACACTACGATACCCGCACCCTTGGGGAAAATATACAGCCTAATGTTTGGACCAGCGAGCGGAGGCTTCATGCGGAAGTGGCTGATTGAGGACCAAAAGTCGACCGAGTTGCAGTTGGAGGATGATAAGAAAGGTCTCGGTGAAGATCGTCGGACGCTCAACTACAGCTACATCAAACCTCTCTCCAACGGCATCGGCCCCAAATCAACCAAATGCAACATTACAATGACGCTCGAACAGTACGACCTGGATAAGGCTGTCTCTGTCCTCTGCTCCACCGCGACACCGGATGTTCCGAGCGGGAACGCATTCTTGACCAAGACGCGCTACTGTTTGTGCTGGGGCCCTGCGAATAGCACGAGGCTCATCATGACTTTCACAGTCGAGTGGACTGGGAAGTCGTGGCTAAAGGGTCCGTTTTCTCATTGAAATATCATAGATGCTGTTCGTCAAAGAGAAGTGCTAACAACCCATACAGGTCCAATCGAGAAAGGTGCCAACGATGGCCAGCTAAGCTATGCCACCTCACTAGCTGCTGCGCTCAGGGCAGCCGTTGGAACGAAGGCGTCCACTCGAGCAGCAGGCAAAGGCAAAGGGGGCAGAAAGCGTTCCAAGGGGCAAATGTTAGAGGAGGTGGAAGCGGCCGCACCAACCACTGCGGTCCCGCAATCGACCAAAGCGAGAGAGAAGGCGTGGTTAGATTCCGCACGGGAACGGCTCTTCGACCCGACTTTCCTCTGCGGCCTGCTGTCCCTTCTCCTCGTCTGGTCACTCTGTTTCCGTGGCCCCGTCTCCGCACATCCTCCCTACCCACACACTCCGGCACAGCGATTAGCAGTGTACGAGCAGTTATGGCGAGCCGAAGAAGCAGAGCTTTGGAAGTGGATGGAGGAGCGTGTTGCTCTCGACCGAGTGTATGATTCCATGGGAACTAAGATTCGGCAAGCGGCAGATATGCAGGAGAAGCTTGTTGAGGAGGGCATGGTGAATAGACAGGTTGACGAGGCGATCAAGGTCACGGAACAGCGGCTCGAGGCCCTGAAGCTTGCTGTGAAGAGGGAGAGGGAGAGGGAGCCGAAGGGTCCGGTAAAGAGTGAGCAGGAGAACAAGGCATACTGAAGTACGTCGTCGCACATCTGCATGGAAAAGAAAAGAGAAGAAGGGGAAAGAGAGGAAAGATACCCTTGCGTTCCTTTTATCCTGGGTGGTCTTCATCCCGTTGTTGGTCCATTGATATGATCGTTTCCTTGTGTGTTTGTGGCTGCGACACGGCTCGCGTTTGCATAGCGTTTATGGCGTACATAGTAGAAATGGGAAAAGGGACATGTACTCTTTCAGACTTGAAGCTTGGGCCGTGGTCGGGTGTAGGGATAGGGCTTGTGCTCTATCTTGACTTGGTGAACGCTGGATGGGGGAGACTTATTGCGGACTCGTTCCTCTCCAATGGTATTCTTTCGAATGAGAGACCGAATGTACTGTTCACACAATGCAGTGTGCTCAACCCAAGTGAACCTCGACCCAATCTGTCATTTTTCTATCCATTGCATTGACCTTGGAAAAGGCAAGCGACGGATATACTCCCTGCATTACAGCATGCAAAACGAGGTTATCGCCATGTGCGTCGACTCAGAGTAACTTTACAGCCTTTATTCCTCGCGAACCCCTATCCCAGCGCTAACTTCGCTTTGCTATACCACGCTCGATGCCCAGGAAACCTGCCATGCTAGAGCGCCTCAATGATATCCTACCGACCCATTTCCTGTCCGAAAACGCCTGCCATGATGTGCATAATACAAGCCCTTCATCACCCTAACAGCTCCCATCCTCCCTCTCACAACCTCACCACCTCCAATCTTCACCAGTCATCCAAGAATACCCCTAGTACCCACCTCTCCACCCGCCTCGTCCACCCCTAAACCCTCCACCTCCGCCTCCCCTCTCACTCCTAAACCCCCCACCCCCTCCTCCCCCTCTAGCAACGCCCCCTCTAGCCACGCTATCATCCGCCCACGGACCAAAATCCCCTCCAACCTCGACAACCCTATCATCGACATCAAAGCTATACCTCATCTTCCTATCCAAGGGATTCCCACTCGCGCCCCGTCCCCGAACCCTATCACCGGGCCTCCAATCCCTCGCAGTCTCGTCGTCGAGGTCGTCGCGGCGGCGATCAGCCCGAGCGTCGCTAACAGGGAGATAGTACAATTTCGGTTTCGTAGTCGTGGACAGGAAGAGTTGATCCAGGGTTTGGAAACTGCGAGTGAGGTCGCGCTTAGCGGACATATCGGTCGTGGGCCGGGCTTCTTTTACACTTTCTCTTTCTCTGGCGCCAGCCTCGCTGCGCCGTCGGTCTTCGATTCCGGGTCCGGCTCGTGGGCCCTTGGGTGCATTGCGAGGCGCCCCGGCGCCCACTTCTTGGAAGACGGCGTGCACTTCGCCGGTTTGCGGATCGACGGGGTACACGACTTCGAAGCGCTTCTGGGGGATGGGTTTGCCGGCTGCGCGCCCGGCTTTCTCGGCTGCGATGTAGTCCTCTTCTTCCTGGATCCAGTCTTTGATCTTGTCTTCGGGGACGAAGTCGATCCAGAGGGGCTTGCGCTGCGATTCCGCGGGCCAGACGGTGTTGTGCAGAGATGCGCGGACGCGGGAGGCGGCTTTCGTTGTGCTGAAGAGGACAAGGGCGTGGGATTTGAGGGAGTCGAGGAAGATGGTGGTGACGATGCTGGGGTCTGGCGTTGCTGAAGGGGGTGTGGCGAGGGACATGAGGTGGTTGCGCAGAGCCTCGATACGCAGTGGGCGCATGAGGTCGCGGATGTAGAGCGCCGGAGTTGCGACGTGGAGCGCTGGGATAATGGGACCTTCGTCGGTCTCGGGCTCGGCGGCGGGAGCGGAAGTGGGTGTTTCGACGGCGCCGGCGGACTTGAAGAGGTCTTTGTAACGCGCGTTCTTCTCCTTCTCCTTCTCTTTCTCTTTGATTTCTGAGGCAGCGGGCGCAGTCTCCTCTGGTACTGAAGGCTCTTTCGCATCCGATTCTTCTGGCTTATGTACAGCGGACTCTGAAGTCTTCTCCACCGTTTTCTCTGCATCGACCGCATCCGTTGTCTCGACCTTATTCTCTTCAATGATCTCCTCTTCTGGCGCCCGCTGCTCCATCACGAGATCCTCATCCTCCTTCAAATGCACGTCCGGAGCAGCATCATCGCTGGGGCGAGGCTTCTTCGCCTTGATGTCCTTGGCAGGCACGTCCGGAGACGGGCTCCTCCTTTTGCGCTTGCGGGTGTCGGCCTCAAGTTCCTCAGTGTCTAGACGCGACTCGGCCGCGGAAGCGGGCGCCGCATCGTTGTCGTTCGACGGCTCCGGTGCAGGCATTGGCTTTTCGACCGAGGGTTTTTCGTTGGGCGCGGGGGAAGGTGTTTTGACCGTTGGCGCAAAGTCCATAGCTTCGGTTTTGGACTCTTGTATAGCAGCTGCTTCCTTCGCGCCTTCCTCCTCTCCAACTTCTTTCTCGTTCTTTTCCACAGTCGCCTCCTCCTCCTCAACAGGCTTCTCCAATTCGGCTGAAGGGGATGTGGGCAACGCCTGCGCGGGCAACGCGGCGGGAGTTTCCTTGGCACTTACCTCTTCTTCTCCTGCCTTTTCCAATTGCTCTGCCTCAGCACCAGCAACTGGCTCCGCGCTCGGAGCTTCGGCCTCGTTGCTCTTGTCGTCCTCTTCCAGCTTCTCGACGATTTGCGCCTTCCGCGTGAGCCCCGTCGAGGCGATTCCGCGCTCCTTGAGCAACACGCGGAGGTCCGCGACTTTCATGCTGTTGTAATCCTTCATGGCGCGCGATTGTTGGCGTGTGCCTATAAACGGTGAGGGCGCAACCATGCGGTGGGGAGGTGGTTGTGAATGGATGTGAAGGTGAAGTGAAGTTGCTGCGTTTGCGACTGAGTCGGAGCTTGTTCTTTGACTGCCACGACCGCAAACAGGCGCGCGTCACACGAGAACACTAGCGCGGAGACGGCTTGGCAAAGCGCCAGCCACATCATCAGCCACAGGACCAAGCACGTGAATGGAACATTCACTCTTGGCAGCTGGCCGGATTCTAGACCTGGTGCAAAAGGGTTGCTCTTGTAGCATGAAAAACGGAGCCGTGGTGAGAATTACTTGATTTTTAAGGTTACGGCAAAGGCCTTCTATGGGCTCAGTATACTCATTCACTATTCCTACAATGTGTGGACCGCAGGGCGCTTCGTGCGCTGAAGCTCAGAAGGTTTGGTGTTCAAAGTCCGAGTCATAGGCATGGCAATGCCTTCATGGCGGGTCACTAGGCACGGAGCTGCGTAATTCTTCCTTGAATTCTAGTCTTCACACCAACGTCCCTTCCGTGTACACTCAGTTCACATGCTGTATCAAAAGCTTCCGTGCATCCACGTTTCTCAACAACGGCCAATCCAAGTAAACGTACACACCAAAAGCACCGTTGACGCACTCCACCTACAATGTGCGTCTACGGCGCCTGCCAATACGATCGATGCAGCCATGACTGCCTCATCCTCATCTATCCCTGTTCCCCTGCCCAAGCACAAGGTACCGAAGTACGCTTGATAACGACCACGAATGCAGCCAAAAGCCGTAAGACTATATGTTCGAATGCGCATAAGATGCGACTGCGTGATAAAGAAGGGGCTTGCCCCAGGCACTCTGCCCTTCCGGATCACACAGGGGTCGATGATGTGTATGAGGATTTTGTGGAGAGTTTGGAGGATATGTTGGAACTGGAGAGAGGGGCTTTGAAGGAGTTGAGAAATTATGCGGATCAGTTGAGGAGGGAGAAGGAGGGGTGTTGTGCGGTTATGTGATCCAGAGCCCCTTGAGAGGGACGGTTACGCGGGAGTGGTGAACTGACGTCCCTATGAGCTGTGTGTATTTACACCAACAAATAAATTCACACAAGCCTTTCATCCATATCATTAGGCCTTAGTAGACACAAATAGATTGCGCACTGGATTAGATGATAGGGGTATCTTCGAAGGAAAATGCCTATAATATGACCTTACTACAACAAAAACTCGTACAACAGCATCTCAACGGCACTGTACACACCTTGTATTACTTAGATTCCATGGCCTTGAGACAGCTCTGCGCCTTCGCGGGAAGGTCCGGCCAGTGCTCCTTCTTATGTTTTGACGGCGGCTCAACCACCATTGCATACCACGTCCGAGCCTCCTCGTATTCCTCTTTAGCTTCATGTTCTTGGGCCAAGTGGAACATAGACGGCTTGTGGCCTGCCATCGCAGCAGCAAGGAACCACTCGTCGGCAAGATACTTGGAATTGCTGAGCTTCCAATCTTTGAGCCAGCTGAGAGCGTTGACCAGCGTTTTATCATTCGACGAGGCGGCTTTCTTAATGTCGACATCGTGGTAGAATTTCGCGAGCTCATACATCGCCTCAAGATGGCCCGAACCAGCTGCCTTGGTCATGAACCTCAGCCATTCTCCGCTACCCCTCTCCGTGAGCAGCGCATAATGAAAGCAAGCGAGAGGGTCGTCGGCCTCTACCGCGCCTATTCGAAAGATTTCCTTCGCTCTCTCAGTTGATTCAGGGGTCTGGTCGTCGAGGAGAGAGTATCCCAAGCAAATCCAGGGAGGTGCCTGCGGCAACCCCGGCCTACGGACCGCCTTGGGGTCAGGTTTAAGTTTCACGACCTTCATTGCCGACTCGTATAACTCCCGTGCAGCCTTCTTCTTCCCCTCCGCTGCCCATATTTCGCCCGTGAGCGAGATGGCCTCGGCATTCTTCTTTGTAGCAGCCTCTTGCAGCTTTAAGCGCGCTTTCTGAACATCGCCAGGCGATAAAAGTCCGGCTACCTCTCGGGCAACGAGATGCCTATTGCGCAGGAAAACCGCTCTGTTCAAGTGCAGCGTGGCATTGACTTCGCCCGCACTGCTCAGAGCCAGGAACAGGTCCCTTGCTACGACCTTATGACGACTTGAGACAAGTTCTCCGGTCTTCTTGCTCTTGACATCGGGGATATGCCATGTGCTATGCGCGATATTGGTGAGGTCTATCAGTTGGATTTTCTCCTCTGGCGACAATGTCAGCAATCAGAGCTATAGAGTCATCAAGATACTCACTTTCAGCTATAGCCTTGACTCTCTCGCCAGAATCTCCTTCATCGGTCGAGGTAAACTCTTCCAGAAACTCCAGTGCGTATTGTGGCTTCAGGTTGATCAACTTGTCTCTGGCCTGCTGCGTGAACCATTTCTTGCGTGCCGCCCGGTTCACCTCCTTCCGGAAACTCTCATAATCTGCAGGCTTCGGCGCTTGCCTCGAGGCCGCTCCTCGGGTCTGAATATGTCCTAGGGTAGGGCTCTGTGTAGGCCGGGTGGATTGCGGCCGCGGCTGCATAGGGCCATTTCGTAGAACTTGCTGGTGGATTGAACGACGGAATTGGCGCGCTATGCAAAACGCACAAGCTTCTCCTTCAGACACTTTTGCGGCCAAGCGCGCAAACAGCACCCTAGAAGACATACTGAGCCTCCAATGGCACCGAAAACGAAAACCCATCCCGGATGAGGGAGCTCGGCGAAGCTGGAAATTAGGCGGTGAGCAGCGGCAGAATTACTTGGTATAACTCTTGGCGCATGTGGAGGGCACTAAAAATTTCCAACCCTGTAACCATATGATAATCATGCTTTCGCGAGTCCTCGACAAAACCAGGAGGCTTCTCAGCCGGTCGCCCTCATTCCAAGGTGACTCAGAAGGGCCAGTTCCCAGGAGTAATGATATAGCTGCTGAAATGGTGACTTCGACTCGCCGTGGTCCCGTAGACCAGACACCGCAGGCAACGCCGCGGAGCTCGACGCGGAAGTCGAAACGACCTTTGGAGGCGGAGGATACGCCTTTAGTTCCTAAGAAGAGGAGAGGGAGCGAGAAGACGGCTTTGAATGAAGATACATCGCAGGAGACGGCATCCGGAAATCCAGAGGGAGAGGCCACAGACCGCATCTCAAGCGAACAATCGGAGATAAAAGACGAAACAATGTCCACACCTGCACGACCACCGAGCCCAAAAGTCATCATCCAGAAACCTCACTCCCCAGCACCGGCAGAAACGGAAGCTTCCCAAGCTGCAGCGAACGAGAGGGAACCAGTCATGGAGGAGTCCGACATCCAGAATGCCCTAGCAGAGCAGTTCGTCCCAACCCCTGGACCTCACCGTTCCCTGCAGAATTCATCCCCGCAATCTGGAAAGCAGAGGCAAGAGCGGAATAGCCAAGAATTCGAACCGAAAGAAAATGAGGAGCAAACTGAGGAGCCTGCACGTAAACCCAACACCGCCACCGAAGTACGCGACTCCGAAGACGACTCCGAAGACGACTCCGAAGACGACTCCGAAGACGACTCCGAAGACGACTCCCAAGTCGAGGACGAAGACGTACAACCCACTAAACCCCTCGAGAAACCTCTCCCTTCGCGCCCCAAAAACACCCGCATACGCTTCGGCAGCGAAGACCCCGCAACATCTCCTCCTCGCACCCAAACCGAACCTCCATCTGCCCAGCCCGTCGCCGCCACCGCCACGGCCACCACCACTGTCACTGCCGACGACGACTCACCCAACGACTCGGACGACGAAGCGCCCGAAGAAATCACCGCCAGCACCGCCCTCAGCGCCGCCCGCGCCGCCGAATCCGCCGCGCGCGAAGCCAGCAAAGCCCAGCAAGAAGCGCTCGAAGCCAAGCGCAAAGCCCGCGCCGACCGCATCGCGCTCGAGCAGCGGCAGAAGCGCGAGAGACTCGAGGAAGAAGCGCGCCAGAAGGAGCGGCAGGAAGCGCGGCGGGCGAAGAAGCTAGCCAAGCGGGCGAGGGCCGAAGGCGAAAAGGAGGGAGAGCAGCATCAGCAGGGCAGCAGCAGCAATAATGGTCTGGGGATGGGGATCGATCTGTCTAACCTTCCCACTCTCCTTCCTACCTCCCTTCTCGAGGCGGCGGGTGATACACGCCCACCGACACCCCCTCGTCTCTCCCCCGGCGCGGATCCTGTACAGCAGCGTCGCGAGAAACTAGCACGGCACATCCGGTTTCTGGAGCGCGGGGAGAAGCGCGCCAAGGATGTGAAGAGGGGCGGGGTCAATGTGCGCGTGTTGGAAGAGCAGAATGCGTTGTTGGCTTCAAAGGTCAATCGGGATACGAAGAGTGTGCGGGAGAGCTGGTTGAAGGGGAGGAGGGAGGACAAGGGGAAGGGGAAGAGCGGGCAAGGTGGGAAGGGGAGGATGCAGTTTCAGAAGATGGAGAGGAGGCCGGTTGGGGGTGGGTTCTTGAGAGGTAGTGATAGATGAACATCTTCCCAAAGGCTTTCACTGAATCCTGTGTTTGGGCATTCGCATATTTTCGCAAAGTCATATACCCACCATATCAAGAGGCACTTGAATCAAGATGCATATTGTTCTTGCACAGACTATCTTGAAGAATTGGTCGGTAGTACTATCGGCAGCATTCAGACGAGCAAACCCGATCACGCATATTTAGTACCCTCACAAAAACCGTTCCATGGAGCAGGCGAATGTGTCTTGACATCGTGGCATTTCATCTATGATCATACTGTCCTTAGTTGAGATTATTTAAGATCTTTCAAAGGTAATATGATGCGCAATAGCCCAGCCTACCGTACCCAGATCCTGCCCGGACCAATATGACTCCGATTCACTTTTCCAGTCCCATAGTCGACGAATAAGTAAACCAGTGCCCCGTGCCGGTAATGATATGAAATAAGATAGGCAAACACCAACTTCCTAATACACAAACGTCCTGCAGAAGCGAGCAGTATGAGGTCGGACGCTGCAGTTCTGTCTCAAAATCGCCGTTCCGCCGTTCCGGTAGACTGCCGCAATTTAAGCAGCAGCCTCAGCGGCAGCGGGAGCGGCCTCCTTGGGAGCCTCGGCGGGGGTGTTCTCCTGTCCCTCCTGGGCGCCAGCATTCTCAAAGTGGTCGTCCTCCTTTCCGGGAGAGTCGATGGCGACCTTGACAGCGATCTCACGACCCTCGATCTCCTTGCCGTTCATCTCAGCGCAAGCCTTCTGCTGAAGCTCCTCGGAGCCAAGGGTGACGAAGCCGAAGCCACGGCCCTTGCGAGGCTCGCCACGGGCCTGGAGCTTCTTGACCATGAAGCGGGGAATAGGACGGAGAGCGATCTTGGCGGAGCTGGGTTGATAGTCCTTGAAGATCTCCAGAAGCTATGTCGGGTGAGTACATAATCAACCTATTGGGATGAAGACTTGACATACCCTATCCTCCTTGAGGTCGTAGGGAAGGTTGGCAACCATGACCTTGGTCTTGGAGGGAACACCGTCCTCCGGGGGTCCACGCTGTTTGCGCTCACGAGGAGGGTGCGGCTTCTTGTTGCCCTCAGCGCCCTTGCGATTGGTAAGCGTCGTGTTCGTTTTCTCTGTAAGTGGAAGAACTTGGCCGGGTACATTTGTAGGAGCTTCGGTGGCGGCAGCAGCATCGCCCTCGGCGTGTTCGGCGCCCTCACCGCCCTCGCTCTTCTGGTCGAATGTTAGCGGGATGTTTCTGTCGCATGAGCGAGCGGTCGGACTTACAGCACGTCCTCCACGTCCGCCACGTCCGCCACGGCCACGGCCACGGCCGCGACCACGCGTGGAGGAGCGACGACGGTGCTCATTGCTGGCACCCTCGGCGCCGCTGCCGGCACCCTCGGCGTGCTGCTCAGGCGTACGGGCAAGCTGGATGGAGACCTTGCGGTCAAGGATGGCCTTGCCGTTCAGCTCAGCGATGGCACGCTCGGCCTCCGACGGGGTAGAGAGAGCAACGAAGGCATAGCCGACAGGGCGATTGGTGCGAGGGTTGGTGGGGATGGTCGTGGACTCGCTGTGAGACACGTCAACTCTCGAGTTCTCAAGGAGCATCAAGGACGGGGACAACATACACCAAGTAGTCCTTGAAGAAGTCCTTCAACTCCCCCTCGGTGGTCGCATAGGCGAGGTTCCCGATGTAGAGACGCCTGCCCTCGGCGGCGCTGGCAAGAACCGCCTCATTCTCGGCGGTGTTCTGCTGGGCGCCAGCGTTCTCGGCGCTGTTGGTATTGTCGAGGGAGGCCGTGGCCAACTGGGCGGTAACACTATCAACTGGAGCGGACATGGTTGCAGAAGTTTTGGAGGTTGATGACACGAGCGAGTAGCGAAACGTGTGGAAGGTTGAGGAAACTTGTGGTAGTGGGAGAGGATTGACAAGGCCGCCTGGAAGGTGGGAGTTCTTGACGGGGGGAGTTGGGGGGTGGGTAGCTACGAGCCCGGAAAGCTTGAAAAGGGTTGAAAGTGTGAGATCGTGGTGGTTGAGTGGTTCCTTTGGATTGTCGGGGGGAGGAAAAGGAGCGGGTCTGGGAGAGGCAGCCAAATATTTATTGTAAGACCCCGGTCGGCGAGCTAGGCGAAATCGGGACAGCGAGCCGAAGGAGAGAGCGACCGGGGAAAGGTAGATCCGCCCGTCACCGCTCCCTTAGGTTGAGCGACTTCACTTTATAGTGACGGTGAAGGCGCGATCACAGAGGGTGCGCAGGCAGGCAGCCGCACTCGAGTCCCTGGATAGTAAGTACGGTGTAGGAGAATCTCAGCAGAACTCGAAAGGGGCGGTCGAGGGCAACGCATGAACACAGTGACCTCTGTTTGCGAGGAGTGAACAATTGTACAAAAGCCGAAATGCGCTTGCCACATCAGAATCAGAACCACCGTCGTCATTTTTCACCAGCCACAGCTCTCAAGCGCCACAGCCCACAAAAATCATACCGGAGATGTCAAGAAGGCGATCCACTATCTAGCGGTAGATACGGGGCCTGCACCTTGTGTGGGGATAGCCCTGCCCGTATTGATGAGACCCACTGCGGGTGACTCGGATAGACACTGGACAGTGTAATCTTCTTTCCAGAGAAGAATTAAGCCTCACCTTCTCTCTCTATCCCGCCATGGGCAGCTCACTGCAGGGCCGCCGTGCCCTGGTTGTCTACGGCTCCGAAACAGGCAATGCGCAGGACATCGCTGAAGAACTCGGCCGCATCGCAGAGCGCCTGCGTTTCGACACCGACGTCGCTGAACTCAATGCCATCTCCCTTGTACGTCAGTCAGGGGCATTGCCTCCTGTTTTGCCGAATCCGCGGCGCTGACTGTCGTACCGTTAGAGGCAATTGTTGCAGTACTCGGTCGTGCTCATCTCCATTTCCACCACGGGCCAAGGGGAACTGCCTCAAAACAGCCAGATCTTTTGGAGAGCCCTCCGTAGTACCCGCCTAAGGCCCGGCTGCTTGCACCAAGTGCATTTTGCCTCGTTTGGATTGGGCGATTCTTCCTACCCAAAGTAGGTTTCCCCGTTGGGCAGGTTGTATAATGATGTTTGCTGACTTGGAAGGTTCAACTGGGCGCACCGCAAGCTGTACAATCGCCTTGTACAACTGGGAGCACAGCCCGTTTGTGATCGTGCTGAGGCCGATGAGCAGCATCCCGATGGAGTCGACGGGGCATTCGCATCGTGGTCTCCCAAACTTCGCCAACGTCTGCTCGAAGAGTATCCTCTCCCACATGGCATCCACCCTATCCCCGATCACGTACTCCTTGACCCGAAATGGCTTCTCGAGGTAGCAGAACAAGAAAGCGTCCAATCTGAGCAGCAAGATGTGCAAATATCTGTCACTTCAGACCATGCAGCTGACTTACCGCCGGCCAACCTTCTCCACATTCACAACGGTCTAACAGCAACAGTCGTCTCCAACAACCGACTAACGCCCAACACACACTGGCAAGATGTCCGCCACCTCCAATTTGACCTCCCAGGCCACCATCCGTACGTTCCTGGAGACGTTCTAACCATCTACCCCAAGAACTTCCCCTCAGACGTCAACCACTTTCTCGAAATCATGAAATGGACCTCCATAGCCGATGTCCCTCTCAAATTCACCCCCACCTCTACCAACACCTCAAACACCCATCCCCCTCTCCCTCATGTCTCCCTGAACGACATCAACATCACCCTCCGCACCCTCCTCACAGACCACCTGGACATCATGTCCATCCCCCGCCGCTCCTTCTTCGCCCACCTCGCCCACTTCACCACCGACGAATTCCAACGCGACCGCCTGCTCGAATTCACGAATCCAGAATACATTGACGAGTTATACGACTACACCACGCGCCCTCGCCGAAGCATCCTCGAAGTCCTGCAGGAATTCGAGACGGTGAAGATCCCCTGGCAGCGCGTCTGTTCCATCATCCCTGCGATGCGCGGGAGACAATTCAGCATCGCGAGTGCGTATCCCGGTTCCCCTAATACAAGTGACGACCGCACGCGGATAGAGTTGCTGGTCGCCATTGTCAAGTATCGCACCGTCATCAAGCGGATCCGACAAGGCGTATGTACACGGTACATAGCCTCTCTGCAACCGGGGCAGGAAATCACCGTTACGCTTCACAAAGGCGGGCTGGGCGTAGCCAAGGCGGAGACAGAAAGACCCGTGGTGATGATCGGGCCTGGAACCGGTGTCGCACCCATGCGAGCTCTCATACACAAGCGAAAATACTGGAGGCAGGAGCTTGGGATTGATGGGGCGGCTGCTTCGAAGGATTTGCTGTTTTTCGGGTGTCGGAATGCGGGCGCTGATTTCTTCTTTAAGGGGGAGTGGGAGGCGTTGAGGGAGGAGGGCGTGCCGTTGGATGTGTTTGCGGCATTCTCGAGAGATCAGGTGAGTTGCTTCCTACTGCCCTGCCCACACGAGGGCACTGTATATATGAAGGACTGACGAGTTTGTAGCGAGAGAAAGTATATGTGCAGGATCTTGTGCGGAAGCAGGGACAGAGGGTGTATGATGCGCTTGCTAACAAGGGCGGGTTTGTGTACATCTGCGGTTCATCCGGTAAGATGCCGCAGGCAGTGCGGGAGGCGTTGATAGAGGCGTTCCAGACGCATGGGCAGTTGAGTCGAGAGGATGCCGAGGCGTATCTCGCTGCCATGGAGAAGTCCGGGCGGTATAGACAGGAGACGTGGTAGACAAGACCACTGCGCTTAAGCCATAGATGTACGGAACACAAGTCTTCCAATCCAGCTCATGTCTTCGACCTGTCTATTCCGAATCCAAACACTATATACAGAGCACGGCTCACCTGCCAATTCCCTTCAGACTCTATGCTCCAACCCCTTACAAAGCCCCCAACTCCTTCAACTTAGCAATCATGCCATCCACATCCTCCACCTTGACACCCCCCTTCCTGGGCGGCGGCTCCGTCACCCTCACCGTCCTCAACCTCGGCGCCACATCGACGTCGCCAAAATCCGCCAACGACCTCTTCTCCAACGGCTTCTTCTTCGCCTTCATGATATTGGGCAGACTCGCATACCGCGGCTCATTGAGCCGCAGATCCGTCGTAATCACCATGGGCAACTTGGCCCGCACCTTCTCCACGCCCCCATCCACCTCCTTGGTCACCGTCACCGTGTCCCCCTCGATCTCCACCTTGGAAGCCTGCGTCGCCTGCGCCCAGCCCATCAACCCGGCTAACATTTGCCCCGTCTGCCCCGCATCATCGTCGATCGCCTGCTTGCCCAGGATCACAAGGTTGCTCTTCTGCTCCTCGACGACCTTTTTGAGCAACTTTGCGACGCCGAGCGGCTCCAGCGCAGCAGGAGAGGAGTCCTTATTGTTACTCTCATCGATTTGCACGTGGATGCCCCGGTCCGCCCCCATGGCCATGGCCGTGCGCAGGATATCCTGCGCTTTGGCGGGGCCGGCCGTGAAGGCGACGATTTCCTCGACGGGCACCTTGCGCTCGCGCAGCCGGACCGCTTCCTCGATCGAGAGCTCGTCGAAGGGGTTCATGCTGTGCTTGACGTTTGCCGTCTCGATGGCGGTTTGCGCGCGGTTGACGCGCGGTTTGACCTGGGGTTTGTTAGATGACTTTCTCTTCTTTTGTGTTTTTCCATTGCGGTTTTCGGTGGGGGGAGGTGGGAATGGGGAGGGTGCCGGTTTGTTGGATATCTCATTCTTTACGGTCGTCTCGCGATTGTTCACGTACCGCATAGTCAATGACCCGCTTGACGGGCACCAATATCCTCAGTCCCGACATCCTGCTAAACTTTCTCGCCGGTCTTCCAAAAGCGAACGACGCTGGATCAAAAAAGCGGTCGAAGAATCCGGGATTAGAAGTTCAACAAGATGGTTTGAAGCTTGAAGTTCGGGTTGCCAAGAATTCGAGGTGGAGAGTTGTCTGAAGCCGAGGGTTCACGGAACGATCGCCGTCATTTTCCGAGAAAGACCGCCAAGACGCAATGGTTATGTAAGCGGAAGGGGGCAACCACCCTGGAGTGATGGGCGGTGTCAAACTTGGGTATTTCGGGAGTATACACGTCTACTGTCACTTGGGTACAGCCTAAAACAGAGAATCCCGAATGTGGGTATCTAGATTGAGACACATCGCACCCCAGAACTCTACAGCACCATGCCGACAATACCTCACCTCCCCTGCATCCTCCTCAACCTCTCCTCAGCCGCCCTAGCCCTCCTCTCCCTCTCCAACCTCGCTCTCGCCTCGGGCGTCAAACCCCTTGCATCCTCCTCCCGCTGGTCCGCAGCCGTCTTCTGTGGCAATGCACCCAATGTTTTCCCCTTCCCAAGCCTCTGTTCCCTCCTCTTCGCCTCTTCCGCCTCGCTCTCCTTCCTCAAGCGCTCGGTCTCTGCCTTTCTCCTATCCGCCTCCGCCTTCTCTTCTATCGCTTTTTCAGCCTTCTCCCGCGCTTCCCGCTGTTCCACCTCTGCTTTCGATAGGCCCGGCGGAACGCCTGCTTTGTCCCAGTCCCAAGCTGCCTCGCCGAGCTCAGAGCGAGCCATGCGGAAAGCATCGCGTGTTGCGCGGTCGCCTGCGAGCGAGAAGGGTGTTCGAGCATCGTCACTCATAATGGTCGGGTCGGCGCCTGCTTTGGTCAGGAGGGCCAGAACTACGGGCGCCGAATTCAAAGACGCCGCCAAATGGAGTGGCCGGGGGGTATGGTAATTCGGAGGGACAAAGGTGAAATCCGCAGATAGGTTGTTTGTCTTGAGGTAGTTCAGTAAGGCTGGAACCTTGGATCGTTTAATGATTGAGGTGAGTTGAGAAGTGTGCAGAGCTGCGGTTTCATCTTCTCTTGAGGGCTTTGGTGGCTTCGGGGGCTTTACGGGTTGGGTCGGTGGGGTCACCTCCTTCGCCGCAGCGGCTTCCAGTGCTGCCAGAGCAGCTTCATCCACGGTACTTTGCTTAACACGGGTCAGCTCCACGAAGGCGCGCAACAGCTCCTTTTGCGTTGCACGTCGGGTGCTAAAAGGAAATCCTCTATTTCGGGGATCGTTATTGCGCAGGACCTGACCTTCATATGGCCCAAAGAGCGTCCTCCGGTTAGTGTTTCCTGTAGCTCTTATGAACAGCAGCTCTGCCGAATCAATGAGAGGTTTCCACTCCTTCAGCAGGTCCCGCACTTCATTCGTCAATGCGGCTTCATTGTAACGACGCAACGAGGAACCGGCAGAATGAGCAGCACCTTTTGATGCATCACTGGCGGACTGCGCACCACCTTGCTTCCGTCGTGTGGTATATCTGTGAAAGGTCTTGTGTGCAAGGACTGTTGTCGACCGCTCATCCGATCCAGTATGTGTCTTTCCTTTCTTCGGTGCAAGTGCCACAACCATGGCAGCGAAATGTCCTCCTCCGATCATACATAGGAAGTAGTGCGGTCCCACATTTGTCCCGGGTAGAGGCACGCCTCCACCTTCCGACTTTATCGGAGGAGCTGCCGCCGGCGGAAGTTGTTTGTTACGAAGTGTCTCCACAAGATGCGCCTCTTCCTCCTGCTCCGCAACTGAGAAGATAGCGCGGTAGACACCCAACGACGTGTTCTCAGGTAACAGCGGCGATGTGAACCATACCAGCGGGGGCTTCCCAGATCCCCGTTGCTTTCTCCTTGAGTCATATTCATCGAACTCTGGACTCGATATCTTTGCCTGCTTCTTCAGCAAAGCACTTAATGTAGACTCCTTCGCCTTCCCTCCTGCCTCATCCTCCTCGTCATCATCCGACTCTTCAGACTCCGACCCTGATATACTCTCATCCAACTCCCCAATCAATTTTTCGAACTCCGCCTCTCCCACAGAGCTGAGTCCCTTCATCTTCCGCTTCAAATTGTACCCATGGAGATCCGACCGCACATGGTCGCGCTGTTCGGTGACAGACGAGAAATTGAGGCCGCATAAGTTACAGGACGTAGCTTTGCTAGGAGCGCCAGCGTCGTCTGCGGTGCCCGCAGTTTCGGAGAGAGGCTTAGGTGTTCGTGGCGGTGTTTGTTCGACTGGTCGCGCAGGTTGATCCTTGAGTGTGAGGGTGGAAAGCAGTTCCTCGGGAAGGTCGAATACGTAAAGCGAGCGCTGGAGAAGGTTGTCCCCCTTCTGCGCCATGATATCTCCCTCGTCGCACACTGACGGGTTGTTGTTGCAGCAAAGAAAGTGCAGTGGTGCCTGGTGGACGTCACTGCTCCCCGCCAAACGAGTCATGGATTGCCAAGTCGGGTCAAAAATAAGAGTCAGATCTAAGCCTTGCCAAGAGTGAACGTCTTTGATCGGCCTGGGATGCACGTGAAGCATACGCTATGAAGCAGAATATAACGACTTGCAATGCACATCCTCATTCTCTCTCTGGAAGGCTTTTCATTCTCTGCCCGTCAGCTCTACGAACATCTTCTTCCAGATCTACTCTCCAAAGCAATAGTACACGAGTCCACATCCATCCAGGACGCACTGTTCTACATCAACACACGCTGGCCCACGGCTATCCTAGTCACGGATGGCGTGATAGCCAGCGATTCGGAAGACGGCAGAAAACTCCTCTCGGCCGTGAAGAACATCACCAGACAGGGCTGTACGACCGTGTTGGCCGGCTTCTTCACCCTGTCCGTGTTTGGGGAGAGGCTCACGGGCTTCCTGCGAGACAACTTCGATTTAAGATGGGAAGGGGATAATGACGAGCCCATCGTTCGCACTACTGCACTTGGATCATCGGATGAGAATCTTATTGTGACATCTGGGCTTAATCGACGATTCACACCTGAGGCATATTTCCTCCGCAAGGTGCCAAAGGAACAAGCCGTCTATGTCTCTATTGCCAATGGCCACACGTTGGCGTATGCCGCCATAGCAAGGATTGGCCTGGGGAAACTGGGTTATGTTGGTGAAGCCAACTTCTCCGAGGAAGCTGAAGCACTTATTCTTGCCATGTGCCACTTGGGTCATGATGTAGGATTTGAGTAACACGTATGATGCGACTGGTTGGGTTCATCATACTGCTAGATGATGACCAGAGTGGTTAACGATAGATATGACCTTTTCATTCGTCTATAAATTTCCTACAACCAAACGCCGAGCTGAATTATAAATATATTCTACAATGGAGGAAAGTGGTATCAGCAGGAACCAACAGGATTAATACCCAACAGATGCCCATCGTATCATGTCCATGCAATGCCGGCAACCGTGAAAAGACGCTCAATGCACATGCCCAATCTGAGTAAGGAGCGGAACCAGCATGCCCACCAGGGTGACGGCGATGTCGGATTTGGAAAGCGTACTTCGCGCAGCATGGTGGCTGTCCATATAACCATTGACAACGAGCTCTTCTTGAGCCGATGTCGCTTCGGTCATGGCATGCATGGCGACATATCTGAAACAGTCAGAAAATGCAAAACGAGCATAGGGGTTGTCATACAGGAAGGTGCCTCCGGAAAAGAGCAATACCCAACCAGTGGTCCATGTTAGACCGTCGTCACCACCAAGCGTGGTACGCCCTAGGATATGGACGAGCGACCACGTAAACACCGCTCCAGCAGGGGCGGCTAAGCTAAACAGAATCAAATGCGTGCGGGCTGTACGTTTCGAAAGGCCCTTTCTCAGGAGAACAGATGTCAGCCCGAAGGCTGCTGGCGCCTTATGCAACATGATTGCGAGAAATATGATGAAGGATAATGACGTGCTGGGCGCCGTCGACGACGCACCCAGTGCTATCCCATCGGCGAATGCGTGGATGATCAGACCAACTGTGGTAGCGGACGATTTTGGCGGTGGTGCAGGCATCCTCTCGGGCATGGGAGACACCGGGGTGTTGAGAGCGGTCAAAGATGCTGTGGACGAGTTATGGGGGCCCCTTGAGAGATCCGAAAGCGAAATATGCAACGGATGGTACTGCTGCTTGGTCGGAGCAATCGCCTCCGGGAGATGATCCACCAGGAACATGAGTATAAACCCGAGAATCAGCGCCACTCCAATGTACGCGTGATGCTCTTGCTCTTCGCCAGGTTCATGAGTGTCATTTTCTTGCTCGCCCTCCGGAGCATGGACGCGGGTATGACCTTCTTTATGACCTTCGGTGGAGTCGTCATCGCCCCCTTTCTGCGCGAGTGGATGATTTTCCTCTGTTTCGGCTTCCTTTTCCTTCTCCTTTGTTTTATCTTTCTCCTTAGAGGCCCTGGGCAAAAGGGGCGTTCTCTCAACAATGATGTCCACGAAAGACGGTTCGCCGGCCTCACGTCTCAGGAATGGCGCTTTGAACGCTTCGGATCTTTCTAAGCCCACGAATCCACTGGAACGGCTCGACCCGCTCTGACGTTGGCTCGATATTGAAGGCTTGCTCTGCGTGTCAACATGCGAGCCCCCCTTCTTTCCCGCGCTGTACATCGTCTCTATCCCTTCCGGTATTATGACGATGAGCGACGTCCCCACGAGTACACCGGTTCCGAGAAGGCTTATGAAACGTAGTTGTTTCTGCGACAGGCTGAGCGAGAGGGGAAGAATGCCGGCCAGAAAGGAGCTATGCATGTCAGCGCTTCAGTCCAGCGCGCTATCATGACTTTCCGGCGACTCACGCAGTTCCCATGATCGTGCTCAGCGCGAGCAGCATGAAGAGTCCGTCCCACATGTTGCCGCGCTCACGAGGGGGGATTTGGGCGAGAGCGCGAAAAGGAAAAGATGGCCCCAACAGACACCGGAGAGAATACACCAGGGGGATCCTAACTATGGCTTTCCATGCCCTGCCGCAGTCGAAGAGGTTAGAAAAGAAGTGTAATGCGGTCGGAAAGGTGACGAAGCAAAAAACGCAGAAAGTGACAACATTCACAAGCGCGAGCCCTCCGAACAGAGTTACGGGTTAAACGGCTAACCTAGTTAGGGTTGGCGCACCCGCGCGAACGAACCCCTGCCATCTAATCCAAGGTTACTTCATGGCGAGGTTACTACCATCTACTAGTAATGCTACGAGGAAAGCTTCGTTGTAGAGCTTATTACATAGGTAGACTTGAGTCACTACAAAGCTTATCTCCCATCTATATTACTGCACCTCCCAGCTTTCAAACGTTCGGACGCGGAAAACAGCAGCACAGGGGAATAGCAGGGGTTCAAGTCGAATGAGTACCTATCGATGAGCTCCCCGCAGCCCTCCCACGACCTCTTCTTCACTGTTTGTCTGCACACACACACCTCCTCCCTTGTGACCTCTTCTCAAACATCACGCAGCGCCCTCTTTTATAGTACTCACAGAGCACCCGTTATGTCTCTCCCCCATGGAAAACGCACACCTCACCAAAGCCCATGAGCACGCCCGCTCCGCCGCCGCGGCCACCTACGGGAGCAGCATCACCGCAGCCGGCGAAGCGCACGCGCTTGCTGCCGTCTCCTTCCACGAAGCAGCTAGGGACACGCATGATACGGAGGTATGAATCCCTCACAAATATATGGTATACTAAGACATGCTCACTGAACTTCCAACACCAGGCCCTCCGCATCCTCGCGCTCCTCGAAGACCACCACCGCAAACTTGCCCGTCTGATCAAAGAGCCTCCACGCAGGAAGGAGAAGAGCAGTGATGAAGCCCCTCAAGCTCCGGCAACGGCCACCTCTTCTTCTCCCCCTCCCACGTCATCCCCCGCAAAGGCCACATCGTCTACAGCCCAGACCGGTTCTACCACCCGTGTATCCTCCCGACGGAGACTCCCACAGTCCTCCATAGCGAGTAATCTCGCGGAGATGAGAGGCATCCCGGGCACGCGTAGGGGTGTGCCAAGCGCATCCTCGGTCTCCGTGACTACAGCGCTAGCCCAACGCAACGACCGCCAGGCAGGACCGGTACGAGACCTGTTGGAGCAACAATCGAGAAAGGCACAGGAGGCTACTAAGGAGAAAGACGAGGCTCGATCCCGCAAAAAGGAGGCCGACGCCGCAACCAAAGAAACCTCTCCTCCACCGACCGACAACTTCCGCCGCTTCTACTCCGCCTTCGGAGGCGTCATCAACGCCATCTCCGCCCCTTTAGCATTCACATCCCTCCCGTTGAACCCCAGCAGCACCACCGCAGACGCCCGACCCCCTTCACCACCCGCAAAACAACCCCCATCAAAACCCAAACCCCACTCCCTCGAATCCTCCCGCACCATCAAGTCCTCGGAACCGGACCTCTCGGCCCTCATCTCCAAACCCGCCCTCGCCGCCCTCCGCGACAATCCCTCGGCCCCGCTCGGCCCCTTCGCCAAAAACGAATCCTTCTACTTCGTCCCCACCTCGGGCGGTACGCTGCCGTACTCCAAGATCGTCCGCGACGCCCACCACGCCGCGCAAGACACGCACCTCGACTCCATCAGCGAGGGCGATGGCGCTGGCGGAGCAAGTGGCGCGGGAGGCGGTCTCCTCCGCGGCTCCTCGCACGAGGAATTCGTCGACGCGAGGGAATCCATCGGCCCGCCCAGCCCGACGTCCTGGCGGAGACCGCCCTCGTCAAAGGGTACCGGTGGAGGCGCCGCAGGCGCCGTAGGCGCCACCACCACGATGACGGGAGTCACGACGGCGGCCAACATCCGCGCGGGCAGGGGCAACGGCCTCAAGACGATGGAGGAGCTGCAGCTCGAGAACGAGACGTTGAGAGGTCTGATCGATAAGCAGGCCAAGCGGCTCCAGATGTGGGAGACTACGAGCCAGAATTCGTACAATGCGCTGGCGCAGTCTTTACGGTTTCGCGGCGGGCTCAGGCAGCAGGTTTCGGATCCGCAGGTGTTGGCGCAGGCGCTGGCGATGGGGGCGAATGGTGGCGTGCCGGGGGTCATCGGGGGAGCGCCTGAGTGGAGGGAAGGGAAAGCGGAAGGGGGAAGGACGGTGTCGAATGCCGGGCGCGCGAGGGACAGGGAGAAGGAGAAGGAGAACGAATCCGGCACGGACAAAGACAAGACTGATGATGTCCACGCTGCACGTATCGCTGAACTCGAAGCTCGTCTCGCCGCCCAGGCTAAACAGCTCGATACCCTAGAGAAGGAGAAGCAGGAACTTACGCGTCTGAATGAGAGGAATGCCGAGGTGATTAGGAGGTACCGTGAGCAGTGGGAGAGATTGAAGGCCGGCGCGAGGAAGAAGGAACAGGAGAGGGCGGCGGCGAGGAAGAAGGCTGAAGAGGGGGTGGGGGTGGAAGGTAAGGAGCAAGAAGGGAGTGAAGGGAAAGAGAAAGAGGGGGAGGAAGATGGACGGGAGGAAGGGGCGAGGGAAGAGATGGGCGAGGAGGAGACTGAGGTGGAGGAGGGTGTGGGGTTTGGGAAGGCTTAGGAAGTGGTAAAGACGTGTGGATTGAGTTCGGGATGTTGGACGTAGATATACTCATTTATGTGGCCCAGCTGTTGGATGTGTTAATTTCACTCTTAAAGGCCTATTTATCACCTATATGATTTGCGATCTGCCAAAGCGCAAGTTATACTGCTTCTTATAATAGAGCTCAAGTTACGGTTCAGTTATTAGTCCGTATTACAACAGAGTATGTAAGACCTGCTCGACAACGGCATAAAAGAATTAGGAAGCTCTTCTGCGAAGGACCCGCCTGCAAAAGCCCACGGATTGCGCGCCTCCCTCATGGTATACTCCGTTCGCCCTTTTCAACGAATAGGGAATGTGATTTCAAGCTAGAGACGAAGTTGTGCTGTTAGAACTTCGAAGAGCAAGCAATTGGAGAACAGAACGTGATACGATGATGCCAAAGATCAACTTCTAATCACGTATTGTATTGAGTACGATACCAACTCGCTAAACATATCCCACACACGGAAATTGTACGTGTCCGCCAAAACCGAACGCATCAAAGCAGGCAAGGAAAACACTCGAAAAACCCAAACTTAAACGCCACAGAGCACCATAACCCATTGCCAAACCATGCGCATTGATCACTTTCTCACAACCCCACCCAATCCCGCTACCACATTCAAGCAGCCGCAGCGATAGGCTGAGGAGCAGGCGTACCCTCAGTATCCATGACAACTTGGGGCTCGATAGTGCCTGGGGCGTGCACTTCGAACTCTTCGTACGCAGGGTGCACACCGACACGCTCCTTGCTGAGCAGGTCCACGAGGAGAGGGCTAGGCTTGTTGCTCTTGTCGGAGAACATGGCCTGCTGGTCCTTGTACTTCTGCACGCTCTCAATGTACTTGTCGAAGAGGTAAGCAGAGTCCATAGGGCCGCCCTTGGCCTCAGGATGGAACTGAGCGCTGAAGATGGGGCGGGTGGCGTGGATCAAGCCCTCGTTGGATTGGTCGTTTAGGTTGGTGAAGTACTCCCTCCACTCGCTGGGGAGAGTGGTCGGGTCAACTGCATAACCGTGGTTCTGGGAGGTGATGTGGCATTTGCCCGTGGTAAGGTCTAGGGCCGGAATGTTGTGCGCGCGGTTGCCGTACTTCAACTTCAGCGTCTTGGCTCCAGCCGCAAGGGCGAGGAGCTGATGACCCATACAGATGCCCATAATGGGGATCTGCGACGATTCCATCAACTTGCGAAGGTTGTAGACAGTCGACGTGCAGTGGGTGGGGTCTCCAGGGCCGTTGGAGATGAAGACACCGTCGAAGTGATGCGCAACCTTGTGGATGGGATAGTCAAAGGGGAAGGCGGTGACGCTAGCCCCGCGAGCAACCAAGCTGCGGAGGATATTCTCCTTGACACCACAGTCGATCAAGGCAACGTGCATGTCTCCCAGAGAGGAGCTCACATGGAACGGCGCCTTGGTGCTGACACGACGGACGAGGTTGATGGCCTCAGGGTCAACGTAAGCCTCGTCCTCGTCGGCATCGTACTCTTCTCCAATAGTGATGCGGGCCAAAGAGGAACCCTGCTCACGGAGATAGGTGACAATCTCACGGGTGTCGACACCAGAGATGGCGGGAACACCCTCCCTAGCACACCACTGGGCCAAACTTTCGACAGCAGTCCAATGGCTGTGTTTCATGGCATAGTCCTGAACGACGATACCCGAGGCCTGAATATAGGGGGACTCGAAATATCGGAGCAAGCCGAACTCATCCCGAGCGGCAGATGGCACACCATAGTTGCCAATCAGGGGTTGAGTGAAGACAAGGATCTGGCCGCGGTAGGAGGGATCAGTCATGGACTCGGGGTAACCAACAAGGGAGGTGGTGAAGACGGCCTCGCCGGAGACGTTGGCTTTGGCGCCGAATGATTTGCCCGAGAAGATTGGTCCATTCTGAAAGAGCGGTGAGTGACGTGGTAAACCGATTGAGTCAGAGGCAGCGTAAACGTACCTTGATGGTGAATGTCGCCCTCTCATAAGAAATGGGAGTGCTCCTTCGAGCAGGAGCAGGAGTCTGGCGAGGGGTGTTGCTCTGCACAGTTGCCAGAGAGCGGACCTGTGTGCGAGACCGCTGGAACTGTCCCAGGACGGACCGACCGATGGAAGGCTTGACGATTTGTGACAGCATATTGGGGGCCTTTGGTTTCAAAGATTGGAAAGTGGTAATGAATGATGGGATATTGGAGGCTTTCAGTTTACTGAGGCCTTCCACAGGTGGTCTTGCAGAAGGGTTAGCAGGGGTTGCGATACCGGCAGCATTGTCGACGACGACATACCAGAGATGTAGTCCTGTTCCAGTCAGTTAGCCATGCACAAAGTACAAACAGAGAAGAGGAAGGAGTGTGGTTGAAGTGTAGTCTGGGTGGGTATGCAGAGCGCCGGTTTACCTCCGATAGCACTAACAAACTCTGGCCGATGGGCGGGAGGGCAGGATATGTTGCCAACTTTCCCAGTCGTGCACCCAGAGCTTGTAGTCGCTATAGAGGAGACACTGGCAACAGTGCAGAGACTGCGAGCGTGGTGGAGAGGAGCGGCTCGCAGCCCACGATCTTGTGTGCGGCGGGCCTTTAAGATAAGGAAGCAGGAGTCATTTCGTCGACGTACCTGGGAAGTGAAGGTAGTTTGAACAGCACGCATAAGCGCGATTAGACTAGATTGGGTTGGATCAGTCGAGGAAGGGGGCACTATTGTCCCGGTAGCGAAGTAGAAAGAGAGCTTTCAGATGAAGACGGACAGCATGCGATGGGGGTGCGAAGGAGGACTGAGGAACGGGAATTTTGTGTCAAAAGGGCGTGAAGTCAATAAGAGAGGGGCAGGGGCGCCAAGGCACTAATGCCCAGCCTGCCAGGTGACGCACCAACATTCTAAGACAAAGGTTTTTTCACCGCCTCCTGATTCGCGGGCCGGTGCAGTCCTTATCGCGACGGCAATCTGTGCCAATTTTGAAAACCACATGGTGGTGGGGCTGAACCGAATGCCAGATCGCAGATCGAAATATGGTCACGTGATCTGCAACAAGTGGAGGACCTTCACCTGGGCATGTTCAGGCAATCGTCGTATTTAAACCGTGTACTTGCGAAGAGACAGACATAGCACAAAGAAATCCAATTCTGATGTGGCGCTGTCTGTTTGGCTGGCTGGTAGGTATAATAATCAGTACACAGGATCGACAGCAAACGACCTCGGGACCTCCAGGGCTCCCACCATCGAAGCCTAGTATGGCAATCTGAAAAGCGGTCAAAAGGCTTGCATAGGCTCTGCTGCATATATTTCTGTGAGAACGTCACCGCTTTTCGCTTTTCGCTTTTCGCTATGTTGGCTAAACTGTGAAGTAGTGTGTCAATAAACATAGCCGCCCATACTTGGAAGCGGAGCAGCACCATAGCATGGAGTATATAGTATATATATACTGTGGTATCAGGGGGTACAGTATAAAGCCAATGGGAAAAGCGCACAAGACACTTCTTCAGCAGCCATACTCTTCCATCTACTGTACAACAAGTCCGCTCCAATCCTCTACACAGTAATCTTCCCCGTCAACCTCAAATCCCTCGAGCTCGCCCCCACCCACACCGTAAACTCCCCACTCGGCACCACCCACGCCTGCCTGCCCGTATCCCAATAGCTCAAATCCCTCCTCTTGAGCTTGAACGTCGCCGTCCCGCTCGCCCCAGCCGCAAGCTTCAACTTATTGAAGCCCCTTAGCTGCTTGGGCGGAAGTCCGGGCGCAGAGGAAGGATATCCGACGTAAAGCTGCGGCACCTCGGCGCCCGCGACGCCGCCGCTGTTGGTGATCTTCGCCGTGACGGTTGCGACGGTTTCCCAGAGGTCGGCGGGACCGCCGGGGCCTTTGGTTCCTTTGGCGGGGCCCGAGGTGGGTTTGCCTTCGACGGTGATGTCCGAGTAGGTGAAGTTGGTGTATGCTGTTGGTATTAGTGTCACGCATAGTATGGATACAGGTACGAGTATACTTACACAGACCAAAGCCAAACTCGAAGCGAGGCTCAATGTTGTCCTTGTCGAACTTGCGGTAGTCGATGAACAGATCCCACGTATTGTCGTCGCCGTTCACGACGGATGTGCCGTAGTCGGAAGCACTCTTGGCGATGGTGTAGGGCAGTTTGCCGCTGGGAGACGCGACGCCGTAGAGGATATCAGCGAGACCGTTGCCGGATTCCTGGCCTGGCAGACCGGCCCACACAACGGCAACGACATTCGGGTTATCAATATACGGCTCCAGGATAAGTGGTCCAACACTATGAATGACAACAATAGTCTTCTTATTCACCGCCGCGACCGCCTTGACGAGATCGTTCCCATTGTGCTGTGTCGATGTTAGTAGAAATTCATAAAGCAAGCGGATAGCAATATGTACCCAAGGATCCAGATTCTTGCGATCTCCAGCATTTCCCTCGACCTCAATGTAACCTTCGCCGGAATCAGAGTTGATGCAAACAATGGCAATGTCGGCTTTCTGTGCAGCTGCAGCTCCTTGTTGAGCGTTGTCGTTGGTCGAAGTCACAATGGTGGTTCCGTCCTTCTGAGCCTGTGTTCGGATGGCATCCAAGGGAGCAACCAGATACTAGAACCGTTAGTAAACCCCTTGACCTGACCACTGGACCCGAGCTTACCGGGAACTCCACGCTTCCGCTTCCCCAACCCATAGCCAAAGTGCCACCGTTGCATCCACGATCTACAACATATCAGCAAACTCATCGACACCCATACTTCGCAAAGTAAACTGCTCACCGGCGCAGTTATTCGCCCCCTTCGGATCCACAATGGCATCACTCCCAATCACCGCGATACTCTTGGGCTTATTCAACGGCAGCGCACCACCCGTATTCTTAAGCAGCACAATGCCATCTCTAGCCATAGCCCTCACATTCGTCTTGTGGTTTCCGCCCACATCCCGCTGGCCAATCTTCCACGAGTTGAAGGACGCGGTCGGGTAGCCCTTGTCTTGGCCAACCAGGTACCAGGCTGCGAGGATGCGCTTGACCATGTCGTCGACGCGAGACATTTGCACTTGGCCGCTGTTGACGGCTTGCTGGAGGACTGAGACTTGTTAGAACAACGGGTACATTTTGGATGATGGGAGTGTTGGTACCTGGGCCCCACAAGACGCCTTTGTCTTTGCCCTCGAAATTGCTGGCAATGGATTAGTATCCTTCAGAGGTATGGTAAACGGGAATGACACCTTCCAGGCATTGTCATATCCATGCCGGCATTGGCACTACCGGCCGTCGTATGTTGAGCGCTGTATGCGTGGTCAGATTGGATGCTTCAGAGGAGTCCTTGATACGCACTTCCAATCCGAGACAACATAGCCCTTGAAACCGAGCTCGTCCTTCAAAATTTTATTCAATATGCCGCCGTTCTCGCAAGCATACGTGCCGTTGACTTTGTTGTAACTGGATCCCACATCAGTGCGGAATTCATAGGACTCTGACGGCGACAACTGACCTGCACATGAAAGACGCAACATTAGCCTTGGCAGCGTCATAAAACGGCCAGAGATAAAGCTCATGCAGCACCCTGTCCGGAATCCCCGAGCTCATCTGCTCCCTCCTCTTCTCCTGCTCATTGCCAATGAAGTGCTTCGCGCAAGCCTGAACGCCAGCCTCTTGCATGCCCTCGATGGTCTCCTTCATAGCGAGACCCGTGAGATACGGGTCCGGAGAGAAGCCCTCCCAGTTCCTGCCACCGGTGGGAATCTTGCCCAGGGGACCGGCAACAGGACCAAGCATAACATGGATCCCCAAAGTCTTTGCTTCCGCGCCGATGAAACTGCCGCGTTCTCTTATAAGCTCCAAGTCCCAGGTACTCGCTGCGTGAACCCCGGCGGAAAATGCAGTCGCACCCAGCACGTAACGCACGCCGAGAGGACCGTCTTGGAGACAGAGCGAGGGGTATCCGATGGAGCCGGCGGCTTTGGTGTTTCCGACGCAGTTACCGGCTTGCCATCCTTGGCCAGATACGATGCCGATTTTGTCGCTGGTGGAGAGCTTCGCGAGAGCTGCAGTCGCCTTACTGTACGCAGTGTCCCAGTCGCTAACAGCTCGCTTCTCGCTCGAAGGAATCGCTACTGGTGTTAAACATGTCCATGAACGGGTCTAAAGTCAATCCAACCTGTAGCTCTTCCAAGCGCGGCTGTGGCCAGCAACGGCAGAAGATATCCACGCATGGTGATAATGACGACAGGAGCTCGTGCGCAAGTTCAAGCAGAGGATACCGTCGGAAACGCAGCCTACCACTTCAAGGCGTCCCGCAAGTTATTTAAGTACCTCGACCATCATTGTAGGCTCCTGGCGAGTGCTACCGACTGCCCAATGTGCGGAGTAATTACCTCCTTGGCCATTGTCTTGTTACTTTCTCTATGCAGTGGAAAACCCTCGGCCGTCCAACATTCGCAGATCGTGTCCAGGAATGTGCTTGGGATAGATTGGGCACCTGATCTGGTTAATGAGGTGAAGGACATACGTTGTATGGCATTTAGATGTGGCGGCCCGGTACTCCAGGATTTCATTCCCGGGACAGGGTTGGCTTTCGGCTAACATCGAATAAGACCGCCTACTATGCGTGTCACGGACGGAGGAATCATCAGTGACGAAATATGCGTAGAAGTAGGGTTCCATTGTATGGGGTCAGGCCTTAATTGTTGACGTCTTGAATGTGGGGTACATTAATACTGAATGCTCTACCCCAGTTTGGAGGCTCAACGGTCGGATGCGGGCATGCCTACTACCTGGAACAACACAGAGCTGCATACCCAATGTCTACAAGCGCTGTTGAATATGACCGCACTCGCCGCTTCGCATATGCCGATTCGATATCCGAGCGGGCCACGAACGGATGGTCTGGCTACTCTTCGGACATTTACACGTATACTACTGTCTAGACTTCCGTGAGTCAGCGCTAGGTCTTGAAGGAGACCAGGAAACCGACCTACCTTTCGCATAGAGTGGTCCTCTAGCGTATGTTCCGTGTAGCTTTGCGAAAAGAGAAAACAGGAGCATGTGGCTATAAAGACAATCGGACATGCTCTTGACAGTGGGTCTCTTCATGGACCTTCTCTTGCGGCCATTGTAGGTTGATATTCCACCTAACCGGCGTATGGCACCACGATAAGAATGGTGATTTGTGCTCCTTTGCTGAGCTCCCTAAGGACAGACCCTGCTGCTTTTCCGCGTCCTAGATGCATCTGGGCAATGTTGTTTTATGTCGACATGATGCCTACGCACACGAATTGTTCAACGGTTCCTCTGCAATGTGGTCATGGATATTCGCAGTCATCATCAACCTTCAGGCAGTAGGTACAAGAGGGCCTCTCTTCGGTGCATTTGCGTTTTCTTTGTCGGCAGTTCAAGCATCCATTCCTCGACCTTGCTTTGGGCTTCGTGGTTTCGTAAAAGCATTGCCAAAGACCGCGGAAACATTGGTCACAAGTCGGCTTCGCTTCATTGCATCTGATTTTCTTCTCTTTACACCGAACACAGGCGCCTTTGACCGGCTTCGGGGCGGGAAGGACGGGCTCCGAGGGTGCCGTACGGGATTTCTCTGCCGATTGTGCTTGTTTACTTTTCTTTCCCTTCTTTGAAGGAGTTTGCGCAGGTTCAAGTGACGCGGATGCGCCGCTTTTGCGACTCTTCTTCTTTGGCGGACCTTTGGTCGTGTCTGATGATGTTGACTTGTCCAAGTGGTCATCGCTGAGCCCGTTTGATTCTTGAACTTGCGCTTTCCTTGGCCTTCCGCGCTTCCTCTTTCCAGGCTCAGCGGTCTGGGCTTGGGGCGCGACCTGGGCTTGGGGCGCGACCTGGGCTTCTGCGTTTTCACTGCAGCATATCAGCCCGAAGCACTTATACTAAGGGCCTATTCGAAGCCGTCCGAGTAGGAGTCTGAGTACAAATACATCGAAATAGGACGCACCTGTCAATGTTCTGATGGTTCGCTGGTCGGCTTTCCACGTCGCGATGGATAGGATTGTGCTTGTAGACAACATTGACTGCATCTCGCTTTGTCGAAAACTTGATGTGAATAGCACCTCCACAGTCATAAGTGGGAAGGGGTCGCTGGCCGTTCTTTGCCTCTACCGGCTCCACCGTCTGGCCTGCTTCCTCTTTCTTCCTTTTGCCGTTACTTGATCGGTCACGATTTTGGAACGAATCAATGCAAACGTATCTGAAGCGCGCACCATCAGTCCCTTCCTTGTTGAAGGCCTGGCGCTCGCAATATTTGAAACCATCAATGGCTTGGACGACATCAATGATTGACCGAGCGATTGCCCGCTGCGCTTTGAGCCTCTCCTTGCCGTGAATCTCACGACATAGTGCTTGATCGACAGTGATGCTCTGGGGATAATCTGTGGGAACAAGGCCGATGTGGGCTAGGTTGGCCTGCTGGGCAGTGCTGATTGTAATGGTTGATCCGAGGCTGAATACAAACTCGGTGACGATTTCCACAGGAATGAGGCTTGCTGCATTTTTCTGCAGTTCATTCTGGAGAGCACCGTCTAACTATACACAGATGACTATAAGATTGAAGGGACGACAAGTACACGGAAAGGAGCACCAACCGATTCAAGGGTAGGGCACCGGTAATAGACATCTGGTTTAAGGCGAAGGCCGCGATGGTGACGTACTTCGAGTTCATCCTCAGGGCTATCCATAGTGGCGGAGGTATGGGATTTTGTCAGTTGTATAGGACGAATTGAACTGGAAAACGTTGTATCATGACGTGATTCGACAGTGAACAAATTAGATGCAGAGGGCGCATGTTGTCAGCGTTTTGGGATGAAGCACACTAGCGCCGGAGTTCGGAGAATTGATGATCCAGCCTCATCAGCCACAGTTTAAACTGGCGATGTCGACCTCTACTTGTAAACAGCACTGTGCTCTGCTACTACGCCCCGCACAAAATGCCGCGGGCGTATTATCCTGAGTTGTAGTAACCCTAGAGAGGCCCGCTGCGGTTCCGTGCGGAGAACCCACTGGTGCAACAACGTCTCCACGTATAACGAAGAGATGTGTGTTCCGCTGGATACAAGTACAGTACAGGTACGTAGGTACAGCGTTGTGCTCAGCCACAGAAGAACAAGAATGACAATGACGCACGGACACATTCCGCAGCTTCTGAGAAGACGTTGCCCAATATCAAACCCACTCTGATGGCATTCGGGCATTCTCTAGGATAATATAATAAATATAAAGGAACATTGGACCAGATTTCTGCCTCGCCATCCTCTGCGACCGTGCCGCAATCAAATCCAAGCCACGCGGGCCTCTTGGCTGGGCGGCGTCGTTGATGCCAAGTAAGGTACTTATCAGCAGCGTATGCACAATAATTACCGGCGTTCGGGCTTCCGAATCCCCCGTATTAGCTAGCTTTAGCGCGCCTTACCCCATCAGCACAAACGGCAGCACTTCAGCGGTGGAGCCCAGACCTTTTCCCGACCACCTTGGAACCTCCCCCCATCAAGTCGCCCACGCCGCTTCAAACTCTCCCTGATCGCAATAAGGCTTCTTGACGCTGCGCCCGCAGCTGTCTCTGGCTTCTCGTCCTCCGCGCACCTCTTCTGCCCTCGTCCTGCTCCGCCCATTTCCCGCCCTGGTCGGCTGCTTCGCGATTCCGACGTTTCGAGTTTCGACAACGGCGAGCTTGCGTAGCACGCACCCTGGTGGTTGTGGACAGCGCACGGAGTAAGAATACGCTCTGTGATCGCACGACGACACTCGACGACGAGTAGTAGTACTGAATCCATCGCTGCCAGGCCTAACGCCTCCCGCTTGTCAACCCCGCCGACAATAGCACCGCCATAGCCCCTGGATCACGGACCGGCCACCACTCCACTCGCCCCGGCCTAGCACCTTCACATCATTCGTACCCAGAACCCTCGTCTCGAGTCCTTTCCTTCTCCCTGGGCTCTCGTTCGTCCTCGCCTGACTGCATACCTCACCGAATCCAGAGCAAAGTAGCGATTCCACCATGGTGGTTGCAACAATCAAGTGCGTGCACCGCGGGCGTCAGAGGCTTCAGGCCCGCTTCTCCTAGCTACTTGTTGAAGAAGCAGATCCATTTGCTGACGTTGTCATCAGATGCGTCGTTGTAGGCGACGGTGCAGTGGGAAAGACCTGCCTTCTCATCAGCTATACTACCAACAAGTTCCCGTCCGAATACGTCCCTACCGTTTTCGACAACTATGCGGTCACCGTAATGTGAGCTCCCTGGAATCCCCATACAGAAGTCCATCTAGGCACCCGGTGCCAGGGTTTGGTGTATGGGGGAGCGTTGAAGAACGTTCGCTAACCGTCATGTGCCCCAGGATTGGTGACGAGCCTTACACACTGGGTCTCTTCGACACCGCAGGACAGGAGGATTATGATCGCCTGAGGCCATTGTCATATCCTCAGACGGACGTCTTCCTCGTCTGTTTCTCGGTGACATCACCTGCCTCCTTTGAGAACGTCCGTGAGAAGTGGTTCCCCGAGGTTCATCACCACTGTCCCGGTGTTCCTTGCTTGATCGTGGGGACCCAAGTCGATCTGCGCGATGATCCTGCCGTGAGAGAGAAGCTTGCCAAGCAGCGCATGGCGCCCGTCAGAAGAGAGGACGGTGAAAGAATGGCGAAGGAACTGGGAGCCGTCAAATACGTAGAATGCTCTGCATTGACTCAGTACAAGCTGAAGGACGTTTTCGACGAGGTTTGTCTGATGCCATGATAACCGACTTTCGATGATGCTGAGCGACATTTAGGCCATCGTTGCTGCCCTTGAACCTCCAGCCACACGAAACCACAAGACTCCCAAGGGTAAGAAGAGGTCTCAGTGCCGTATTCTCTGACCAATCCGTTGTGTTCATGCCAAAGACGCGACTTGGTGGACTTGAGGGGTCTGACATTTGAACTCATCTTTGTCGGCCGATGAGGCCACTTGAATACCTGACGAGCTTTGAGGCGCTATGTGGGAGAGACGGTGTTTGCCATCAGCCTAACTCGCTGATTCTTTCCGGATTCATCTGTAGTCTTCTTCACGGCAGGACTGTGGCATAGCAGGGTGTTTGGGACAGAACACGGAAACCAACAATCTGAGATTCGTTTCGGGGTGGCTTCTCTAAGCCGTGTCTAGAGAGAAAATTTGGCGCACGGCTTGACAGAGAAGCGGATTGGTAGGAGAAATTTCACTTCTTTAGAGCTTCCCTCGTATCGTACGACAGAACGCTTTTTTGTGCGTCTATACTCAGCTTCCTTTCTGTCCTTATTCTCATCGTGACCTCCAAATGTCTCAATACAGTCTCAATCGCTAGGGCGGCACCTGGATGACGGAAAAAGGGCTATGCCTACGCTGCTGAGTTTCAGTGCTCAGATTATGTAGGCTAGAACGAAGCGTCGTAACATGGCTCTACAGCGTCCGCGTTCCAATCTACCTAATATTCAGTAAGTCCAAGGACCAGAAGGTATCTGTACCTAGCTAACTGAACTCTAGAAAATCGGATTTTCCTAGCTCACATCACCCTATTTCCGCCAGCCGCGTTGGCGGGCGCCTTCCCCAAGGCTTGCCTTTTTTTCTCCTCCTGGTGAAAGCCCGCTGTCGCCAGGGACGCCAACATGGGAGGTAAACAACCACAACAACAGCGTCAGAGATTTTCCCTCCTTCCTTGGCCTCCTCCTATCCACCACCTTGGAGACCACAACCGTCGTACTCCGCGCGTTTTGTAGTTATTGTTGCATAAGCCATACCAGCTAGCTGCGCTTCACTGTGGCCTATCATCACGGTCTGGTAAGTGTACACTGTCCTCCCTTTGGCTCCACATCCGCGGATCCTCCTTTGTTTACTGACACGCCCTCATCCAGGTCATCCACAACCATTACCACGATGTCCTCCCACGAGGAGAAGAAGCGGCCACCGCCCATCAAGATCCCGCCTCCACAGGCTGGTCGTATGCCCGGCCCCAACGCGTTTGCTGTGGCTAGCTACCTACAGCAAGATGAAGCCGACAAGCAGTCCAAGCCGCGTCCGGCGAGCTCGGGTCAGCCAACGTCGTCCTTGGGAGGCTCGGAACCGCTCCATCCAACGCTAAAGCTCGGCGGCTCCAATTCAATGCCTACCTCTGCGATGACAGCCATCTCGGAGATCCTCGAAGCAGCCCGTGGGATTTCGCCCCAAAAGTCGGACTCCCACGCGTCGGTCACGAGCCGTCACGGGTCTACGGCGGGGTCGCGGCATTCCAACAAGAGTACCAAGAGTCACGGCAGCGCTGGCTCGAGTAGGCACACCCCCTGGGAGACGAGCAGGAGTAGCGGGCACATGCCGTCGAGCGGAAATAGTGAAGCCCAAGATCACAGAAGCGGCATGTCGAAGATTGAAGAGGAGAAGACAGTCCGAGCCGATATTGAGGATCGAGCTGACAAGAAGTATCTCAAAATAATGGGTCAAGGTTCCAAAGGTACACGTTTACAAACAGGTTTGCGTAAGGTCACGTTTGCTAAGCTGCCAGAACGAGGGGACTCTTCCGTTCATGTGGAGAGGGCCGGACATTATAGACATGGTAGAACGGAGAGTTTCGACAAAAAGAACGAGTTGACTAAGAGCCCCAAGAAGAAACTCTTTGGCATGAGCATGCCCTCTTTCGGCAGATCTGGCTCCTCCTCCACTGTTTCCTCTGCTCCTCCGATGCCGGCCAAGGCTGCTGAGATCCTAGGGACTGTGAGCACTGTCAACAAACGACGCGACGTTCCGTCTCAGCCCTGGAGGCCACCGCCACGTTCCGACACGTCCAGATCGCTCCCGGCGACGCTGCAAGACAACCATAGTCAAAGCCGTCGGCCTCATGATAGCAGTAGCCCATCGAGGTCTCGCGACCAGACGCCTAATCCTAAGGCGAAAACAGTCAACAAAACACCTGCTCAGCGACTTCAAGAAACTCGTCAATTGAAATCCGGCTCCCCTGATCAAGGAATGCCTCCGACTCCACCAGAGAAGGACACGCCTCGCGACACCAATCGAACGACATACGTTACAGTCAGTCGGAGGTCAGCAGGCGGAGAAGAAAGTCCTGTGCAAATGCCAATCTTCAGGAGGTCCACCAAACGCGGATCCACCCAGAGCGCCCCGAGTGCTACCAAGTTCCACTCCGGTACCGCGGAAGAGTATGCCAAACTAGTTCAACAGCCCCGCGTGCTCTCTACTCACTTGGAGGTCGACACTGCTGCAGTTGAGCTTGAAGGTAGCGGCCCGCATCCGCTGTTCAAGAGCAACGATGCGGAGCAGCAAGAGAGATACCCGCAGTGGTGGATGGAAGAGCGGGAGAAGCACTTTGCCAACGCTGAGGGTGAGCTGCCTCCCCTGCCGCCTAGGTTTTATTCTCCTTCCAGCTATGCCCAGAGCTTGTTTGAAGGTGGTCGTCCTTCTCAAAATGTAAGTTTTGCATCCCAGCCCCATTCTGTTGTTCACCTCGAAGGGGCGGCTGGGTGCCTCTCTTCGTAATCACCGCATGCTCCTTCCATTGTAACATTTGCCCCTTCCCCTCACCGCCCTTCCTTTACGTTCTTCCTCTGTTCATTACGTCAGCACCGCTTCACACTGCCCAGGTGTTCTTGCGTTGCTTCACTCACCGGAGCCTCGCTAACTTAGCAACTCAGGAGGACCCCAACCGTTATCTCTTCACCATTCCCTCAAGGCGCAGAAGCCTCTCTGGCAACAGTGATCCCGAGCACGGCTCCATCCCTATCATATTCCAGGGTAACCTTAGCGAGATCGATCCAGCTTCGAACACCGCGCACGCAATCAACGCGGCCATTGACCTAGAACGCCACTCCGTCATGTCCTCTGGCGGCACTGGCTTCGAAAGCAGACGACCGGATATATCGAATGCACTACGCGGGATCGTCTTCGGCCAGCGACAGGACGAGGGCGAAGGCGATCGAGAGCGAGATAGAGAACACCCGAATTTGGAACCGGAACAATCGTCATCCAGGTTGACCACCATTCTTGCTGGGGTGAGCGCTTCGAAGACCGACTACAAGACGCAGGACTTCCGAGCCAGTTGCGCCAGCGCTGTGCCCAGCCCATTGCGTGCAGGCTCAGATATGTCGCGTATGAATTCTGGGGACTCTGGTCAGCATGTGCCTTCCATCGCCAATCCACCTACAGGTCCATCACGTCCAGATGTTCCTTCAGGATCTTCCGGTCCGGCAGGTCGTCCAGGTCATGCAGGCAATCCAAGCCCTCCGCATCCTGCAGGCCCTCCTGGTCTTCCGGGTTCTTCAGGTCATGGTTTTCTTCCAGGTCATCCAACTGGAGGTGCTCATCTAGCTCCGCCGGGTCCTGCCGGCCCTTGGGGTCCGCGTCAACTTCCCCGTGATTCTGGCATCGACATTCTCAATCAATTCTACTTGTGTCATTCCCACATGTATGAGCTTGGAGGTATGTTCTTCAAAGAGATCAATGACTGCAGGTCCGAAGCACGAGCTGCGGCCAGCCATGCGGAGGACAAGCAGAGCGAGCTCCAATCCAGGCTGGACGAACGCTTGGAGCATATCAAGTCTGCCGTTACTGCTGTGGACCAACGGATCTCAGCTTTCACAGATCGTGTCGCCTCGGAGGGCCAGGCTGTCAATCAAAAACTCGACGGAGTGCTGGGATACCTCAAGGATGAAGTCGTCGACCGTGTCCCGCAACAGGACAAAAAGTATCGTGACCTCGAGGACAATGTCAAGAGCTTGCAAAGCATGGTGCAGGAGCTGCAGAAACTCATCATCACTTCTCAGACGCAGCAGGACAGATTCTCGTCACCCTCGCCTCAGCGGGCTCACCAGCTTCTCACGGGTTATCAGGAGCCGGGCAGGGACGCGGATGGAAGCTTCTATCACCAGAGGGCCATGGCGGCCGCCTCTGCGGCGCAACTGGGGCATCATGTCGCAAGCCCGTATGGCTATGTTCCCATGCCCGGTACCAACCTTCCGGTCCTCGGCAGCAGCGGTTTGCATGTCCACCAAGCTTCAACGACAAGCCGCGATGGCGACGAAGAACCCAACCCAGCGTACCTCCCCCAGTACCCCTTACAAGACTCGTTGCTGGGGCGCAATGGCAACACGTATCCAATGGGGAATGCTGCCAACTCCTTTCCGCACCAGACGAACTCGGGCTACGGTCACCATTCTGGAGGCTCGAAATGAGAACACTTGGAGGATATGCGGCGTTTGGCTAGGTGAGCGTAATGGGCCGGACGCTTTGTATAACCGTGTGCGAGTACGATATCAAGGCGATTGCTACGATCAGGCTACTTGTGCGTAGCCTTTCTTGTGTGTGGAATTCTCAGGTGCTCTAATCATTCGCTCCTCCAGTTCTCCAGCTTTAGCAAGGCTAGATGCTGTACTTGGAGAGCGGAGACGGAAAGGCTTAAGGCGAGGTAAAGGCGGAACGACCGCTTGGCAATGAGCTTACGAGTAATGTAGCACTTTTCTCATGGGAAACTTTAAAAAAACGGTGTGCAGATCATGAATGGCTTGTGCAGTGAATTCTCCGATCTGCTTTTGCGTGTTCTTCGGCGACGTACAGGAAGTGGGCCTCCCCAGAGATAAGGGGCCAAGAATAGTGAAGGTGATGTGGACTGCGAGTGAAAGACACACGAGGGCGTTTGTCGCGGATGATTGGTTGATGGATTCTACTGCGCGTATTACTGACAGGAGGGACTGGGGTTGTATCCGTACTGTCTATGTGGTTGCATCCGGATTTGGCCGCTGTGGGTGAATGGAAAAGGTACGTACCAGACGGAGCGCGGAGAGCAAGACTCAATGTTACATCGGATTCATTTTATTTTCATGGTGTGGTTTCAAGGAGTGGTCGATGCAACTGCTCAAATCACGTCCTTTCCAACCACCAGGGCTGCTTATTACTGCGTTTATCGCACGCTTACTCAGGACTAGGGAGGATTTGGTTGATCACCTTGAGAGCTCATATCAAGATGTCTGGTGACATGTCCATCTCCATCCCAACTCGCTGAGCCACCACGTGGCCCGTGCACCACGTCTTGTCCTCGACTTGGGGACCCGTTCACACCTCAAACAGCGGTTGGTTGCAACAAAGTCTCCGCCTGCGAGCAGACACATACAACACCATGGAGGGCCCCGAGTCGCCGCCTTCCAAGGGCCCTCTTCCCCAGCCCTCGTCCGCCTCCGGCACCCTCCCTGCCGCTCCAGACGACCCAAGGCCGACGCCGCATGCGGACGATATACACAGTCATCCGAACTCTGCCCTCGTAAACGCGGCTTCTGACCACCTCAACGCCCAGTTACCATCCCTCGATACCCAGGGCATGACCATACCTACTCACACCTTTCGAGCTCACATTCGTACACCCACCGCTGCCGGACTCTCTCCTCTCCAGACCGACCTTCCTTCTGCAAACCCCCCAACCCAAGACTCACACAAGCAAGATAACATAGAAGGGGGAAACACAGGCTCATCACCCCACCACTCTGTCACTGCGCCGGTCGCAGTGCAGGGCGGCTATCTAAGAACGGCCCTATCGGCAGCTAGCATGACAGGGTCCTTATCGCCTGCTTCCGCGCTTTCATCGCCTGCGCTCAACGCCCTCACTGATCTTACACCGTTGCCGTCTCCTCTGGTTGAAAAGGATTCCGTAGGTTCATGGGCGCGGGGCGGCGCAATCATGCGCCCTCGCTCCAGGGGAACGTCGAATGCTTCCGCGAAGGACGACCCGTTCGCAATGATTGGAAGAGGAACTCTATCGCCGTCACCATCGTTGAAGAGGAAGGGATATCAGAGATTACACACCCCTGCCGTCGAGGGAGCTGCCGCTATCTTACACAAGGCTCAGGTGAATGAAGCGCATCGGGAGAAGAGTCGGAGTGTTAGTGAACTGGTTCCTGATGTCCTGCACAATGCCCGGCCCCGGCACGTCACGATATCGAGCGGAGCGCCCCAGCAGATTGGGACGGAAACGGGCTTGGAATCGCATATGCATCGCGAGGCCTACCTTGCCGCACAGCGCGGGTTAGTAAGCTCGGGTCTCCCTACGCCTCCGGCAAGCAATGCCAGCGTCAAAAGTGTCACGGAAAGCGAGAGCGAAGATATCGCGGACGAGGATAAGATCGATTACCTCATAGTCCGACAAGGATCGCAGACGAAGTACTGGCGCCCGGTGCGGAAATTAGGCCAAGGTACCTTCAGCAAAGTCTATCTCGCAACCAGCCAGAAGCTACCAGCGAACGATCGGCTCGACGAATCCACCCTCGACCCCCGCAAACTCGTCGCTATCAAAGTCGTCGAACACGGCCCCGCTGGCGGCGCCGATGAAGAGCGTGTAGAACTAAGCCTCAAGCGAGAAGTCGAGATGCTGCGCTCACTCTCACACCCCTCGCTCATCCACCTCAAAGCCTTTGACCACGGTGACAAGCGAGCTCTCATGGTATTGAAGTATTGCCCAGGCGGTGATCTCTTCGACGTAGCCAGTTCGCATGGGACCCATCTCCGTCCCAATATTGTCCAGCGCATATTCGCCGAGCTCGTCAGCGCAGTACGCTATCTCCACAACAATCTAATTGTCCACCGCGACATCAAACTAGAAAGTACATATCCCAGTTTCCCGCCGTTTCTCTCATAGCCCAGCCCAGAGCAACATCTCAACTGACAATCGCAGACGCCCTTCTCAACATCCCCGTCTCCCAACTCGCCCACCTCACTCGCCCTCTATCACATCCGTATGCTCTCGTCACTCTCACCGACCTGGGTCTCTCCCGCCGCATCCCCGCTCCCCCGGAGTCCCCTCTCCTAACCACCCGCTGCGGCTCCGAGGACTACGCCGCACCGGAAATCCTGCTCGGCCAGGCGTACGATGGCCGTGCGACAGATGCATGGGCCTTGGGCGTGCTCCTCTACGCCTTCATGGAAGGGCGCCTACCGTTCGACCCGCCGCCGGGGAAGCCAGCGAGGAGTAGGGCGGCGCATCGCATCGCAAGGTGTGATTGGGTGTGGTGCAAGTTTGGGGATGTCGATGGGGCGTGGGATTCAGAGAGGGGTAAGGGGTGGGAGGGCGCGAGGGAGTGCGTCGAGGGTTTGCTGAAGAAGGTTTCTCGAGGGCGGATGAGTTTGAAAGACGTCGAGGGGTTGGAGTGGGTTAGAAAGGGGATTCAGGTCGAGGGCCGGTATAGGAGGGTTGATGATGATGATGATGAGAAGGAGGAAGAGGAGGAAGAGGAGAAGGAGGAGAAGGAGGTGGCGGAGGGTGAGAGGTAGTCGTTAGTGAGGAGCTGGCTTTGAGGGACCGGACGGTTTTTTGACTAGTTAGAGGACCTGAGCAGGCGATATCGGTTCGAGATTTTGGGGAGTAGGGAAGGGAGGAACCGGTGCGCCTGTATTTGGCTTGTAACACCATGATTCCCTCGCTTTTCTTTTAGTTTTTTTTTGCTTTTCTCTTCTCTTTCGTTCTTCTCCCTTTGTGTTGTTTTCCGCTTGGTATATTTTCTTTCGCTCGTCCTTGCACGGCTTTTTTGCGTCTCTTTTTTCTTTTCTTCGTTTTCTTTTTAGCGATATCCTGGGTTTGTGTTTTTACGTATATCCCTCCGCCCTGTCTTCTTCTTCTTCTGCTTTTTATTATTCTTTTTTTTTTATTATTATTTCGTTTTACTTCATCGCGGCCGCTGGTTGTATATTCCATTCGAGCTTTTCGTTTCGCTTTTTGCATTGGGCCTCGAGTAGGTCTGTAGGGCTGCGGGGATCGGTCTTGGTGTTGGTATTGTACTGGTGCTATCCCTCCCTTTTGGCGACTATTGTGGATCTTCTGTTGGAGACTAGATATTTTCGTTTGAATATGGGTATGTTTGGGATGCGTTTTGGGGAAAGGGAGAGGGATGGTTTGGACGTTTATATGGTTTAGCTAAGGGGAATGGTTTGGATAGGGAGGGGGATCAGAATAGATGCGTTGAGTGGAGTGATGTGTTTTTGCTGAGATGGGGTGCTGTGGTGGTGTTGTTTTATTGGGAATCCGGATTCTCCAACGTCATCGTCGCCGTCGTCGTCTCCATCGTCGTCTCCATCGTCACCATATCCCGCAGTAGTGATGCCACTCACGCATATCGTCTATCCAGTTTTCAGGTATCACGCGGAGTCTGCCTCATGCCTGTGCGACAGGAGGTCCCCCCAAAGGCATATAAACACCGTCCTTCCCACTTACTATCCTTCTCCCTCCACGCGGTTCTCACACTGGGAAACATGGTCCTAAAACTGATGAAGACTCGGACATGTGAGCGACCGTTTTCCACTTCTTTCAAAAACGACCTTCGAACCGAATGATGTGCGATTCATCGTTTGTGTTTTCGGCGCCTGGGTGTCGCATTGGAGAGAGAGGAATTCGGGAGTGCTGTGTTTGATGGTGGTTTGATGGTGGTTTGATGGTGGTTTGATGGTGGTTTGTGGTGGTGATGTCCACCTTTAGCACTTTCAGGTACTAAGGCTTTTGCATATGGAGAAGGATATCGTGCGCGTTTGTAACGAAGGCAGGGGTGATGATGGTAGCTCGAAGGGAAGCGGGTATATAAACATTCTCTTCCTCGCCCTTTTTGCTCTTCCTCTTCCTGTTCCACACACACAGTTCAGGGGATTGAGGTGGTGGACCTAAAGTTCGCCTTTGTGGAGATGCATGAGAGCAGCTGTTCTTCGCCCCCATTTTCTGAAATCTGGGAGCGAGACAAAGCATGTGGAGATTGCGTCTTGGATGACCGATGCGGTTTTTGAAATTGTGCGAGTTTGTACTAGTGTGGAATAGGGCGTGGTGGGCTTCGCATCACTGTTATCATCATCATCATCACCATTATGCCGCCCTCCTCCGCCCTCCGTCCCGGCGTCTACTGGAGTCAAATCGTGATTTCAGGCTGGGTATGTGAGGTTCTGCTTTTTGGCCTTTTCAGAGAGCATGTCGCGATTCATATATGTACTTTCGTGTCTAAGGTCATTATGGGACACCAGCTCGTTTTTCTAAAATTCAAGAATAGAGGATGCAAGATTGCTGTATATGTCGTGTTGACTGTAATCACGACGAACGGTCATGTTGATTACATGAGGCGCAGGCATCCCAACTTGCAAGCAAGATCTTGCGCTATGGTAGAAGGCTTACATGCGGATTCTGTAGGGGTAGTGTATTAATCCGTTTGTTCCTGTTGGCCTTGTATCCTAGGCTTCTACTCCTACATGCTGTCACATTATAGCGACCCTTTGAAACATACACCAAAAAGGGAAATGTGCAATATGGTTTCCTTTTGTGCGCTTGTTTTGTTCGACACATTCGCCGATGTAATAATGTTAGGAATTTTATGTTGATTTACTGCAGGCACTTTCGAATCCGAGGAATTCGAAAAACACTTCTTTTGTTTAATGTTGTGTTTTGCGTTACTGTAACGGATCGCGTCTTCTAGTATTTGGTACATTGCTATTAATTTTGAAGTGTAGAAACGCTTGCTTGTTCCTTTAACTACAAGAAATGTATGACTTGAAATTCAAAACGCGACACATGAAAAGCCAGAGTATTTAAAACCCTGCTACTTCCTAATCTCAATCCGCTAAGATGCATATCCGGCCCGCCTTTGGTGCCAAAAATTGCATGTACTGACAGGAGGATCTAGCATTGGTAGTTAAGGCTAGTAGTAGGGGTGTAGTAATACCGCTTACTCTATTTCCTTAAAAGACCCTGCACTACTTCTGAGAGAAACCTTACCCCGAATCGGTTTATGAAGCACTACAGCGAAGCCTTTGTTGTTTCCTCAACAAAGGGTATTAGAAACATGCGGGCTTGTCAACTGTCCTCGAAGGACTTGAAAATTCCCAGGGTTACGACAACGACGGCTATGTGTGCCGCAGCCCCTCAGCCGTGAGACAAAGATCTGAAAGAATTAGGATTAGAGAGGTCACGGAACAGCGTAGCAAATAGGATTAGAGAGGCCACGGAACAGCGTAGCAAATATGATTAGAGAGGTCACGAAACGGCGTAGCAAAGAGCACATGGGGAGATGTGCAATGCATATAAGGATGCTCCTCTGCTCTTCTCTTTCACCTTCCTTGGAGGTTAGCTAAACACCTGAGTTAATCGTCGTACTAGTATAAAAAAATCTGGAATGAACTCGACAGCGCTGCTATCTAGGTGTAGTAAGCTTCAAAGGTTAGGTCTTGAGAACTCTAATAGATTGCAGCCAAGTACATGCGCTAAACAGGCAATGCAATCCGCAGAAGAAATGCAGGGAGAATGTTTTGTTAGACGTAATCAGAGGCAGTACAGGTTACTATACTTACTACACCAACTAGGGCGCTAACGGATAGCTAGTTGTACACGCTGCGAAGCTTTATATAATCAATCACTAGGGTAATCAGCCACTACACGTGCTCCCTAGGTTGGTGCATGCATGCGGCCTACTGCCCCGTTGCAGTGAAAGTTCTCGCCTGCCTCACCACCCTACCTCTCCCCGGTTTTTCACAACCTACGTACGTCTCTCGCCTGGTTTTACAACCTGCCTCTGTTGCCTGCTTTTACAACGTACCTCTCTCGCCTGGTTCTGCAACCTACTCCCTTTACTTCTTTTATACCCTCCCATTTCACAACCAACCTCTCACGTCCAACACTACAACCTACCTCGCCTGCCTGTCTCTAAAACTAGACCTACCTCTCTCGGCTGCTTCTGCAACATACCGCCTTACTTCTTTTATACCCTCCCATTTCGCAACTAACCTCTCACGCCCCATACTACAACCTACCTCCCCTGCCTGTCTTTCCAACGAGACCTACCTCTCTCGGCCGCTTCTGCAACATAGCCCTTTACTCCTTTTAGACCCTACCACTTCCACCCCCACAACCAACCTCTCACGCCCGCTTCCACGACAACCTTCTCACCTGCCCCTGAAGTACCTCCCTACAGGTTTCACGAGCATATGACCACTCAAGATGACGGACCCGAAGTCCTTGCTCGATCTTCCAGTGGAGATGATTCTTGCAATTTGCAAGTACTTTACGTTGAACGATCTTTTCGCCTTTCGACTGGCCTCGCGAGAAGCTTTTGGATTGGCAGTCCCAGAAATAGCTTTCGACTCCGCTTTCGGCTTGAAGTTTCCAAAGCTCTCACCACTGGAGCCAGCCTTCGCGTCCTCCTTGGACGTCTTCGGACAGAGAGTTTCAAGAAGCACATCAAGGCCGTTTCTATCTACAGTGGTCAGGATCCCGTGTTCGAAGTTACCGAGGAGGCCGAACAGCTCCTGACTGAGGTTTTCCGAGCACTCGAAGAAGCCAAGACTATTACTCTTCGGCTGGGGATGGTCGCATATACCGAAATGCGCCTGTCTGACCCTCGCATGGCGGATTATTTGGACTTTTGCAACCCAACCTATGCCCTTCAGAACATTGCTCTGTTTCTGAAGGTCTTGGAAACGACTGGCGTCGGGAAACCGTTCCGGTAGAGATCGATCTACCATCGAACATGGACGAGTATCTTTGCGGAGGAAGCAGAATCTCAACAGAGGTGTTGGTTCGGTCCTTGAACGAAAGACTGATCCACTCAGACCCACAAGTCTTGACGGATGTGCCAATTTGGTCCATTACTGCGATTCGAGAGAGGACCCTGAGAAATATGCTCATGTTCGCATTTCCCTGCTCTGTCGACAACCTCGATAAGCACGAGAAGCATTTTCCCATACCTGACTATATGCTGGGAACATGGATCGATTACGAATCTCCATCCACCAAAGACATTCCTCGCATTTCGTTCACCTACCTGCAAGAAGGGGCCACCCGGCAATTACGGCTCCAAGGGTTCAAGATCCCCGCTGCCTATTTCACCCGCATCTTGCAAGAGTACAAGCCTCAGTCTTTGGTCATACACTGTGTCGAGGTTGAACCCGAGTTCGAAATTTACGTAGAATCCCTTCTCCAGCTCTCAACGCTCGAGAATCTCACCTTCTCGGCAGTCGTCGTCCAGTATCGGCCCACACGCCGGGGCGTTCGGACTTCCATCGACCCGGATCCCGATGTCTTGCCATCAATAGAGCTGCGTGGAAACCAGAGGATCAAAGACTATCTCAGCTACATCCTGGAGCGGAGGAATGTAGGAATCTATGCCCGACTGAAGTATCATCGGCGTATGATTACCATTCTGGATTTTCCGGATCCTCTCGTTGTTATGCCGGACTCCTGAAAAAGGACTACCCTGAATCTCGAGGCTTGGGTACCATCAGTGCAGCGCCTTGCACCCAAAGCACCGGTTGGACACCTAGTACAGCCGGCTTTTTTGTCGTGCTTGTCTATCCGCGTGTGCTCCACACATATGCACCGATTTCTCTCTTATTGCGGTATCTTTGCTGGATGGGGGTAATGGAGGTTTGCTGTGATGGTTTTCCGGACAGTCAACTATCCTGGAAGGCGCTATGTACTAAGGAAGCCCGTCAAGCCTCCAACATTACCCTAACGATTGTCTCGAGTGTACCTCCTAGCTTGTGTCTCTTTCGTTCATTTCATATTGGTATTCATCAGGTAAACTGCTTGACGTTGAGCGGGTGTAGCATGTAACTAGCATGATTCATTCAATACTTTCACGGCCCAGCAGCTTTGGAACACATGTACAAAACATCTATTCCGTAAAACACAAACCGTACGTCTCAACCTCTAACAGCGACTTGAAAGCTTACGGAAATGTAGTCACGTCACGCGTAGATCCGAGTCCACCTGCCACATTAAGTTAGTAAATCACCTCTTACTCAATTAACCGCCCTTCACGATGCCGCCTACACTTCCCGACACATACCTCGCGAGTTCCACGAATCGCATTCCAATTCTCATCGAAACTGTATGTTTAAGGCTGGCTTATATTTTGTACTAGTCTAGTACATATTTAAATTCGGATTAGAGCTCCTCACTGTATCTCCCAACATCTCTCAAGCCAACTCGAACACCTCACGACAAGCATCGATGCCGCTTCCCATGCCCCGAAGTCGACCACCCCAATCGGAAGGCTTTCCACCGGTCCATAATATGGATAAGGCATTATGCCCCATCCGTGCACCACAAATCGCGGGTTCTCGCCGGATTACGACCCGAGAGCAATGGAAATGTGGAACGGAGAGCTTCTCGATGAGGGCCATTTTTTGCGGATAGTTGACCATTTTCTGTGTCGGTTGCACGATTGGAAACGTTGTGAGGCGTTGAGCAAGCGCCTCGTGCTGTTGTAAGTTCCCGTGTGTACTGCTGAGTGGAGAGGCGTCGGAAAGTCTTGCCCCACGGCCATGTGGAGGAAGCTAATAAACGTCCTGTAGGTGTGCCAAGATGTGGATGCAAAGTACTGCATAAGTGGCCTTGGACACAGAGTAGATGTTGATGGGACGTCTTGTTTGGGAGTTTCCTTCAAAACACAGCTTCAGGATGGGCTATAAACGCAAGCTTGTCGTCGACGACAAAGCAGTCACAGAAGGCGCAGGCCTGACTTTAAGACAAAGCTTGATACCATGCGGATTAGGTATTGCAATTTCCGTTCGCGACCTCATGATCACATTAGACTGATGGCCGAACAGTAACCATCCTGTTCTTCCTCTGGGGTTTCGCATACGGCCTTCTGGATGTTCTAAACTCTCACTTTCGGACTCTCTTGAATATTACCCCAGCTGAAGTTACCGGATTGTCTGCTGCGTACTTCGGTGCCTACTTCCTATGTCCGCTGACGATCTCGGGATGGATACTGAGACGATTCGGATTTCGTGTCACCTTTATGACTGGTGAGATTCATCACATTTAACCTGACTACGTCTCTTTCGGTAACACACCATAGGCCTAGCCATCCTCACCGTAGGATGCCTCCTCTTCTGGCCCTCGGGCGTGAAGGCCTCCTTCGGCGGCTTCTGCGGCAGCATGTTCGTCGTCGGCGCGGGCCTCGCCACCCTCGAAGTCGGAGCCGACAACTTCCTGGCCATCTGCGGTCCTCCACGATACTCTGAGATCCGCCTCAATCTGGCCCAAGGCATCCAAGGGGTGGGTTCTTTCGTGGCGCCGCTGCTGGCATCCCGTGTGTTCTTCGCCAAGACCATCGACAACGAGGCTGGCTTGAAGAATGTGCAATGGGTGTATCTGGGGGTCGCCTGCTTTGTGGCGCTGCTGATTGTCCTATTCTACCTGGCGCCGATGCCCGAGGTCACTGACGGAGATATGAATCTTCAAGAGGCGGAAATTGCGGGTGAAGAAGTGGGACCGCTGCGGAAGCAGTACAATCTATATCTGGGTGTATGGTCGCAGTTCTGCTATGTGGGTGCGCAGGTTGCTGTTGCCAACTTCTTCATCGACTTTTGTGTGGAGGCGGGATACGAGAAGGCGTTTTCCTGTAAGTGTCTATCCGCCAGATGTACCTCGTCACCTGTAGACTGAATGCTAACGTTCCTAAGCGGACCTCCTCGCGATTGGCCAAGGGCTGTACGCCTTTAACCGCTTCCTCGCAGCAATGTTGATGACCCTCAAGCCCTTCAAGCCCAGGTACATCCTCGCAGTCTATCTCGGCCTATGCTTCGTCTTTGGACTTGCCGCAACACTGACCAAGGGCCACACAAGCGTCGCGTTGCTCATTCTCGTTTTGTGCTTCGAGAGCGTACGTACACTTCTTCTTCTCCCAGCATTCCCCCACCGACACTGAGTTTTACTAGGCCTGCTTCGCCACCATCTTCACCCTCGCCCTCCGCGGTCTAGGCTGCCACACCAAGCGCGGCGGCAGCTGGCTCGTGGCCGCCATTTCCGGCGGTGCTGCCATTCCGCCCATGACTGGCGCCGTGGCTACGCGCACTGGCAGCTTCCACACGGCCATGGCGATCCCTACGGCGTTTTATGTGCTCGCGTTTGTGTTCCCTGTGTATGCGAATGTGTGGAATAGGGATGTCCTTGATGGGCATAGGAATACGGATTTGAATGTTGATGAGGTACATGCGATTCGTACAGAGGGTGAGGATAAAGGGGAGAGGGATGCAACGGCGCGTGTGCAGGAGGTGAAATAATGAGGCCGAAGATGTTGAACTTAAAGCAGGTGGAGTGTGTTACTCCTAAGGTCCATATCTAGTCAAGGCTCTCATGAGCTTGGTGATTCCATGGTGCGTGCTGCTGGATGATGATGCGCAATGTCGTTCGCGACATTTTCGAAATCTCCCTACAATAGTGGCGCTACGTAAAGATTTACTGTTCATATAATCCCATAGAAGCCGACCAAGCTTCTGGCTCCCGTCCCTCCAAATAGTTAGGCAGAGCACTGTGATGTTACAAGGTTCTGGAATGAAGACAAAAGAGTGATTTGGCAGTAGTATATATTATTATGTACACCTCTTTTCTGCAGCGAGTTTCACCTTATTCCGGATATCATCGATCGGATATCATCGATCGGATAACCCACTCCCCAAATTGATGTGTAGCATCCGCAAAAGGAAAGAAGACAGTGCTTTTGTTGGTTGAACTTGAACGCAAATTCAACCCGGACTCTATGATTCTGTTCGCCTCATCCTGAATTGACCTGTAGCTGCTCCCTTGAGAATGCCTTCAACGCATCGTGGCTTACGCATATTAGCTTGTCGTCAATCGCTAACGAAGTCAAAGAGCTCTATATCGTGCGAGATGAGATATGGCATCGAAGGCATCGGCACTGTGTAGAACTCTCTCGTCATGGGCATCATCGCTCTCACGGTTTCCATCTGGGTCATGATGTGTCCGATATAATCCAGTACGTTATCCTTTCCAGCGACCTGATTAATCTCGTATACTAAGTACAACAACATAGTCGTAGGGTTGCGATCGTCCACAGAGTCCAAGAGGTTCCCCAGAGACAACTTTTCGACGCGTTTTTGGCGTAGCTCTGTAAAGGTATCGCACCAACTGCCTCTGTAAATTGAGACATTGCAGATAACGACCCTATTTAAGGCGGGACTGCACTGCTTAATGAAATCCGCCAAACTCCTCTCCGGTATCGAAATCCCGGAGATGATAAAGGTAGTGAGATGAGCGTACGACAATTCAGTCAGCTGTCGGAAGAGCATGTGGCATGTGAAGCACGCGCCAGGTCGTTTCAAGCTTGTCCGGCATCCTCTTATGCGCAAATGCTCGACACTGGCAGTGTCGCGTAAGCACTGCTTGACAAGGTGTGTGTTTTCCGGTTCGTGACCCAGCTTGATGTCCACTCCTTGGATGTATTGCTCGCTAGCGAGCAATTCCGTGCAAGAGTGATAGCATTGCTCTTCCTCGATATGAACGCGTACAATCTTTCGAGTGAAGCGACTTGTTCTCAGAGCTTCCAGGGTGACACTCCTACTGCGGTTGAGGCCAATGAAAGAATCCATAGAGATGTTTTTCGACGCCGGACGGCGCGGCAGGTCTGCCAGCCACTCTTCGCGACAGTCCAGTAAAGAAGCTTGTAGGGTACGGCCTCCACAGCGACGACGTAAGAAGTAGCTTTTCGCGTAATCTGGATTTGTGTTGCGTATTATCACCTCCGTAAGGCCGGTTTCCGCGGACAGCGAGTTGAAGATATTGATCAGGATCTCCAGCGCTTTGCCAGAATGGAGAAACGTTGCGATGGCATTGTAAATAGAGTCTGCATATTGTGTGTGTCCGTTTGCTACCACTGGCGGTCGGAGACATAATAAAGTGAGTGTCCATATCTCCCGTCGAAACTCAGGGATCTGACAAAAGCCGTGTAAGGTGCGCAATCCATCTTCAGTCACCAAGACTTCGAGGTGATGCAGGTCCCTGGCCAATGCGGTCGATAACAGTGTCGTAGTTACCGCAGCCCAGAATCTGCTGACCAGGCGAAAGGACAGTAGGCCCTTCCTTGGAAGGAGTTTGCACACGCGTGCTGCCAGCTCAACCGGGAGTTCTCTGATGGATGTAGGCTCATCGGTGTCCGAGGCCATCGTGAGCGGGTGGAGTTGCAGAGGTGTTTTCTCGTGCTGCTGGTCCAGGAGACGGTTGGGAAAGGGATCGCAGAAGTGGAGTCGTAGAAAGTAGAGGAATTGTGGACTCTGGTGTTATCGTGGCACTGGTCCCAGAGACGCAGTCAGAAAGCCCGGAAAAGGATTGTAAACGGCAAGTTGTGGAGCAAAGTGTAGAGAGAATATAAGAGAGTGCCTTCGGTGGAGAGAGTCAAAAAGCTTGGCATGCGTACCTGCCTTTCACCGCTGCTCCCAGGTTGCTGCCTCTTTCCACATCCGACTGAAAACACTCCTCTGCACTTCCTCGGTACTGCCGTTTCTAATCAAACGGGACTAGGTAACATGAGCTACGGAGAAATTGCAGGGCGATGTCCAGGAGACATAGTGGCCGAATGGCAACTACTAAGGTGTCCTATGGTAAAGTTAATAGTCAGCCTTCTTCATGTGGTACAGTCCACTGAACCCTCCTCCTTCTGCAGACTGCTGCTAACCCTTCATATGATGCCATGCCGACAACTTTTGCACACTATATTTCTCATCAAGATGCTTCCGGAGGGAACGGAAGAAGTGGAAGGTAGTCATATTTTTATATTCGAATATACTGAGCACATGTAGCACCTCAGACGCTATCGTACTCAAAAGTCTAAGTTGAATTAGATCGTTTCAGTCAACGTCATGGATATCATGAGAAGTCACCAGTACCCCTATACACAACGCCCGCAAACCCCTATTTGCTCAGATCCTCACCCCAGACCTCCTTCGCAATCTCCACCTCCAGTCGTATCTTCGCCCACTGCTCGTCCTCGGTGAGATCGTTTCCTTCCACCGTCGAGCTGAAACCACACTGGTGGCTCAGGCACAGCTGATCCAGACCTTGAGGGGCAATCTCGGCTGCCTGCTTCAGCCTCTTTATTATGTGCTCCTTGTCATCAAGCTCCCTCTTCTTGCTTGACATGAGACCGAGAACGACGACTTTGTTGGGAGGGAGATATTTGAGTGGACCGAAATCTCCGCTGCGAGCATCGTCGTATTCGAGAAAGTATGCGTCGACGTTCAAATCCTTGAACAGAACCTCGGCAACGGGATCGTATCCGCCTGACGCGAACCACTTGCTGCGATAGTTGCCTCGGCAGAGGTGGATGCCAATCTTCATATCTGCGGGGCGCTTGGAAATAGCGGCGTTGATCAGGGCGGCGTACTTCTTGGGCAGCGCCGAAACATCCTCGTTGCGCTCCTTCTCGGCCTCGGCGCGCATGTTGGGATCGCAGAGGTATGCCAGGTTCGTGTCGTCGAGTTGGACGAAGCGGGCACCAGCCTCGTAGAGGGAAGCCAGTTCCTCCTGGTACACACGCGCAAGGTCGTCGAAGAAGACGTCGAGATCGGGATATGCCTCGATATCAATGCTTGCGCGTCCGCCGCGGAAGTGCACCATGGTAGGGCTGGGAATGCACACTTTGGGAGTGGCATTGCTGCCGAGCTTCGTGATCGTCTCCTGAAGGAATTTGTAGTCGTCGACCTGAATAGGTTTCGGGTGGCCCAATTTCCCTGTCACGGAAAGCACAGGCGGCGAGAATCCATATGGCCGAATCATGCCGGTTTGTCCCTTGCGCTCGATACCGTCCAAGTGCTGGAGGAAGTCGATGTGGAAATAGGCTCGTCGGAATTCGCCGTCGGTTACGGAGAGTAAGCCGTTCTCAAGTTGCTTGGAGACTACGTCTGCAATGGCTTCGTCCTCCACCTTGCGAAGCTCGGTCATGGTTGACTTCTCGTGAGCAACGGCTTCGCGAGCATCATGTACAGCCTTCGGCCGCAGGAACGACCCAACATGGTCGGCCCGGTAGACACCCGGAGGAAGCACCATTGTGACTGAGGGCGCATTCGAATGTCAGTCGGAGCTTGAACGGAGGAAAGCAATACAACTTACTCGTGTGTAATGAGTGGAAAAGAGCGGTAGGTGAGCAACGGGGACGTTTTCGAGGGCGCCGACTGTTGGTCCTTAAGAGAACTGGCGTTGATCTCCGTGTTAAGAAGCCGAAGCGGAAAATTGCACAAGAAGACGACACTCGGCGAGCATATTAAATCCTATTTGCTCAGAATCCCTTTGGGCCCGCATCCCGCAGGCACCGGTACGATGTACCCCCGTGTACCCCACCACGGCAGTTGAAGAGACGGCCCTAGCAGTAAGCTCATCGTCGGTGCCGAGGACGGCATAAAGGGGCTCGTTGGCGGCCACAAGAGGTCGAGAACGCACTGGTGACAAGTGTTCTGAAGTTGGGAAAGAAGTTAACGCTTCAACAGCAGATTAGAGACCAACTGGATGGAAACAGGGACGAACAAATTTCTACCTATATACCACGACGCAGTTAGGAGATGACGTTGGGCGGGGGTCCAAACAGGGGACAGGGACGAGGCCTTGGCGAAATAAAAGCTTCACGTGAACCATGGACATCCTCCATATTAACAGGTGTAGGACTCAGGCTGGAGACCTTGTCGTCTACAAAGGAAGGCGCAGTTCTGACACAGAGCTTGAAATAGAGTCAAACCACTTGTGTTCGGCCACGGGCCGCTCAATGGCTTTTATTATTCATATACATATAATGTTATCATATTCTCCGACCTGACACACAAGGTATAACAGTGCCCTTCCAAGACTGGTGATGTATAACGCTAGTCGGTCATTGAATGTCCGTCATCGAAAGCCTAAGCGGGTAATAGCTCGAACCAGCGCTGGGCCTGTTCGAGAAATCTAGAACTCAATCGCTCGGCGCAACCAGGAGCCGGGCCTCATGGAGAAATGGAAACTCCATGAACAGGACCACCTCCTCGTCACTTATAGAGATCTCGACACCCCCGAAAGTAGGGTTCCCATCCTTGTCGATCTTCCCCTCCTTGTACAGCTTGGTTCGGTCGCGATTCGCGAGCTTGATGTGTATTGGATGATCAGGCTCAGCCTGCTCTATCCTGCCCGTTACGAAGTCGCTTAGCTCGGGCATTGGGTTCGCCTGGTCAAAGGCCAAGTACTTGAAGATTATAATGGCGCCTGGTTTGACATCGCCCGGGGACAACTCAGGTAATGTTTCCGGTTGATCCGGAAGAGCTGGCAGGTCGGCCTTCTGCGTCGTGGCAGTTGCTACGTCCAGGCGAATCTGGTCCTCAATAGCAGTGCCTGTATCCATGTCTAGGCTAGAAGCTTCGCCATAGTCAAGGACCGCGCCGTCCACATTCTCGGAGGTACTGAGGGCGGATTCCGGGGCAGAATGAGCCGCAGTGTACGAAGAATTCTGATATTTGGTCTTCTTCCCGTTCTTCTTTCTGTCCGCTCGATCAATTGACTGCATGGTTTCGCAAGCAGGATCCCAATGTTGCTTGAAGGGAAAAGGCGGGGGGCCAAGACTGTAACCGCTATGATAGGTCTCAAAGGCTGAGACATTGATTCTTGACTTGTAGAAGTCTGGGTCAACAGGGGTTGGTGATTCTTCAAATGTGACAGGAACGTCTGCCCTCGAACGTTTATTGAGTGGTCTTGTTTGTCGCCCCAGGATTCTTCCGATGGCTGCTACGTTTGGCTTAAGCCGTTTTCGTGCCGACTCTGCAGGGGACGATTCCATGGGGGAGGCCACTTGCTCGAGTTGGTCAAGGAGTTCTCTCTTTCGTTTCTCCAGGTCTGAATGGATATCAGAGCGCACCGTGTCAGTCGTGCCTTCAGAGATTGGTGCCTTTTCTGAGTGCTTCCTCTTCCTAACGTTTGAAGTTGTGAGAGATGTCGTCTCACCAATTGCCCCTGCTGTGCCTTGGACTGTGTCAGTCATCCTAGCAGTTCCAGCATCTTGCTGTTCGCTCCCAATATTGGACTTTTTCACATAATTGCGAAAATCCTCTAATGTTGCATCAGGATGGAGCTTCCCAGACGCCTTGAGCTGTTTCAGTTTCTTGGAATCCTGACGCCTACGATTGCGATACTTTGTGTGTTTCTGTCCATGCCCTGGTGCGCTTACGCGGGCGGCCGCAGGTTTGGAGGACAATATATCAGGCCCCGCACTTTCGCTGCTCTCGCTCTCGTCACCGCTCTCAGCACCATGAGTATCAGAATCGGACTCTGTCTCCTCATCTGAAGATGATGATACTGATGCCTCCGAGGAAGTAGGCGAACTCTCTCCAGATGAGATGTCGTCCGAATCGTCCTCATCTGAGCTTGAATCCTCGTTGTCAACTTCAAAATCCTCGTCATCGTCTTCATCGCTGTCTATCTCGGCTTCGGGCAGTTCGCCAAATTGCACTGACTTGTGATTCCTCCTCGTTCGCGTGGACAGCGTTATCTGACAGTTATCTGCTTTCCCATCCTCACTGCTTGAACGCGAAGCATTCATCATGTGTGGGCCGCCGTTCGATGTGATCAAACGCGCAGATAGATCATGTTCTTCATCGCGATTATCTGCCTCTGTCGATAGGCTTACTCCAACGTCTTCAGGGTCATCGAGCATCCGTGGCCGCTTCCGAGGTGGTATCTGAATCTGGGGTCGCCGTGGCCATCTCAGCAAGGGCCGCCCAAAAGGAATGCCATCGACGAGATGCTGCCCGCTCTCTGATATTTGATAACGACCGCTGAGTCTTCGGGCGCGAATATCGTTGGTGGATAGTGCACGTATCCTGGGAGACTTGTAAGAGACTACACTGAGAGACTGGAAGCTTGACATACAGGAGCTCGTCCTCATCCTTGAGGAGAAGGCGGACCGAGTCAAAGTGAACACACTCAAAGCCTCCCACCAGCACTACATAGTCATCCAAACCCCAATCCGGTGCCTCAAGTGGAATGACATGGTTGAGGTCCTCGAGTAATCCGGCGATGGTATAGTACTCTGGATTGGGATGTTCTGGGACTCTCCAGAGGATACTGGTCGCCGGTAGGCCATGCCGTTGCACAGTAATTCTGAGACGCATGCTTATGAAAGGTCGCCGTTGGCGCGTACCGCTGGTGTAAGATGGATCCGCTGCCGGAAAGCAATAGACTGAAGCGAGCTGGTGACGGTCTTGAAATCTTGAAGCTTGGACCATTTCTTGGCGCTAGACTTGAAGAAGCTAAAGCCGCCGACGCCCGCACCGCCCCGCACCGCCACCATTCAACGGACTCGGGTGTTATATGGTTGCAAGTCTGGCACCTCAATTGTCGCATATACGTAACCACCAGGGACATCTATAAAGCATTGAGCTCCCGTAATAACTCCCCATCGAACAGTGACTCCTCTACCGATATCCCCTCCATTCGTTCTCTCCTCACAAGACAACATCATGTCTCTCCCCGCCAGCCGTCTAACAGGGACTTGGACGCGCTTACTCACGTCAGATCGATTGAAACGATCAAGTCAGGTCGTATCCGCAATAGGGCAGAGTGTCTGTATCTTTGGCGGGGAACTACTCCCCCGACAGCCCATAGACAACAAGGTGGACGTTGTGACACTGTCCTCTGGTAGGTCTCTAGATTTAATGCTTCATCTACTAGCTTTCATATACTCATACCTCAGATGACCCTCTCCATGAGACGAAAGAGCATTCTTCAGCACCACCGCCGCGAGTGGGAAGCGCATCTGCCTGCCTCAGCGACCGTATGTACCTTTTCTCAGGGCGCGGAGGAACCGACATGGCACCGATAGATGAAGAAGGGGCTGTGTGGAATTACGACCCTGTCGAAGCTCAGTGGTATAAGATAGATCCTGCCGACAAATACATTCCGTATCCGCCCGCACGCAGCTATCACTGTGCGACGAGCGACGGTCAGACAACGTTATACATTCATGCTGGCTGCCCCGAGAAAGGACGCCTCTCGGACCTGTGGAAGTTCGACCTCTTCAGCAGGTCTTGGCTGCGACTTCCAGATGCTCCGGCGCCGCCCCGAGGAGGAGCCTCTTTGACGTACAGGTCTGGTAAGCTCTACCGCATGAACGGATTCGACGGCACCAGGGAGCAGGGAGGTAGCCTAGATATTTACGATTTGGATGAGTGTATATGGACATCTGAAAAGTTTGAGGCCGATGGTAAAAGCGGACCGGAACCGCGAAGCGTCTGCGCTTTGCTTTCTATCACGGTTCAAGGCAAAGACAAGCTGGTCACTCTCTTTGGGGAGCGGGATCCCAGCTCGCTTGGTCATGCGGGCGCCGGGAAGATGCTCGGCGATGTTTGGCTTTATGATATAGAGGAAAAGCGGTGGGAGCAGCTCGATACTTCCGGCAGCGAGGCAACGCCTGCGCCGCGCGGTTGGTTTGCAGCCGATGTGGTGAGGACGCAGAAGGGCGAAGAGGGCATCGTTGTCCATGGCGGTCTGAATGAGAACAACGAGCGTTTAGGGGACGTTTGGCTTCTCAACATTGCTTCAACATAGCATATATGGCGATCTCCACATAGTACGTACCACAAGCTATGCTTGCACCATACTTTGTTATAAAAACCAGCAACATTCACTGAAGCATATCTACACCCAGTTCTCGATTTCAGAGTGAGTTATTGAAGAACTATCAATTGCAGCAGTAATGCCCCGTCGTTTGGAACGACCAAGCCAAGCTTCTTCATTGAATGGTAAGTGCTCTACAACCTCATTTCATCGGCTGCTCATGCATATACTTGTTCATCAAATCCGTAAAGCTCCCATCCGGTTTCATCAGCCTCGCCGCCTCACTTACATACTGGTCCGGCATCTTCTTCATGCATCCAAAGAACGCATACTCAAAGATATAATCGGTCCCATCCATCCAATTGCATACCTTCTTGGTGAACTCGAACACCTGGTGAGAATCTCGGCTAATGCTGGCGATCTCTGACACGATGATGCGGAGTTTAGGAAAGCGTTTGTGCATAGCTTCGATATCGCGAATGGCGAGGTTGGGATCGGTGCCGTACCAGTGCATACCCAGGAAGTCTGGCGGACAGTCTTTGACGAGCTCCATCCATCGGTACAACCAGTTCTTGCCGCCGTCATCGGAGGCGCAGGAGGGAGAGACGAGTTTCTTGCCGCGCTTGTTGCGCAATTCCGGAATGACCTGATAAGTGTTAGCGATACTTCCAGAATCCATGCTGTCCCTGACGGCCATTTGTATACATACCTGCTTGCGCCAATAGTCGGCAGCTTTCTCAGGGCTAATACCGTTCCTCTCCGGCTCGTTGAAAAAGTGTATGATTGACTCGTGGGAATCCTTAATCCACTGCCACTCATTTCCGTTGAGCTCGCGCTCGAGATGGATCATGGGACGGAACGGGGCACGGCCTTTCAGCTCAGGAGGGACCCACGCATTCCAGTTGGAGACAGATGCAATGGGTCCGCCGAAGTGAACTTTGTCCATTTGGCCGGGACACTCCTTTGTATTGGTCCAGTCCCAGAGGAGGCATCGCTTCTTGACGACCATGATTACGGTAGTGTATATTGGCTGGAGATGATTGAAAGTAGATCAATAGGTTGATACTCAGGTGGAAAGGGCGTTGTAGGTGATGCGGTTCGTTGAAGAAGTTCAATCATGGTTGCAGATAGTCCTTTTATCTCCCTTCTTTCTATGCGCAGCATAGTCATCTGATCCGCTACGCCGCGTTCAAGAGGCTGAAGTTAGGCCAACCTTATCCTCAGAAGAGATGAACATCTTACACCGCCATCAGACCACACGCATGCGGCTTACTCGAACACAATCTCAGGCACGAGCGCTTCTACAGGTACTACAGACCGATCTATGTTCCGTGTCCTACGGGCCAACATGTGGCTAAGCTACGAGGCCTCCCGTCGTTCCAGTAAGACTGACGGCAGCTTTGAGGCTGAGAGGACCAGGTGAATTTTTTACATAGCAGTCTCGTGTTTTCAATATTGGATCATCTGTAATCTCGAATCCTTTCGGAATAGTTGCTCTCCGTGTCATAAGCGTCAGTATAAACGGTCGGGCGATTCGAGACTCGTAGCACGTGGAGGGAGAGTCGGAGAGACGCGTATCCTATTGGAATAATGAGATTATTTGTCAGCTGGAGCGAGGTCTTACACCGTGGGGCGTTCTCACAGCCACAGAGTGTATACAGTAAGCGCTGAGGCTTGTGCATCTATTGATTGGCTATTAACTCTATGGGTTTCTTACAGTTATTCTAGTCACATAAGCAGCGAATGAAAAGCGTGATCACTGACCCGAATCAATCTAGTAGTGGCAGACCAGAGTATCATCAGTGAGCGAGATTACCTTGACAGTACTGGGTCATTCTATTGAATGAGTAACAGTGTTGACCCTGCGCTAGCCGTTTTGCAACATTCTACCACTGGCAGGGTCGGTTACAAAGGTAAGGCCTCCCAGTCATTCCCCTTTTTGGCGAAGCCGTGCGGACGTAAGCTGATTTTCCACAGTATCAGCGCCTGAAGGGGCTGTAGAAGGCTTTTCAAACCAAATCTGTGGTTTTTCAAATCAAATCTGTGCGAGCAATACATGCTGTGGCGTATACGGTAGAGTTATCTTGAGGTGTAAGGCGGCAACCAGCTGAGCCTCCAACCCATCGGTGCCACACAAGATTTTGTATAAGTAGTCGAGATCGCCCAAGGTCGTCTGCATCAAACCACATCCCCTTCCAATCTTCTATCTGAAGCTCCATTAAGACTATATCCACTCTTCATATTTTTCTTGTCCTGTCATTCTTCGTCATCATGGCCGTACACACCATCATCGTTCGCAACATGTCCAACCATGACCAACGCTTCCAGGTCCACGGCTGGAACGGCAATAAGGACATCGTCGTCCATGGCCACTCGGAGCAGCGAATCCAAGCAGCGGACGGCACTTCCGGAGCCATCATTGCCGTGCATGACGGTGTCGTCGCCGAGCAAGCCGAGATCACCAAATGCGGCTACATGGGCAACGACTTTATCGACTTGAGCAACATCTGCGGCGCCGGCGGCAATATGATCGTCCAGCAGGTTGGCGATAATAAGACTCGCAAAGGCCACCCGACCTTCATGCAAGCGTTGAATGAAGCATGGCGCAAGGCGAGCCCGGACACGAAAAATAAGTTGAAGAATTGCGTGCATGTAAAAGATGGTCGCGTCGTTAGGATCGATGCTCCCAAGAACTTTCCGGAGCTTGAGAAGTTTGTCAGGACGTTCGCTGATGGGAGAACGTACATTGGAATCGGGGCTTGGAACGGTTTCGCCGGCAACCCCAATGATAATCACCAGGTAAGCAGCTCTCCGCCGCCTTTTCACTGGTCTTTTGCTAACAGTGTGCTTCAGAGCTCGGCCGCCCATGGCAGCAAGGATATTCTGGTCTGCTGGAATGATGGAGATGCCACTCCAAAGTAAGCCTCTGTAGCTTAGACATCTACAATACTTTCAGTCGTTAATACCTGCGTTCTAGTGATGTTTCCGCTCCATCTCCTGGATATAACGCTGTAAGGGCCGCTTCGGGGGCTAGGGCTGGGGTGGGAGCACCCGCAACCGCAAGCAAGGACCCAGGCCCGGGCATTGAACTCACGAACAAGTCCAACAAAGAAGCTGAGTACTTCTTCTATGACAACTACTGGAACGGCAATGGAACCGCCGGCGCAAACTTCGACAAACCACTGAAGTCCGTCAAACTCCGCCCCGGCCAGAAGCAATTTGTAAGCCTACCAGCAACCTTTAAGGGCAGGCTGCAGCGAGGAACACAACTTCCATGCACGTGGGTTGAGTTTCAGCTCGACGCTAGTGATGACCATCGCGCTCACGGTGACATAAGTCTCCAGCAGGGCTGTGATGGCGCGGCTACGATTGCTTCCACTGATGGAACCAACGTTATCAATGGGTTTACTCATGACGTTGTCTCCAAAGCTCCCGATGCCGCATGCAGGCGCAAACCTAATGGAGAGCGAGCGATTGACACTACGGTGGGCAACTGGAATGGTGGACCAAATAAGGCCGCGATCGATTATCTGAACAAAGTGGTCGGCCAGAGGAAAGCCTACATCTTGGGTGGAACTGGTGTTCCAGATGTTGCATCTAAAAACAAACGTCTGGCAGTTGTAATGTACTAGAATCAGCATTGCTTTTCTAAAGTCTTCATAGAATAGAATTCGTTCCATTCTAGTTTTTGATATAGTTTTCGTAGCAGGGAGCCATGCCTTGGGAAACCGTTTGACCTTAGCAAACAAAGCTTTGTGAACGCAGACTCATGACCATAAGTTTATGGTCATAAAGCCAAAAAGGCTAACTTTCCTAAGCCTACTGTACGTAGGTGAAAGCCATGATCAATTCTTCACTAGACCCTGATGGAACACAAACCACGTTGAACTCATTGCCACAATACCCAACGTACATGTGTCGACCCTCCGCCGACGTGTTTGATCTACAGTCCCCACGAGCACTTTGCGAGAAACTGCCTCAAAGTGGCGATCTGTGGAAGAATGTTCGCAAAGTACTGAGAAACAGCAATTTTCGCTGTGTAGATCCGTGGGATATCAGTACGGTGGACGACGGTCATCTATTTGGACCCGATCATAGAGATAAACCACACTATCTGCGATACGAGGCTTTTGAAGAGCCGATGTCAGGTCGAGAAGCGGCTCAACTGGTGCTAGCGGATATGCTGAAATATGGAAGCTCGAAACTCGAGTCGCACTTATTGCCCGCCACAAGCAGAACCAACGCCGAAGATTTAGCATCAGACCTGTTGCTAAACATTGGGGACCCTTCCTACATCGGTACTGGTCATGCACTCTGGAACGTCCCCGTACCAAGGCTAGCGGCACGATGGAGACTTCCACCCTTCATAAACGAGTTCAGAGACTACAATCAGCTTTTAGGAGAAGAGCCAATGACGGCAAACCTGTTCCCCTTTGGAGCTATAGCGGATCTGCATCATGATGTTGGTTTTGTACCCAGCACGTTGATTCAAGGAAAGAAACTTTGGCTGATCTACCCTCCCACGGAAGCCAACATTGATGCTTTAGTCAAAGCATATGCGAGTCGATCAAAGAAACAAACCCCTCGCATATTCCGCAATTTCAAGTCCTTCACAAACGGAATTGCCTTTATTCAGAATGAGGGGACGACGTTATGGGTCCCCCCATTTTGCCCACATGCGGTCTTCACCATCGAGTCGAGTATCCTGCTAGGAGGCGAGGTCTACGCCAAGTACAAATTCCCACAGCGTTTACGCTATGCGCGACTACTAGTTCCATGGGAAAGGGCTTTCGGTCGCACGAGGAATCATGACTCAGAAGTCCGCGAGCTGTTTTCGCATCTAGAAAAAGTTCTAGAAACCGGCGATATGGACTTGCAAGCCGCGGTGGTGAATGCCTGGGAAGCTATAAAAGTTACCGAAGTGGCCAAGTTACTGAGGGGCACTGATTTCGACATTCAAAATATCCAAGACCATTGGAGAGTCTTTACTTCATCCTGGACACACTGCCCTCTGTGTAACGCAATGTTATGTGACGAAGGACCAACTCGGGGAAGGGCTAAGAAGGTTAGCAGGTTTGTATGCCACTATGAGGCTTACCATGGACCGATAACGGTCTAGGATGGTCGCACTCAGGAATATGGGGTAGATATAGTGCGCCTATGACTGCGCCTATGGCTGCGCCATATGTTCTGTTGATATGGTACAGGAAGAGTTGACGACGTAACGATGCCTATCTTACTCCCAAGATCTTGTGGATCAACTAGGCATCCTACAAAATGCCCCTGAATAATGAATACACTGTGTGTACATCAAATCTTTATCGTGAACTCTTGAGTGTGGCATATGTAGAAATCCGGATAGTCGTATGGTTACGGATTCCAGCGGCTATCTATGTTACAAGCGGAAGGCTTACTCCATTCGTGGCAGGTTTATTAATTGACCCTGTAGACGGGGCCCCCAGACGTTGCACTGCCTTATTGATCTGCATCCGGTATACTATGAGTGTTGATTGTCATTGGCTCCCGCTGAGCGGCACATGTGCATCCTTCCGCATCATTGAGGGGTAGATAAGTAGCCGGGCACAGAACCAGCTTGCGGTGTTGATGGTGCAAGAAATTCAGCCGTGCAATCAGCTGTGCAATAAGTCGTCCGTAGTTATCTCGAGAGCTACGCTTGGTTTTCGAATTGCGGTCGCTGGATTCGAGAGCCACAAGTGCATACACAGTACATCCGAATGTGGGTGGGGAAGTGATCAAGAGACACTGTGGCAGAATCCACAAGTTGCAATCTGGATCTAGGCAAGCCAATATCTTTTAGAAGATCTACGCAAGGGTCTACTCGTACTACGCAAAGAATATGCCAGCTTATCCGGGATACGATCCCGTATCCTCATGCATATATCTAAGGTCGCGCAGACTGATGATAAGAGCTACAGCATCACATGGACTTGTCAACTCCGTCAGTCTGTTGCAGACCTGTTTTCACTCTTCCCTGGGGTTTTTGAGGTCGCTTTGCGCGCCGACGCATTCTTCGTGCCCCAATGGCTTCCGATAGCAAGGACAAGGAAGCACCTGTCGAGGTGCAAAAGGTGTTGACGCAGCAAGATAACACAGATGTGGTGAAAGAGGCGGTCGAACGTGAGCACGCCCTCACATTCAGCGAAGCACTGAAATGCTACCCGAAAGCGATTGGGTGGTCAATGTACTTCAGCTTGGGAGTCATAATGCTCTGTGAGTGCAACAGCAGGGGTATTATCCGAGCACCTTCCTAATTCGCTGTCAGCCTTCGATCCGCAACTTCTTGGAAACCTCTACGCCATGCCCGCTTTTCAGAGGGACTTTGGCTACCCCTTCGAAGACGGCTATACTATAAGCGCAACATGGCAAACGGCGCTGGGAATGGGCAATCCAATCGGGCAAGTAGTGGGCGCCTTAGCAGCAGGATATCCCATGGAATGGTATGGCAGAAAACGGACATTCAACGTCTGCGTCATCGCCGTTGCAGGCCTCGTTTTCTTCCAATTCTTTGCGCGATCGCTCAAGGTTCTTCTCGCGGGTGAGCTACTCGCTGGGCTCGTCCTCGGGTGTTTCGTTGTTATTGCACCCGCATACGCATCGGAGGTAACACCACTGTCGATGAGGAGTGTAGCAACCTCATATGTCAACCTATGCTTCGTCACAGGCCAACTGCTGGGCAACGGTGTCACTGCAGCGACAAAAGACATAGACAGTCACTGGGCCTATTCGATCCCATTTGCACTCCAATGGTTCTGGATTCTGATAATTATTCCGGGCATGTTTTTTGCCCCGGAGAGTCCGTGGTGGCTGGCGCGACAAGGCAGGTTGGAGGATGCAGAACGGTCACTGCGCCGCCTCTCGAGCAAACAAGTCAATGTCAAGGCAATTCTCGCTCAGATAATCGAGACTGACCAGTTGGAAACCCAAATGGAGGCAGGTAGCACATACATGGATGTATTCAGGAAAGTCAACTGGCGTCGAACGGAAGTGGCCATTGGGGTGTACACCACACAGGTGCTTTGCGGCATATATCTGATCAACTACGGCACCTACTTCTTCAGCCTAGCAGGTCTTAATACAGAGCAGGCTTACAACATGGGAATCGGCTTCATGGCCGTTGGTTGGGTCAGCGTTCTGCTCTCCTGGTACCTGATGCAAAGATTCGGGCGCCGGCCACTCTACAATACTGGATTGACCATTCTGACCATCATCATGTTTCTTGTGGGAATACTGGATGTCGTCCCTGCGAAAGGTGCGATGTGGGCGCAATCAGCATTGTAAGCATCCCCTGTCACAGTCTTCTCCAACTTCCCGATGCTAATGCTCGCAGGCTTCTGTTATGGAACTTCACTTTTGATTGGAGGTAAGCTATTCGATAGAAACTAGATCTCGTATTAACGGTTTCCAGCGTCGGGCCAGTAGCCTATGCCATCTTTTGCGAAGTGAGCGCCACGCGAGTCCGCTCCAAAACCATCGCAGTGGCGACAGCAGTGCAAGCGATTGTCGGAATCATCATGACTGTCGCGATCCCGTACATGATTGCTCCCGATCAAGCAAATCTCCGAGGAAAACTCGGCTTCTTTTTTGGAGGGCTTTCCTTACCATGTCTGATATGGTGTTATTATCGCGTTCCAGAGATGAAGGGACGAACGTATGAGGAGTTGGACATCATGTTTGAGCGCGACGTGCCAACCCGGGAATTCGCCACGTATCAGATATGAAGATCCGACAATACGAAACTGAGGTAACTGAAGAAGCCGGCTCCCAGTGCCTGGTTGCCTATCCGCTTTTCACACTGTTGAAGTGACGCATCGTCCACCCTAGTCTGCTTTCTTCTTCTGCTCTGTTATCCGCTTTTGCCACTCATCGACAAGACCGCGATAATCTTCAGGTCCATAACTTCCGAAGTACTCGGTTGTAAATCTCCCCTTTCGTTTTCCCTCAAAGCCCAGATCACGGAGAAGGACGTCAAAGTAGGGCAGGGAGTCGAAAACCAAGTCAGGGAATTTGTTTCCGTATCCCATTGCGTGCCGAAGTGCGCAATACTGGGTCTCGAGGTATGTGTCATACTTGATCTCGGAGGGTGATTTGGAGGTAGGGAGTGGGAGTGTCCCGTCAAAGTAGGCAGCGAGCCAGAGTGCTTGAATATAGGCGCATGGCGCAGTTCCAAGCGTCATCATTGCCCCAACAAAACCGATTGAGCGGTCCTGAATATCTGACGGGGGAACCATAAAACGGAAAAGGCGGTAAGGTTGCTCGTCACTCCCTTCGCCTAGGTCTCGGGTCGATTGGCGCTGCGCAGGGTCTGGATGATGTTTCTTACTCGAGTCTCTTTGTTTTAGGATAGGGTAACGGTTGTACAATTCCTCTTCTACCTGCTTAATCAGCGCCTTCTCTTTTGGATCCGCGGGTTTGCCTGCTGATGGAAGGCCCAGTGTTTCCTTAATGCTAGATGGTATGAATTCAATAGAAGGGTTTGTCTCCCAACCTGTGGCGCAGACCACTGCATTGACGTCCAGGGCTTCACCAGTCGTCAATCGCACTTCCGTGGACTTCTCGAAACCCTGCACTTCGCCAATGATGACTTTGATTTTCGCGTCTCTCACCAGGTCGAAGAAGTTCGTTGGGTAATTGAGAATGCTGCACGACCAGTCAGTTGCAATCAAATGTCCGTATACCGTCATATCACTCACCTTAATGCAGTTCCAACTTCGAAGGCGTCACGCCAAGGCCTCAGCTTCTTCGTTTCCGGATGTTCGTTGTATTTATTTAGACACACAACGTCTTCCCCCAGCACATTCCAAAATGCAGCCACAATCTTCCTCCCGAACCACGTTCGATGCAGAAATCGGCGTGCAATACCTTCGAACCCAGAATCAGAGGCCCATGGACATGGAGACATAAGCCCAACAAAACGTGTAAACACGAGCTTTTCAAGCCACAGTTTCAGAGGCGTCACGTAAGGAGGCGACATCCAGATGGGACCCTTTCCACTGGGTCGGATCAACATGGTCGCCGTAGAGTTAGGTTGTGTCGCACAGGCATATGCTATGTCCCATGCGGACTTTCCACCGCCTATGATCAGCGTGGAGGTGGACGGCTTGACAATGTCGTTAAAGTGAGTTGCAAAGCTGTCCGAGTGAATAACAAGAGGTTCAAAAGATCCTGCCGTTGGAAACGTGGGCATCGACGGGCGATTTGACAACCCTGTGGAGAGTATGAGTTTGGGCGTATGTATCTTGTATAGTCGCTCTCCGCTTCCAGAAATCGACTTGCAGTGCAGAATCCAATCTCGCCCACTCTTTTCAGCTGTCTGCACTTTAGTGTTCAGGCGAACGGAGGATGTCAGATCGCTCTCTTTAACTAGAGCCTCGAGATACTGGTGCACTTTGTCGGCCGGAATGTGCTCCCCCTTCTTGACGCCGAATCTTTCCTCGTCCATTGGAAAATCTGGGATTTCATAGGTGCCCCATAGGTTATTGGTTCGTAGCCCGGGGAAGATTCGATGTGGAGCCCATGGGCCACCAATTGCTTGAGAAGCTTCCAACAAAACCAACCTGGCCCCTGGATGGAGTCTGTGGTAAACAGCAGCCGCTGTTATGCCATAAATGCCTGCGCCGGTTCAATGAGCTTCTATCACCAATCCAAACTTTACCATGCGGTAGACCCGATGCAAGAAGGAATGTCCAGGAATCACATAGATTTAAACTACTTCCAGTCACCGCGCGGCTTCTTTGACAACCTGAGAGCAAGTGAAAGCGCGATACTCACCCGCGCCTACCACCACAATATCACATTGTTCGTCTTCCATTGCTTCGTAATAGCCTTGTGGTTATGGGGGGGTCAGTCGAACTTGAGTAATGTGCATTCGAAAACTGGCATGAATATGCTGGGACCCAAGAGCCAGGTTTCACAGGACGGTATTAATATAAGACTTTTTTTTTCTCCTTGCAGGGTGTTCATAGGACTAGTAGATATTGGGGAAAGAGAATGGTCCCAACCCGCATTGAGTTTAGCGTTTGGCTTCAGATAAAACGAATATTGCCGATGTAACTTGACACGGTTATGTGTCATGATCAGCAACCATACTCCGTACTTATCCATACTTATCGCAACAAATGCAGTAGAACGGTCCGCCTATTTCATAATATCGGCATTGAGCGGCCTAAGAACATCCCATGCCTTGCATGTTTTCACAGCAACAGCCCCAACAACTTTCATTCCGTTCAAGAAATCCTCCAAGGACCCTAAGCGGGACCTAGACCTGCTGCGACTCTTCGAGCAAGTTACAACGTAATTTTTGACCAATTTTAGAGCTATAGGGGAGACTAGACAATGTCCTTTTTACCCGTGGCTTGTTAGGATGTAAAGTTGCTTCTGTGGGTTATAACCGCGTTAGCAAACATGAAATGTAGGGCATTGTGAGTCCTGGCCTTGCAAGAAGCTTTATGAAAGCAATTCGCCCTACAGGTCTTCAGTGACGAGCAATAGAGGGTACATTCCAATCTCCGGGAGGCATAAAGACTAAGTTGGCTGAAGCAGTGAAGTAGTTCTGGTTATCGCTGCCGTCAACGTGCTGTTGTGCGGATTTACCGCGCAAGATTAGAAGTAGATGAGCAGAAAGTCTCTACAAGAAGGCTCCCATCTTTCCGCGATGTCAGTGATCGCCTTTCCGGAACCAACGGCTTGCTTTCCTAGATTCCGTTGATATAATGTCAGAAGCTGCAGCGTTAACCATTCCTGTGAAAGAGTCTGAATGGTTTCTGGGAATGAGACTTGAAAAAAAGAGCTTGCGCTGAACTCTAGTCGACTTATCTAGAGGCGTCTGTGTACTGGCAACCTGTTGCGGAGAAGACTTGTTAGGCGTTCTCGGGAAAGTGCGATATTGCATGGTCGTATCTGCTTTGCACATCCATGGCTTTTCTCTTGGGTCTGAGGTTGAGGCGACTTTGGTCAACACACAGCGCTAAGCAGTAGCTCAACTGACAAAAACGATTCCAATAAGGGAAACCTGTTGTCGCTCCCAAAGGATATCTGACCACTAAACACGGTCTAGCCCATTGGAAAGTGAGTTTGAACCCGCGATGTCTCCCTGGGGCAGCATTGAACCATATGCGCACTATTTCAGGGTATACAACGAACTATGGCATATTATTGGCGAGAGGTGCTCTCTGTCAACACATACATAAAATTCCAGCCTCATTATGGCACACATGATCGGCGTTCAAAACCTCTCACAACATTTGAGCTTCGGGCGGCATGTGAGTCTGCCGAGAACCTTACAGAACAAAGTTGCGGGACGTCTTTTTCCAGGCAGTCCAATGATTGAGCATCGGAGGTCCGATTCTCCACAGCACCAGAAGAAAGCCAGAACACGGAAGTCTGGCGCGAAGATCTCATTGCGGAGATCCGGGGCCCACGCATGCGGGGGTCGAGGCGGGTACGACCCGCTTTGGAGACCTCAGCTAAAGTTTGACTTAGCCGAGAACATCGATTTAAGGTTGGTCAAGCCACGCCGGCAGGGTCTCCGAACCCGAATTGATTTTCGTCGAGACCATGAGGTTTTTGACTTCCCACAGGGCAAGAATTCCAAATGAAGTTGGGGTGAGTCGCTAATTGAATGAATGAATATGTTTTTTAAGGCGGTACGAAGTACCACAGCCCTTTATATCTATCCCCAATTCGACCTCTCAATAGGAACGCTCGCCATTCCGCAATCGCCAAACATCAAGGCGAGTCAAGACAACGCACTGCCTGGTCAAGCGTGCCCGGTTGCCGTCACTTCCCCTTCCCCGCGGGCTTTAATTGTGAGCTGAACCATTCATCCGGAAAGGTGTGTTCGAATAATGCGCGCCACCACTCCTGGGAACAGGCATCACCCCTTTCCATTGGCCTAGTTTCCGTCGCCAAAACCTCAACTCCACATGGGGAATCCACAGTGGCACGCGAGAGATGCACAAACTTTCGGCGCATTGCGAACCGCGCATTTCGGTCGGAGTATCCGTAACGCCTCGAACTCTATTCCTCCTCCGAGAAACCACAAACCTTTGCGTGATGGAAGTCGCCGTCTCAGCTGCGCTGGTATCTCGTCGTTATAACACTGGCCTGGAGCCGGTTGACGGAAGTTTCAGTTCTTCCAGCTGAGACTTTCTCAACGCATCTTCTCAATTCGTTTCTTTGTTTGGTTCTGTTGCAGGGACAGTCATCTTGGTAGCTAAGATCAAGCGACCAACCCAGCGGAAGCATGTCGCAATCGACTCCCGTCTCTGTGGAGCCAAACTCGAACAATTCCAATCTTTACGTCATCCCTGTCACTATCTTGCTTGTCATTGCACTTATTCTTTGCATTGTGCGATTCTATACGCGTCTTACGAGGACGAAGAGACTGTACCTAGATGACTGGTTCATCGTGGTTGCAGAGGTACGATCTAAGTGTTAGAGGACTCAACAAAACCACGTCGCTGACAGGCAATAAGCCACTCTCCCTTATCAATGCCTGTCTTGCATATGCCGCGATATCACACGGATGGGGACGACCTTTCATGACGCTCTCGGAAGCGGACTATAAAACAACCATGAAACTGCAATTCGCTCTCCAGACAACCTGGATCTTCACACTCTGCTTTGTTAGACTTTCGGTCGCCTGCTCGCTCCTCCGTTTCGGGACGGACCTCTGGTGGAGATACACGTTATACATCCTCATGGGATTACAGGTGGCAATCTCCTCTTCATGGGTTGTGATCCAGTTCGGTCAATGCAAGCCAATTTCCTCGAATTGGGAGCACGTGAAAGACGTTAAATGCTGGAATCTTCAAGCCATCATCAATTACGGCTGGACTATTGCGGGTATGTTGACACCCGCTCCACTTTTTGGGATTGTCCTAAACTAAACAGGAGTCTACGTCATCATGGACCTCATTCTCTCCCTTATGCCCATCAAACTCATCCGCACACTCAACCGGCCCCGAAACGAGAAAGTCCTCATCAGCCTCCTCATGGCGCTAGGTCTCCTCGCCACAGCCGTCGCCGCCGCGAAGATGACCACGTTCAAGAACTTCGGGACGGGAGACCCGATGCAGGCCACCATCCCACCCTCCATGTACGCAAAGCTCGAAGAAGTCGTCGGCATCATTGCCTCCTCTCTACCATGTCTCAAGGCACCCGTTCAGAATCTTCTGAAGAAGCTAGGAGTTCTTCAGACGCGCCAGTTGAGCCGTCCCAGTTTCGTCAACACGGCGATCACATTTGATGAACCGTCACGTCAAGGAGAACAGAGGAGCGACAGGGACGGATCTTTCCCTTCGTTGAAAGATAGCGTCCACATGGACTACGTCAGCGTGAAGCCGAGCAGCTCAGGCTCGAATACCCGCGATAGATCGCACGAGAGGAAAGAGAAAAGGGAAGTTGTATAAGCGTTTATGTTCATGTTATTGCCTGCGTTCCGAGCGAACTGGTTGGATAGGCGCAGCTTGGGTTCCTTCGTTCTGGCATCATGAGGGTTCATTCTGGGTTTGATATGATTCCATATTGTAAAATATCTTCTGCAGGGCCGTGGAAACGAGCTGCCGTTTCTTTCTCCAAGGCATTCTAGCCATGGTATTCCCTTGCTTCATGTCCAGTGGACATCGCTTCACATGGCAATACAACTACCCGCATTTTGCGGATATGAGAAATGCGGTCATTGGCCTTGTAATGTGGTGCGGTGCATTCATGCTGCTGTACGGAGCAGAGCACGAAACTAAATAGTCATCAAGGTTCTTCTGACTCGTTCCTTGCAGGTGATAGGGGCTGCATTGAGCACAGCTCAAAGCCCGTCCTCATTTGCGCCAGCTGAACGCCGCTCAAAGCCGCTGTAACGGTGAACGCAACCTCTTCAGTAACAGGAGAGCTAATCACCAACAGTGCGCCAGCGTCTCTGTGCAGTAGAATTGTGTTGCGTGTTGTCACATCCGTGCAGGTAACTGTTGGAGCGAGCTTCGAATGTTCAGAGCGGAGACCCCCGCAGCAGCCCTCTAACATAATGCTCTCTGTTACAGAATTCTGGAGCCTAAATATACTTTTCAGGCAGCAGGAACCGTGGTCGTCTGTATATAGGATCTATTATCTATGAGAAATGGTTGAGAATGCTAGTCATGGGAATTACATAGGTATGCAGTATATACAAGTACTCCTGTCTTCGTTTTTCAAGTCTATTACATATGCACCCACACCCCCCCCCCCCC